GTTTTAGGGGGCACTACAGACTGCGGGGGGGGGGGGGGGGGGGGAGACAAAGAGATCGAGTGGGAAAGGGGCTGGCATTCCCCGTTTCCCTTAGTTACGCAACTGAGTGACACAGAAGGAAGTCGTATCATGCTTGTGTTCTTGAGCAAGACGCTTTACAGTGATTGCTTCCTTATTCAGCCATGTGTTTGCGAAGGGCGATTTCTCAAGGTTACGTAACACTTTATTTTGAATGAAACTACATGTACACACACATTTTCACGTTGGCGGGCGATATCTTTGAAAAATTTATTTCTCCCGTTTGGAAGACAGTATCTTCATGCAACTTTCAGGGTTTATTTCCCGTATAATGATCCAATTATGTGCTAAAAATCGTTGTGATATGTTATTTACTTTCGTTGAAATTGGAAGAATAGGCCTGGCTACGTGCATATTTGAAAGCTGTAACACTGGCGTTAGCAATGTCTGTCAATCTTTTCAAGCCTGACTAGCATCCTATCCATTATGGTGTGCAGTAAACATTAATTGCGTAAAAGCCGCCTTCACGAGTTATTAAAGAGTGATAAATATCACCCTTTTTGCCGGCTTCCATTGGTCGATCCGAGACCCCGCCATGTCACGCCGAGTGACGCTAATGAATATATTCATATGCGATTGTCCATTGTGTGGCCGGGCCGAAATCGGTCAACCGTAGCGCCTACTGTGCTATAGGAAAATCATACACATGGGTTTGGTCGCTAAAATTCGTCGCCGAAATTGTCCTTAGAGATGATTCAATATGTAACACAAGCGTTAGCAAAAACAGATTAAGCTGAAATTCGGAATATACTTAGATGATATGCGCGTTCACCTACTCGTGAAATAACCACTTTCGTAAATTCCTAGAAACTGATATAAATACATGGATTTGGGGACGTTTTCGAACGATTTCTTCCAGATTTGAAGGTCAGCTTTACCAGTAACCAGCATTGACGTTTAAGCATCGATTTTTCTTCCGTTATATTTTAACATTTCAATCATACTGAGCATATTTTTTGAGGAACACAACGTTTGCTTTTTCTCAATACACACGTCCATGTCCTTTACAACAGGTGTTCGCAAATGGAACCATCGTGGAAGCACCGTATTTTCCATCATCTGGCCTCTGTTTCTGATCGCTCTCCTCCTGTTGGACTTGATCGGCAATGCCTTTAAATTTTGGGGTCGGGATAACGAAGTCTTCCATCTCATCAACAACGGTACATATTACAGTGTGGTCTTGCTAACTCCGGTGTTGTGTCTGATAGCGAATATCAGTCACATTATTTCTGATCACCGAGCCAGTTGTACAGGGCTTTTGTGCAAATGGCAAGCTGTCCTCAGTGTGCGAAACGTTGTCAGATGCTTACAGCACTTGGAGTTTGGGGAACGCGGTTTGCCGTATAAAGCTTATCTGGCGTTGTGTATCATCTTGCCTTGCATTGACGAAGTTTACCTTATCTACATCCAATTCTACGTCTACCCAGACATCACTTATGATGCCTTGTCGCAAATGGGGTTAATAGTCGGTATCTTCGTTACGCTGCTCTGGGCAGCCTTCTGTTATCTCACACTTCTACTTCGACTGTCCTTTCAGAAGCAGCAGGATCTGGTCTTGGCATTTGTCTGGAGACACGCGGGCAAGGTAGACGTCTGCAGACGCCGTCTGGCCTACTTCGCAGAAGATCTGGGAAGCATGATTGGGTTGGTCTCCGTTTGGAACATGGTCATCGTTCCTGTCAGCACGTGGGCGTTTACCACTCTGATCATTGTGTATTGGACCAGTTACGGAGTAAGCTACAACCAGAACCCCCATCAACTTTCAAATCCTTACAAATATGGCTTTGTCTGGTTTGAGCGCATCATTTTCCTGGTCATGCCGTTATTTGCACTTGGCGAGATGGCCTTCAAGAACACATGGTCTCAATTCAGGCTTGCCATCAGTCGGATGAGATGTGATGATCACGATGTCTTCTGGGATAAGATTCTGGCTTTCTGTCACGAGCAGTCCTCGGGATCTAAAGTGGGCATCTTGACACTTGCGTTCTCTGCTTTGGGCTTCTTTCTTGGTATACATTTCACCGAAAATATGACAACTCCGTTCAACGTCATTGTAACCCCGACAACGTCTTTGTTGTAGGTTAGGGCACACTGAAACGATTCCGGTGATTATTGAGAACAAAGGGTACTTTGAAAGAATGTAAATCAGAGCAAATGGGTGAGCACCTTTCATTTTTATCATTATTATTACTATTCATTTCTGGTAATGAAACCAAGGATTCCTCAAAAGCGCCCTTGGCACTGTAGCTCCCAAGCCTGAAGAAACATGTATAGAGAGAAGACAATAAGAAGAAATTACAGTTATAGAGGTGGGAAGAAAACCCCAGAAGAATATTCTAGGGAAAACCCACCTAATCAGGTAGGGACTGAAATCCAATCCACATGATCGCCTAGTCGGGATTCGAACCCGGGTCACAGCGGTGGAAGGTGAGGAAAATACCGCTACGCCAACCTGACTCTCCAATGAGCAAGCCGCCTTTTCGAAATGCAATGTCCAAATTGATCGGTAAAAGGGGTTTAAAAGGGTAAAAGGGGCGGAGCTTACCCAGGTTGCACTAGTGCAACTATATTAAATGAATTTAAATAAAGATCTGTGGCCACTTGCACTACTATATCAAGATTATACGGGGGCCCGTCAAACATTAAACTATATTTTTGACAATTTGACGTTCGCCAGCATCGGCCCTATCCTCATGTATAACATCTCAAAATTGGGCCTCTGTTGTAGTCACTGTTCCCGATAATCCTTCTTCAGCTCATAGTACATGATGTCAAACGTTATATCTGTGAAAAAAAGGGTTTGGCATGGCAAGCAGTAGTAGTACATTCTCATTCTACAATGAAACGAAAGAATTATAAAACTACATGCCAGGCAATGTGTCATGCGTAACTTTCACTTTTTTTCCGGATCCTGTTCAGGACTGCCATAACAACCCGTCTCTACCAAATAAACAAAGGACTACGCTAAAATATCAGGTTGTCAAAATTTACAATTTACAGCTCTTTCGGTGTTTTTTCTTATACTTTCATTTCCTCAAGTTATGAGATAAAAACCTGTGATTTTTCGTTTTGTGGGGCATTTAGAAAAGATTCTGACCATGAATCGATCGGACTTCACAAGCGAGCACTTTCCTTTGCTCAACCGTGGCATCCAGAACAGGTGTCACGATCACACAAGCTACACCATACCCTCCCGTGATGATGAAGATTCACCAACTCGCTGTGAATCTTCTCACTGTGTCTCACCGCGAACACGGAAGCGCTGGCCGTGGTTTATTTGGTTCCTGCTAAAGGTGATCGGGCTGTACAACTACCGGAAGATTGTGACAAAGAGGCGGTGCCACATGTGCCGTCTGGCCGTCCTCCAGCGCCGATACCGGGCGACCGACGAGGAGTGGAGAGGGTGGCTCTACCCGGGAACACCTCAGCACCTGAGTGAGGACGAGGGAGGATGCGAAATGTCTCTCATCTGCGAGGCAGAGCACGTGGATAGTGACTCACGTTCGGGGACAACGGATGGAGCTTGTGTCGTGTGCCAGAGCCAGTGGTGGGACGCCTGGGGCAAGCATCGGCCGTACTCGGAGACTGATATCGGTGAGTGAAACCATAGAGAAAGGACCCATGGTGAAACATCCTTATGCACGGATGTCGTTCAGGGCCAGTGACGTGCCCGCTTTTGGTGGCAGCGGTGGCCAGTGTTGTAGGACTCGAGTCCAGGACTTGGATTCGAGTCGGCCTCGAGTCACATTTTTCGTGACTCGGACTCGACTCGAGTCACATTGGAAAATGACTCGGACTCGGACTTGTCCATGATGACTCGGACTCGAACTTGGTGACTCTTGTATTTTCATCAAAAAAAAAATTAACGTTAGGCCTACGTATTTTGTGCGACGAGTGTAGCATTCTTTTTTACGTACTCCATAGACAAAACACGGCGCCGTGAAAAATCGTATCCAGGGGCCGCGCTCGCACTAGGGCCCGGTGTTCTGCCAAAGAAGTATCGCGTTATCGCGTTATTTTGGGAAACATGGGGAAACTATAGATAAGTGTCACCAATACGAATGTTAAAATTCTAGAATTTTACTTCAATGCCCGACCAAAATTTGTCAAAACTATAACCTTGTGTTCGGAATCCATTTAAGACTTTGTAATCAGTAAATATTCATGCAGTATGGGGAAGAAAGTAAGCGCATGTAAGGTTTTCTGTGTTAGATCATTCTTGGCACGGTTCACTGGGAATTAAAAGGAAAACACATTTGGGTCTAAACAACATGTACACACACAAGCTAAACTATATACACTGGGAATTACTTAAAAGACACAATTGATGATTGAAAATATATTTTTTCAAATTGGATTAGTTTGGTGCACAACTATAGGAACAATTAGTGATCACTCTTGATCGGACTCGACCCTTGTGACTCGAGACTCGGAATCGAGGCTTGTGACTCGAGACTCGGACTCGGACTCGAGGCTTGTACTCGGACTCGACGTGGGTGACTCGACTACAACACTGGCAGCTAGTGGCTTATTTTGGTCTCCTCAAAATGTTTAAGGGGGCACTAGAGAAAGAGATAGAGGGGGGCACACAGACCTCCAGTGGATCAGGGGGTTGCATTATCCGTTGTCCAAATGCCACTGAGTAGCAGTCACGTGACTGCAGGTTGTGCGCGGGCAATAGGCTACGCTTTACGGTGATTGATTCTTTCTTTTCCTAGTGCAAATGTATTCTTAGATATTGTGGGCACACTGCATGAAGGGTGGGTTAGTAGGGGTGGAATGGATTGAAACGTACTGTTAATTGGAAGTTAAGATGATTCCAGATTAATGATCTGTCGCCATTTAATCACATTTTTTTTTTAACCTGATAATTCAACACCACACGATTTCCAATAAAGAAAAAAACCTTTTTTTTCTGATGAACTATGACCGCCTGTAAGGTATATCAATTGCTGTAAAAAGATGACGTTAGCATTCTGTAATGCAGAGTGCTTTTCTCAACAGACTAGTCCATGTCCTTTCCCACAGGTGTTCGAAAATGGAACCATCGTGGAAGCACCGTTTTTTCCATCATCTGGCCTCTGCTTCTGATCGCTCTCTGCGTGTTGGATATAATCAACAGCGCCTTTCACTTTTGGGGTCGGAATAACGAAGTCTTCCATCTCATCCACAACGGTACATATCTGAGTGTGGTCTTGCTAACTCCGGTGTTGTGTCTGATAGCGAATATCAGTCACATTATTTCTGATCACCGGGGTTCTTCTACCGGGCGCTTCTGCAGCTGGCGAGATGCCTTCAGTGTACGAAACATAGTCAAATGCTTACAGCATTTGGAGTTGGAGGAACGTGGTTTGCCGTATAAAGCTTATCTGGCGTTGTGTATCATCTTGCCTTGTATTGACGAAGTTTACCTCATCTACATCCGATTCTACGTCTACCAAGACATCACTTATGATGTCCTCGCGCAAATCTCTGTGATTGGCGGTATCTTTGTTACACTGGTGTGGGCAGCTTTCTGTTATCTGACGCTTCTACTTCGACTGTCCTTTCAGAAGCAGCAGGGTCTGGTCTTAGCTTTTGTCTGGAGACACGCAGGCAAGATAGACGTCTGCAGACGCCGGCTGGCCGACTTCGCAGAAGAGCTCAGAAGCATGATTGGGTTGGTCTCTGTTTGGATCATGGTCATCGTTCCCGTGAGCACGTGGGCGTTTACCACTCTGGTCGTTGACTACTGGACCAATTACGGAGTAATCTACGATCAAAACGCCTCTCAAGTTTACAGGTATGGCCTTGTTTGGTACAGGCGCATCAGTTTTCTGATCATGCCGTTATTTGCACTTGGCGAGATGGCCTTCAAGAATACGTGGTCTCAATTCAGGCGTGCCATCAGTCGGATGAGAAATGAGGAGCAGGATGTTTTCTGGGATAAGATTCTGGCTTTCTGTGAGGAACAGCCCTCGGTATCTAAAGTGGGGATCTTGATTCTTGCGTTCTCTACTTTAGGCTTCTTTCTCGGTCTAAATTTCCCCAAACCGAGTGGGTTTGGAGTGACGAGCACTCCGTACAACAGCGTCCTCCAAAGTCCAACTCCATCGTTGTTTTAGATTAAAACAAACTGAATCACCTCCAGTGATTGTTTTGAACTGATGGGAACACTGAAAATGTTAAGAGAAAATGGATGACCACCTCAAACATTGCTAAGTAAATTATTTTGATCATATTCGATCCGTTTTTGATGGTAAATATGGAGGCAACCCTCAAGAAAAACGTTAAACAAGTGCATTCTGTGGGTTTGCGGAAGATCATATTGTTTTAATCTTAAATTGCATCAGTGTGAATCAAAGGTTATAATTCGAATGATTCTTTACAAAAAAGCCAATTAAATAATTTGATTTCCAACGTAGTGTAGACGTATTTTACCAACTATTGTCCACCTGTCATGACTGCTGTGATATCGGTCGCAGTATAGCGATTGGGGGACAATACAAATAAATTAATGAGAAATGTATACATGTATATATAATATATAACCAAAATATAAATAGGTCTGGACACCATACACTTTCGACAAACTTTTTTGTGCTCAGGTAATTTTATTTTTTTTCTCAACAATTTGTATATTGGTTTTTAAAGCTATAGTCCATCATTTGCAGCTTTCCGAAAATTGACTGGCGTAATTATTGTTGAAAAACATACTTGGTTGAAAGATAGTAAGGGGATTGGACTAAACTCCCTGTGAAGTTTTTTTTTTTCTGGCAAGCTGTCAATTTGAAGTAATCAACGAAAGAAGGCCTTTCCAACGATGCTTCTTAAGACGCACCGCAGGAACTAAATTAGTAGTTCGTTTTGTTATTCGGCGAAACGCGCGCAAGCACGCAAGCGCGGTTGCTACAATTCGTCGGATCAGTGCGCGACATCGCGTAGCTGCAATCGGCTCAGTGAGAACGCGTCTCGGACGCTGAATTCACTCAATTCAGGCCCAATTCAAAACATGATTCCGCAAATTTTGATTTGAAATTGAGATCCTAGAATGCTGTTTTTCTCGGAATATAGAGCTGAAGCTGAGCTGAAACTTCATCAGATTAGTTGTTCAGTACCCTACTTTAGATTTTGAGCACATTTGTTGGTTCAAACGAACAAAATGCACAAATTACAAATGATGGACTTTATCTTTAAAGATGCATTCCCCGTGTCGTTTTCGAGTTTCACCTCGAAAAAAAACCCCACGATTTTACTGCTATTTTCCAGTAATATAAAATTTAGTCACTTTTGAATAAGGCATATTTGAACAAGAAAAATCCGCCGACGTTCAGTTCTTTAATTTTTGTTTTTACAAAATTCGGATTATTGGCTGCGTGACAATAATTAGGCTCTCGCAGGGCGGGTTATCTGTGCACCAAATTAAAGCCCTTTTTCAAAAAGCTGCAGAAGCCCCAAATAGTAATAAAGTATTTTTTTCGGTAAAACAAAACATACAAAGTGAAAAGTCGTTAGGAGAAAAAAATATCATTTTTTGAAGAGCATAGGGTTTGCATTTTTAACGGAAACGAGGGAAACTCTGTCTCTGAAGTAAGCAGAGATCTTAGATAAAATTCTTCGGGATAAACTGTATAGGCCTACTAGTAGGCTAATCATGCATTTTGCTGAAAGGCTATTTTATTTATAATCCAGACAATCATTGCAATTGGATTCGTAATTTAAGAATTCACGAGGCGCGAAGCGCCGAGTGAATTCGTAAATTAAGAATCCACACTTGCGAGTGTTTTCTTCGACTTTGCGTCAACAGAAGTATTGGAAAGAATGTTGCAACCTGACGCCACTTTTTTCTTCATATATCATCTCGATGAAGGTCATTCGTTGCAGAAATGATGATAAGACATGAATCTGGGACTGAGGTATGTTTCAAATTTTGTTAAGAAATACTTGAAATGACTAGCTCTCCATAGACTTTTCACACAAGCGCGGAAGTGGCGTCAGGTTGCAACATTTTTTCCTGGCGTGTTTAGCATGTGTATCGCCACACCCGTACAACCAAGCCATTTTGTGTGTATGCGCTCCTTACGACAAAATGGATAGTTCAGACGGCGAATTCTTTCTGACTAAAAGTAGTTTTTGCAGTGACGGCGGCGAATGTGACAGTGAAGATGCATTGGTAATTTTCGGATAGCAAATTTTCACGCTGACGGTCCTATTCACGCTAATTATGGAGAACAATATTATTGTCCGACGTGTTCAAAGTGTGGATTCGTAATTCCGAATCCACACTTTACTAAAGATTCGTCGTTCCGAATCAACACTTTTAACAATAGTGTGACGTCATAGCAATGGTTTAAATATAGTTAATGCATGGGATAGCATATTAAAGACGAAAACTTCCGCAATTTGAAGCAAGGGTCAGAATGTCGTGTCAACATGTTTGATCCACGACTCATGTGTGCAAAGAGGGGAATAATACGCGTCCTTTGTGTTTCACAAGCAGCAAGCCAACCAGGGGATTTTCCCTGATAAAGTTAATGCATTATCTCATTGCGTGGGGGATATTTTGCGAGACAGTTTGCCAACCTATATTTTTTTCTTCAATGGAATCTTTGAAAAGAAGGTTAGAGCACTGGGAAAGCCGCACAGAAGTCAAAATAAATAGAAAGGGAGGAGGCTAGTCGTGTGTATAAAATCATTGAGTAAGTGACTGTGGAATATTCGTTTATTTTCGCACTTGCTCATATAATGGGCTATACAAAGCCAAGCTTACCTTAAAGATATAGTCCATCATTTGTAATTTGTGCATTTTGTTCGTTTGAAGCAACAAAAGTGTTCAAAATCTAATGAAGGATACTGAACAACTAACCTGATGAAGTTTCAGCTCAGCTTCAGCTGTATATTCCGAGAAAAACAGCATTCTAGGATCTCAATTTCAAATCAAAAGTTGCTAAATCAGGTTTTGAATTGTTTTGAATTGCAGCTATACGCGATGTCGCGCACTGATCCGACGAATTATAGCAACCGCGCACGCCTGTGCGTCGTGCCAATGCTTGCGCGCGCTGCGCCGAATAACAAAACGAACTACTAATTTAAATGTTCCTACGGTGCGTCTTAAGACGCACCGTTGGAAAGGCCTTCTTTCGTTGATTACTTCAAAATGATAGCTTGCCAGAAAGATTAATTTCACAGGGAGTTTAGTCCACTTACTACCTTTCAACCAAGTATGTTTTTCAACAATAATACGCCAGTTACTTTTTCGGATGGCTGCAAAATTAATGATGGACTATAGCTTTAAAGCTGACGCATGTAGCAACCTGTCGGTGCTCTTGACCCATTCCATTTTTCCACGTAACGAGTTTTCAATTTGAATGTCATTTTCTGAAAGAAAAATTATTTTTAGCGGTTTTTTTATTTATTTATTTATTTATTTATTTATTTTTTAATTTTTTTTACATCTGCAACCCTCTAAAAACATTATTTTGGGTTACTACATTGGGTCTCTATTATAATACACAAAAGACACGCCTGAATCGAATTGTCGAATCGGAAACATTCCGAAACTTGTAAATGCATGTACATTGTTTGTAATTATTTTCCAGGACCAAATATGTGCGGATTGTATCGTACTTTTGTATTGTTTAAAAAAAAAAGACGCAATTAACAACTCTTTTTCTGGGTGAATTCTGAACATACCACCGATGGTACATGTTTAAATTGAATTTTACCTCTCCCAATTTTGCATTCCCGGATCGATTCAAATCATGGATAAGTCTATGATAATTATTCTCCCACACAAATCTGTGTCTCCATTAATATCCGGTACTCTCGGGAATTGGGGACCCTATTGTCCTCTATCGTTCAACGTCCCCTATTGAATGCAGAAACAAACTCACACATACCCATGTTTACGTTACATGCGTAGTGTGGACATTTCTTTGTTTTCGTGTAGTTAAGAAAAACCTCTGAAATTTTTTTTATTTTACTCACACTGTGCAAACTCTTTCAACCCAATTTTGTTTCTATGATCCACACAAACAAGGTTATGTACATTGTAAATAAGGCATTACCTTTGCCCAATAAAATGTGTGTCATCATAATACAAAACAACATTTCAATTTCCGGCCCAATAAGTAGCAGTCTGCTCAATTCATAATCCGTTGTGTGGTCTTTGAAGGGAAATTCCATCGTCATACTTTTTCTCACAAAGACTTTTTTTTACAAAACAAATTTTTAACAAAAGATAATAGAGCGCCATATAAGCGTTGATTACAGCAGCAGGCCTCCAACACTCTATGTGGCTGCCAAATTCTGATTGTTGCGTCGAGGTCTCGACCGGTGTGATGGATTCCTCTATAGCGAGAATAGCCCGTTGCTCCAAAATCTGGGCGTCAGGCATGCCAAGCCTCCTTGCATTGGATACGAGAGCTTCCCACTGGAAAATCTTGCCGTTGGTGAGCCCGGTCCTGGGCCTTCTCCCAAGTCGACGAGAGGCCAACCCTGGCCGTCGGTCGTCTGGTTTCTGCTGAAGATCATCGGACTGTACAACTACCGGCGCATTGTGACGCGGCGGCCGTGCCATCTTTGCCACTTGGCCGCCGTGAAGAGGCGGCTCCAGCGGGCCGGCGGGGAGAAGGCTGATACCGGCCGCTGCGGCCTCTATCCCGGAGCGGCGATGCCGATGAACCTCGGTGAAGACGGCAATGATGATGGTGATGATTGCAAGGAGGAGCAGCTGGTCTGTCTGGTGGAAGGCAACATGAACACGGTTTTCGATAAAGACGGTCCGGGGAGTCCTGCCGATGAGGTGTGTGCAGTTTGCCGGAGCGAATGGTGGGATGGATGGGGAAGGTGCCGCCCGTACTCGGAAACCGATATTGGTAAGTAACGCAATCAATTGCATACTCAGCTAAAGTGTTAACAAAAAAGAGTTTTTATTTCAATGTTCAAATATTATTATTTCTAATAAAAATGTGAAAACTCGTCACTGACACCATACGAAGTTAACCATATTTTTTTTGATTTTCAGTTTCTTACATTTTTAAACATTATTCATCAAGGCCTACCATTGAACGAATTTTCAAAGCTTCAAGAGCTTCACTTTAATAATTACGCTAATTATCCATAGCAACTTTTGCGCAAGAGTGACAATTTTCGTTTTCACGAAGTTAACACTCAAGTTCCATTTACCATTGCAATGCATGGCGCGCACTCTGCCAATGTGAGCCAAAACGTTTTCACGAAGTAACGTAACACTCTACTTGTGCGCGCGCCCTGACCTGAAGTTGCACTTTCCTCGTGTTGTATACATTGAAGAGTGTTACTTCGTGAAAACGAAAATTAGCCTAACAGTTTCGCAGCTTTTTCAGTTTCACGAACTAAGGCCAAAAAAAAAAATAAGTCGGTCTCTGATCAGCGCGCGCGTCGATTTTAATCATGCGCGTCAATCTTTTTTTTTCCAAAATGTTCCGCGGTAGCTCCAGCAGCGCCCTCTATTGCCGCACCTCCTCAATTTTTTTTACCAAAGAGCACCAAGGAATGGGAAATTGCACCAAGGCAAATGATCGGGAGCACCAAGGCAAATTATGGAGGACACCAATGTACATGAGGACACCAAGTAGCAAAATAGTACCCCACCTTGTCTGTACAATCCAAGCTTGAAGAAAAAAAAAAAAGCCGCGTCCCCGCGTCAATTCCGGAACTTTGGTCTGACCAGAGACCGAATTTTTTTTTTGGCCTAACACTCACCTTTTTTCCTCTTATTTCTTGTTGATTTAATACACAAAAGGGTGAAAACAGCAGATTTAATAAATTCAATTCATCAAGTGTCCACAACGAGAAACCCAACTGAAAATACTCTGTCGTTTTGACGCAAAGTGTTGTTTTAGAAGGCGTTCAACTTTAGTTGCCATTTTCTCCGATTGCTAGTTTTTACTGGCATGCACATGGGTGTTACTTCGTGATGTTGCTGACGAATTATGTAGGCAACGGCGTTAAAATAAAATCGTTCAGTTCATACTTCGAATTTCTGTTGATAGGGGAGAGCTCGATCAGTCCTTCAGATCAGTACATGTGTAATTTCATTAAATTTATCATTGGCTCTCTATCGACTTTGAAGGAACGTTTCTTTTTGTAATATTTTTCGCAGCATGCCAAAAGACTGTAAGCTGAATTCTGTTGATTTATCTATACCTTATTTCCTCCTCAAATCCCGCACTCCATAAACCATGCTTCATCACACACAAGTGTTTAGAAGACCTGGAGGTCAACAATGTGTGAATGAGTGCATCTTACAAGTTAAAATTGTTTACAAGATGCGCACAAGTGGGAATAATAAGCGATACATTTCTATCTACAGGAATCTTCCAATTTGGTGATTTCTGGTCGAAAGAGTTGTAGCCAATGACGCTGTTGAGGAACATTTTTTTTTCAATGAATTTTAATCAATGGATTTAATACAATTTATTTAAAAAAATGTTGTTGATAAACGGATTTCGCACGCTTTTTTCGCAGTGAAGAGAATCAAAGAAACTCTATATCCTCTATCTCAGTCGCACCTGACGAAGCTGAAATCAACTTTGAATCAAGTTTTTAAATTCAGCCACCTTTCTAATGTACAGTTTTTTTGTTTTTGTGTTTTGTGTAAAGCAATTTTTTTAAGCCTAGAAACTTTTTACCCATAAACCTTTTATCATTCTCTCTCATCCATTTGTATGTAATGTAATGCAAATCTTTTTATGTGTAGTCTTGTGAAGATTATATTTAATTCCATGTTTATCCAGTCGTTGGTCTTGAAATGATGTAATTCTATGTCTGTTCATATTCCTTGTCTTACCCCTCCCCTCTCATCCTCTCCCCCTTCCCACCCTCTCCATTTCATGTTTTTTTTTATTTTATTTTTTTATATATACTATTTTAGTCTTTCGCTGCTCTTGTAAAGTAAAGTTTTGTTTTTAATGATTAAACATTGTAAATGTTCTTTACGATTCCGCTGCTGGCGGCGAAAAAACACATAATAATAAACCAATTAATAATAATAAATAAACAAATACATCTCAGTTTATAATATGGATGGTTTAAAATGTGCAAAATACAACATACCAGGATATTTTTTTAAAAGACAGCTTTGGCTGTTTTGCATGTCCGAGCAACCGACGGGCATGACGCCACAGGTGACCTGATCTGAAGGACACAAATCAGATTTTTGAAAAAAGATATAGACCTGCTTATAAGCCAATTAATCATGTCATGTACATTTTGCTGTAGTTGGAAGGTTCTAATTCTCAGATGTTCTTGCCTAAAAAAACAGATAAGGATATTCCCCGCCTAGCATCTCCCCTTAAACTAGGCCTTGATCAAACACTCGATGTAATTTGGCATGAAATAGCATCTATCGTTTTCCTCACTAAGGTGTCCGGAAATGGAACCACTGCGGCAGTGCAGTACTCTCTCTCATCTGGCCCTTGACGCTGATTGGTCTCATCATGTACGACTTCTGCAACTATCTCCATGACTACTGGGGACACGAGGAGCAACTCATCCGCCTTATCAGCTACTCCACCTTCCTCTCATTCAACTTGTCCAGCCCGCTCATGAGCCTCGTGGCCAACATCCAGAACATGATGGTGGATCACCGGTGGTCGAGTAGGCGCCGCGGCTTCAGCTGGTACGAGTGCCTGAGCGTGCGGTTCATCGTGAAACGCCTGCAGCACTTGGGGCTGGGCGAGCAGGGTCTGGTGTACAAGCCGTACCTCACGGTGTGCATCGTTTGGCCAGTCGTAAACGGGGTATACCGCGCTTTCATCTACTACATCTTCGTTGTGAGAAAATCCATGAATTCCCATATGCAGATCTCTCTTGCCACGGGCGCTGTGAGCATGGTAGTCTGGGGAAGCTTCTGTTATCTGATGCTCCTGATGCGTTTGTCCTTTCAGAAACAGCAGCGCTTGGAGCTGTCCTTTCTCTGGCGTCACGCGGGGCAGGTTGACGTCTGCAGGGGCCGGCTGGCTCTGTACGCCCAAGACCTCGGCAGCATGTGTAGGCTTGTCTCCGCTTGGGTCATCATGGTTGTAGCGGTCTCCACCTGGGCTTTCACCACCCAGATCTCCAGGGACTACCTGGCCATCAGCAGCGACCTCAAGTTGAAGAATGCGAACCTGGTGGTCAATATCAACATCATGATCTGGTCCGAGAACTTCATGTTCCTGATCCTACCCCTGGTGGCGCTTGGCGGCTTCGACCTGAACAAAACCTGGGTCCAGTTCGTCAGAAACGTCAGCCAGATGAGGTCAGAGGCACAGGAGGTTTTTTGGGACAAGCTTCTGGTCTTCTGCGAGGAGCAGTCTCCGGTCTACAGGGTGGAGACCACTGATCTCTATATAAAGACTGGATAGCTAATACAGAGCCGCACAATGTACGAATTTGACGCCATATTGGTGAGACCGGCTGGTGATCTACAAAGGACAAGTTGCCGTTTTTATAGACAGCATGATTTCTTTTGTAACGTCGCAGTTCACTTGAGTTATATTTTGACCACCATCACTGACCAAGGTTAACTACAATTTTTCTAACGTCGTGGTTACTAAAATGCCGCAAATATAACTTTTTCGGCGTTTTGAAATAATAATCACTACGGAAATGTGTCCCTTTTAGAACATCATAATATGTGTACGTGACCAAAATGCGCGTCAACTGTTGATACAACGCGCGCGTATTTACGCGTAGAACGTTCGTATTATACGCGGCCATCTTCGTGAGACCGGGGGCGAATTGGTCAATATGCGAAGTCTACTGTGTGAATGTTGTATGCATATCCGCTATCCAGTCTTTATATAGAGATCAGTGGTGGAGACCCTGACACTGATGTTCTCTGCTTTGGGTCTGTTCCTTGGTCTGCATTACGGTGACCAGAATGTTGAATACTTGATAAAATACACACGTTATGTTACCACGGTGAATCCCGTTGAGGTCGATATAATGCCAGCAATGTAATACAATTACACAAGGCATGAAACGTATGCATTTCTTTCTGGAGAATTACGTCTCATAGTTAAAGGTATAGTCCATCATTTGTAATTTGTGCATTTTGTTCGTTTGAAGCAACACACCTACTCAAAATCTGAAGAAGGGTGCTGATCAACTAACCTGATGAAGTTTCAGCTCAGCTTCAGCTGTATATTTCGAGAAAAACAGCATTCTAGGATCTCGATTTCAAATCAAAAGCTGCTGAATCATGTTTTGAATTGGGCCTGAATTCAGCATCCGAGACACGTTCTTACTGAGCCGAATGCAGCTACGCGATGTCGCGCACTGATCCGACGAATTATAGCAACCGCGCGCGTGCATGTGCGTCGTGTCAACGCTTACGCGCACTTCGCCTATTGAAAAAAACGAACTACTAACGGAAATTTCCAACGGTGCGTCTTAAAGCTACAGTCCATCATTTGTAATTTGTGCATTTTGTTCGTTTCAAGCAACAAAAGAGGTCAAAATCTAATGAAGGATACTGAGCAACTAACCTGATGAAGTTTCAGCTAAGCTTCAGCTGTACATTCCGAGAAAAACAGCATTCTAAGATCTCAATTTCAAATCAAAAGTTACTGAATCATGTTTTGAATTGTTTTGAATTGCAGCTATACGCGACGTATACATAGCGCACTGATCCGACGAATTATAACAACCGCGCGCGCGTGTGCGTCGTTCCAATACTTGTGCGCGCTGCGCTGAATAACAAAACGAACTACTAATTTAAATTTTCCTACGGTGCTTCTTAAGAATCATCGTTGGAAATGCCTTCTTTCGTTGATTACTTCAAAATGACAGCTTCCCAGAAAGAATAATTTCACAGGGAGTTTAGTTACCTTACTATCTTTCAACCAAGTTTGTTTTTCAACAATAATTACGCCAGTTACTTTTCGGATGGCTGCAAATGATGCACTATAGCTTTAATAAGAAGCACCGTTGGAAAGGCCTTCTTTCGTCGATTTCTTCAAAATGACAGCATGCCAGAAAGACTAATTTCACAGGGAGTTTAGTCCCCTTACTATCTTTCAGCTAAGTACGTTTTTCAACAATAATTACGTAGTCAGTCACTTTTTGGATAGCTGCAAATGATGGACTACAGCTTTAATCAAAATGTTTAAAAGTATAACTGTTACTATGCAAAAAGATGTAAATAATGCTAGCTAGAGAAAAAAAACCCCGCAAGGTCATTGAATTATGTTTATATCTTTATTTCTATATATAGGCCTATATATATATATATAACTATGATTCATAAGTTAAAAAAAAGTTTATTATTCGACAACAATGAAAATGCATGTCAAGATGGGGACTTTATAGGTTGAATCAACGGAGGGTGGCAAGTTGCGTAAACAGTTAAACACTTCCATGTTGTTAGGCATAACATTTGTGATAAATTTGGAAATATCACATGCTGTAAGTGTTTTCTTTTTTTATCCACGTAGAATAAACAGGAGCCAATAAGCAGCGGCTACGCCATCCCTCCCCCCCCCCCCCCCAGGTTATTAATAAATCTTTTAAAAGCGCCAGGTTGCCACACTTTTGTTCATATTGAACAAAAAAGAACATTTTTCTTCAAAGGAATATTTACAATCGTCCATACAACATCGTTTTGCATTCCAGACTTTTCAGTATTGTGTATGTTCTGTGGAAGCCTTACGCGTCGGAAATAGTAACTAGTCAAAGATTTTTAAGATTCATGTATACATTTTTATAGGTTATCAAGTCTTTCGGAATTTTTTTTGGGGAAAAATATTGAATGTTTTGCTCAATTGCTAACTATGTTAGGTATTGTAGTGGAAGTACCTTTTCTTAGTTGTTTGCGGATTGCAAGCAATGAAAGATGTACAGCTTTATAAAAAAAAAATCGTACAGCAATTAAACCTAAAATGGTGGGTGCGGATTCCATCCCCCTGCACTTTTTAGCAATATTTTTGCCAAACGCGCGTTTCTCGCCGTGAGCTTTCATGACTTTCAAGCTTCAGGTCTGGCGCATGTTTTATGAAAATTGACCTTAGGGTCACCGCGCTTCGGTGTCCCTCAGGTCAAACATTTTATTAAGTTTGTCAAAAAAATGCGTTGTTATTTTGCTCTTTCGAATTTTCTTCATGCTGCAGATTAATAAAGGACATTTTAAATCTCAATTTGGAGGAGTGTTGGGTGGTGTTAACAGTGCTTGCTTGAAATATGATCTGACTGTTTGGTGACTAGCCTGTGTAAAAGGCATGGCAGGGGAAGAGGATTGATTTGTTGATTGTCTGTGACTGTTCAGACAGCAGGAGGGTTAACTTTTTTTATTTGATAAATAAACCAACATATTCTGAAGAACCAGTCTAAACTGAGCCTTGAAGTAAAAAGCCCTGCAGTGGAGGTCATTTATTTACAGAAAAAAACCACTACGAAAGCAAAACTAAAAAAACAGCACCATAAAAACCAGAGTCTCATGACATCATTCTTTTGACTTCAACGTTGGGAAATCCCCTGGACTTCCTCTCAATTATTTATTTACAAAAAGAAACTGTCCAACAATCAGCGGGGGTGTCCCAAATCTGTTCACCCCTTTTATTGGCAAGATTTTTCTTTTTTTTTGCCAACAGCGATATCTTGGTTCAGAAATTCTGGGTCGGCTGGAAACTATTGTTCCATCTAGTTGCGTTCCCCGTATTCCTCAACAAATTTGTTTCTATTAATAAGTTTTCCAAACAGGTATGCTTTATTCCAATCCCCAATTAAATTGTTTTGGTGGTTTTATTTTGGGCATGAATAGATCCGCCTCACCAGCAGACTGGTTCCCGGTCCGTACATTATCGATACTGCATGATTGTGTGGCGGGAACCAGCCTACACCTGGCGAGAACAAAATTATTGTCGGGCCACAAGAACTTCAAAATTTGTTAAAGGGAATATACAACATTTGCAAACATCGAAAAATAAAACTACCAGATTTTTACAAAATACTTTACTAGGATGTTTGTAAATGACAGTATAAAGCATCCTGTAAAATTATGGCACCTGGTGTGAAGTCATTTTCAAGAAAATAGTATTTTTGTATACATTTCCAACCACCGTTGGAAAAACTATTTTTCAACTACTGATCCAACTACTAATCCAACTTTACCATTTTTCAGTACAAATTTTATTTGCTATTGGTTACATGTTCATGAACGGGTGCAGGCCATCTAGACTGGTTCCCCACCTTACAATTTTCCGGCATCTATAAATTGATCCATTTCACCTTTAGTGGAGTCAGGGAACCAGACTGCTTGAATATTTTAGTTTTTCTTGGTTTTTCCAGCATTTTCGAACACAAAACTTCAAACATGTCAGTGTAACAATATTTGATCTATTATACTAACCCCTCAAATAGTTAATTTCTGAAAATTACAGCAAAAGCAAATGATGTGCATTCCCTTTAACCAAGTAACAATTGGTCGATGTCCCATTCAAAAGTGAATAACTTTTGATTTGCTAGTTTTGGTCCTTCTTAGAAAAAGAATCTATAATTCTCGGGATGCAATGCACTCGTAAAAAAAATGAAAATACAAATTTAAGTAAACATTTCTTAGTATGGGAAATATTAATTTTGTGCAGCCATACGTCCCACTTGATGGCTGCACTAACTCAACTCAACTTACAAAAGGAACAGGTCATTGACATGGGCGTGGCGAGGGGGGGAAGGGGGGTGCTTGCCCCCTCCTGGCCTGGAAAAGCACCCCCCCCCCCAAAAAAAAAAGGGGAAAAAAAGAAAAAAAGAAAAAGAGGCGCGAGTCATATTGGTGTAAATTTAATGGGGTGGGAGGGGGGAGCAAAATGTCCCTGCCCCCCTCTAAAACTGATAAATTGAGAATATGTTGAGAAATACAGGATTTTTTTGGGGAAAATATGTTTAGCCCCCTCTAGAAAAAATCCTGGCGACGCCCATGGTCATTGAAAATGTACAACGGAAGTAAAACTCCAATCAAAATTGAAAACAGATGGTATGAGATAATGGGTTTAAAAGCGAAACTAAAACACAGTGTCACAAAGGAGGGAAAATGATCTCCAATATATTTGCCACAAATCCCCTATCGTAAGTCCGCCCAGCACGGGGACAGTACTGTTTGCGACTTTGGCGCAACGATTGCTCTCTCTTTTTACCACTTCCTCCTGAGCCGGTGACCTCGACCGTGACCCGAGACCTTTTGTACCTCTCATTGGTGGTTTGGTTGGAAGCGAGGAGGAAGAGGTGGTAAGAGAGGAAGACGGTAATGAGGATGCCCAGAAGGAGGAGGGAAGTCAGCAGGAAAACCGGCCCTGGTAGTTGAATAAACAGATGCTGGGAAGTCGGCATGGTCAAAAACAGAAACAAAAGAAACAAAACAGAAACAAACAAAAAATTGAGTAAAATAAAATTTAATTGAGACAAAAATTATATGACATGAATATTCGGATGAAGAATGGAAAGACACATACACACACATACAAAACAGAAACAAACAAACAAAATTGAGTAAAATAAAATTTGATTAAGTCAAAATGATGTATGACATGAAAAGTCGAATGAATGATGGAAAGACAGTAAATCAAGAGGAAATAAACACAAAAAGAATGCAAAACATGGAAGAAATTAATGGGAAAACAAATGATAGCTATAATTGCCACCGAACTGAAAGCAGCAGCACTGGAAAGACGGGGGTCCGCTCATAAGTCCGACGCCTCATAAGTCCGACAAAATCGCATCCCCTAACCAAATAGGTTTTGTTTAAATCTGTTGGGATATAGGTACATTTTTGTACAGTACCCCTTAACTGATGGTCTGTTACACTGGGGTTGGCATACCTCCAGAAACAAAGTCCAACAGTGTGCGTGTACAATTTCCCATGTGGGTGTTGGAATTTGCCAGAATGGGTATGGTTCCTAGTAAATTAGGCTGGGCAGTTAGGGTTAATGAACTTTTTGTTACACTCATACATGTGTATATTACGCTTTTCAATTCCTTATTTTATTCCTTCTTCAATTTGTTTTTAAATTTCTCCCTTTTTTTTTTTTTTAATTAATTTCTCTTTTAAGTTTTAAATTTCAAACATTTTTTGTTTCTCATTTACAGTTTAATATAGTTATTTTAAGCTTTTATCTTTTGATCCGGGAAGTGGTTCAAGATGGACGGTACAGTCTTCTCCACGACCCCTTACATTGTCAGAAATTTTTAATAATAATTATATTAAAAAATGTGTGGAGATGATATTTTGATTACAAGTAGATTGTCACAATTAAGGCTATTTTCTTGCCTCATGGTGTGAAAGAAAATCGTTTCATACAGGTAGCTATTTTTTCATATCCAAGGGTTTGAATTACACAGAGCTGAATGGAAACTAAGAGCAGTAACTGAGAATTCTTCATCAACACTTTCAAAGAAGTAAATTTGTTTTTGTATTTCAATTGTGCAGTGGTCATAGAAAACAAGTTATAGAAAAAAAAAGACATCTCAGCTGAATTCTGACACCAACGACCTAAACAAGTGGCTCCAACACAAAATGCGAGTCCTATCAGTTTCAGTATAAAGTTAGTGAAAAAAAATTGTCTATGATGAGCTACTGCAAACGAATGGTGACATATTACCACAGTGCTTGATGAAGCGTCAAGTGGTACGATCAATGTGGAGTCAAATCAATTTCACTGAAAGTTTTCTCTTTATGACGACATTCATTAAACCTCCTATGCAAACATACATTCTGTGCCAAGTAGTCCTTTCAATCAAAATCAAACCAGTGACTGTTTTCAACAGAATTCCCGGCCTACATAAAGCAGGATTGACTGGCTGGGACCGTTTAAGTAACTTGATACAGCTAGGCTTTGACTCCGGGTGAGTGATAAACAGCTGTGATCGCAACTTGCCTGCTTTGGCTTTTGACCCGGTTGGACTAGTCACAGTGCTTGCTTGGCATATCTGACTGCTGGCGACTAGCCTCTGTTAAAAGTATGGCAGGGGAAGTGGAAGTGATTTTTACTGTCTGTGACTGTATAGGTAGCGGGGGGGGGGGGGGGGGGGGTAATAAGAACATGTTCTACTCTTTCTAAAAGCACATCTGAAACCTCATATCAGGTGGCACTTTAACCAATGACATCCTTAAATTAATGAACTGGAGGGGTCATAGCTTGCCAAGTTAGATATCAAATATACAAAGCAGAGAGCACTGAAATGATCAGATTATGTGCTGAGAAGGAAATGGGTAACAAAAAAATGACGAAGGTCATAGAGCAAACAGTGGCACAAGCATTCTATAGAAAATAGACAGCAGCTAAAAGTGAAAGGGTCACCTCGCAAATGTAAAAGAAAAAGAAATAGGAAGGAAGAAGTACAAGGAGCTACAGAGTATCTGCCCAAGGCCTACGAGGGTACTAGCAGCTGAACAATGAACAATGTAACTGCATCGCACTCAGATACATGTAGGTCAGGAAGGAAGAAAATGAAATGCGAACACCGCAGTGCCAATAAGGATCTGCAGGCTCAATGTCAACCTAAAAAGGAAGCTGGCTATACATGTATGTTTAATTACAGCACATTGCAAAGCTACAACCAGTGATTAGCCCCAGACACTATGAAAACATGCAGGGGCGTGAGTGGCCACTGATAAAAATTGCTGAAAACAGCTGGGAAAAAATGTGAAAAAGCTGAATTTTGGAAATCTCCTATATTCTTTTGTAAACAGCAAGTGAAGGCAAAAGGCTGAACCTAAAAAAACCAAAACTGAAATCGGCTAAAAAGCTGAGATTTTACACCCCTGAACATGGCTTTCTAAATCTAACCATCTCTGTATTTACAAAAATAGACTTCCTTTTTGAAACAAAAGTTTATTAAACTGCTCTTACAGCAATGCCAACAAATTTTGTAACGTTGAAAGTGCCGACACATTATCAAATTGTGTGTGCGTGTGAAATGCGTTTAATTTGTAGCAACAAATTTGTATCACCCTCAAACTTTCACCAACTTGTGATGTCATGAATGGTTCAACGTGAATTGAACACTATTCATAAGATGGAATTTGGGTCAGGGTGATGTGCATGTACATCAATATTAGGTTTTGCTCTCCTCCAACGTTTAAGCACTGTATACTCAGTGTGTTACCTCCCGAGGGAAAGTTAGAAAAAAATCACTCGGGTTGGACTTGAACCCACGACCTCCTGCTTTTTAGTGCAGCATCTTACCACTCGACCACCGAGCTAACGGGAATCGGTTTGCTGGTTCGAATTTGATGTAGCAGTGGGTACCGCAATGAAACTATTCATAAACTATTCATTCATACTTCGTCAACACTTGTATGGCATGAACACAATTGCGGGGCGAGTATCGCAACTTTTAAATTACTCGGGAGGAGTTTTCTCTCCAGAACTCAAGTTGTAAAATTCACTACTTGGTCGGGACTTCATTGTCTTGACCAGTTAAATTCAAAGGTCAGTGATATATGCAAAAGAAATGTACAGTTAGTGATGGACACTTAAGTGTTAGACAAAGCAGTACTGTTACTAAGAAGTGGAGACTATAGTGTTAGTCCTGTGTGCACTCATGCAGAGAAACTATGGGTGCGTTCGAGCGTGGTATTTGTGCTAACACGAGTATACTCTTGAGCACATGAACGGCAGGAGTATGACTTCAGCGTAAGCGAGAGCGTACTCCCGCTTAGGCCTGGAGTATACTCTTGCACAGAGAGTAAATGCGCTAGCAACATTTCCTTGCACTCGGGAGTAGCAAGAGTAACACGCTCAAATGCACCCAATGAATTCTTCTCAATCTCATCAGAAGATGCTACAGGAAAAACCATCGGGACCCAATTTCATGGCGCTGCTAAGCACACGATTTTCTGCTGACAGAGCCTCTGTCAATTTTACAGAGACGGTAATTAAATAAGCACTGCAAAAGGCACGCTTACCACAGAGGAATAAATTTGCTTAACCAGTGGCGTCACAAAGAAATTTAAGCTCCATGCACGCGCACCCCACAGCACATCCGTGCCATGAAATTTGGCTTAAAGTAAGGGCATTTTTCTGCTGACTGTTATAAACAGTGCCATGAATAGGGCCCTGATCGAGTAAGTAATGGAGGTTTATGAATTCTTGGCTTCGTCTCCGTCTTCATCTTCAAGATTAAATGCCATGAACATTGAGACACTTTTAGTATTATGTCCATCTTCCATTACAGGGACACAAACTTCTCAATGGTGTATGTTCATTGGGTTTTGAAATATAGGATTCTTACAAATATTGGGCTGGAGGAGCATGAAGATGAATTTGAAGACAGAGCCAGGATTTTGTTATCTCCTAATTAATGAAGTTGACTCACCTGGAAAACTATGCGCGAGTCGACCTGATGAAATTGTCCATCCTTCCCCATGTAGCCTGCCTGCCAGACACCCGACGTGGCTGCAATTCCTTGCAAGACACGGCCGGTGACGTAGGACACGTAGAGCGTCACAAACGCGATGCTGGCAAGGAGGAGAAGGAAATAACGGACGTTGCGTCCACCGATGCAGTTGTTGACCCAGGAGCAGTGGTGGTCAAAGCGGTGGACGCAGTGGTTACAATAAGCTGGTGGGAAGCCAGGGAGGAAAAAGATGTAGAAATGGTGTTGTTAAAAGCCTGATTCGTATTCAATGCAAACATCAGTGCAAAGCGAATTCTAAGGGCAATAGTGAATGCCACAATGAAACTTTTACTTTGGTGTGGAGTATGATCCAGTGTTAAGAAGAGGTCATAAACTATTCAAGTGAACTGTGAGAAGCATTTCCTTTACCCCCGTTACTTGTGATCTGACTTGGAATTGACTTGTGATTGTCTTGGGGTTGACTTCATCGCAAACCTGGATTAGAATTTTTGACTTATGAAGTACAAGAGAACATCATCATGTAGTGGCATATTTAGGGAGCACCCCCTTGGAAGAGTTACATGTGAGCAAATGGTGTTTCACAGCTTACAATAACGAAGAATTCGACCATGGTGTCCGATGGTGTCTAATACAGTGGAACACCGCTATACCGAACATTTGGCTATACCGAACATCATCCGTGGCTTCCGGTTTTAATGTACAAAAGGTACCGAACATGGTTCAACCGATTAACAAAAAAATCTACAGGATGTATTAAATGCTATTTGGGTCACTTTTAATTCAAACTACCCTTGGTTACATCATGTTTGAATGTTGAAGAGCGATAGATGGATATTATTTCCCCAAGGAATAAAAGGAAAAACCACCCGTTGCTAAAGTTTCGTGACAAATCCTCGTGTAGCCGCGGGATGTGAGAAATGCCAGTTCACTATTGGTCAAAAGAGCGTACCGGCGATTCAAAATCGCTATACCGAACGATCGTTATTACGAACACTTTCTGTGGATCCCACGATGTTCGTTATAGCGGCGTTCCACTGTATAGTACAACATCACCTCCAAAAGTCAGATGGTGTCAATCCCCCCCCCCTGCCCCGCCCAATTTGATTTCACAACTGCCAACTGACCAGGGAAAAACTCCTGGCTACCTTTCTGCACAGACAGTCTGCACCAACACACATAATTTTAAGCCACCCACTTTTGTTTGTGCTGTAAATCAAGGATTTTCTATTGTTCCTCTTAATCAATCTTTTGTTCATACTTTTTTTGCACAAGCTGACCAACTGGTTTTGTACACCCTTTCTAATCGAGGACGTCCTTGATTTGACTCCCGTCCTCAAACACACAATGATGTTTCACATGTGTGTCCTCGATTTACAATATAAACAAACACATTACACTGTGTACCTCTCTCTTGTGATTGGTGACGAACAACCATACAGTGAAACGCCGCTATAACAAACATCGCGGGATCCATGGAAATTGTTCGTAATAGCGATCATTTGGTATAGCGATTTTAAGCTGCCGGTGCTCCGGTACTCACTTTTCAATGAATAGAGCCCTTCAGAACTTCACCATGCATGCCCTGTTAACATGTGCCGACTATTGAATTATGTAATTACACAGTTTTTGAGCTTACTACCGACAAGAATGGGTGGCTTTCTCCATCAATTCCTTGGGAAAATAATAGCCACTTGACACTCTTCTGCTGACATTTTTCTACAACGACGTGCGGTACACTTTGTACACAAAAATCGGGGGAGCACGATGTTTCGTATAGCCAAAGACTCGGTATAGCGTGCTCGGTATAGCGACGTTCCACTGTATACTGTTCATGCTCACAGCCAAATACCGAGTATACTTTAGAACCTGAATCTTACCACAGTGCTTTGATCGTGCGGGTTTGACGAACCTGCAAGTCTGGCAAAGCGTTCCCTCCTGGTAGAGCACACCGTCATACTTAAACACGCTGGCATACTTAGTGTGGTTCTTCTTCGTTATAACCCCCGGGTCGCTCCGACAGCAGGTGACAAAGATGGCCAGGTTGACTGCCATGCTGACGTACGGAGCGATGATGTAGATTGAGGGGAGATCAAGTGCCTGGGCACTGGGGTGGACTTGGGTGGCAAATACCCACAGGACCCCCGAGAATATAGCTATGTACAAAGCCTGGATGTAGTGGTTTCTATTGAGAGAGGAAAATATAAAGATGAAAGAAATTATCTTCACTATTAACATAATACTTTGTGATAAATACTTTGCGACTGGCCCATAGTTCAATTTGGGTCTATTTTAACATAATCCCTACCCTAGCAACCCTCAACCACGAAAAAAATGACAAAAGATTTATCTGAAATATTCACAAAGTTTTAGGCCAAATTTACAGTTGAATTTGAGAACATAATTTATCTTCAAGTAAACTTGAATCCTCAATCCTGATTGGTTGATCCATGGCAACAAGCCGTGCTACATATAACCATGTAGCACGGCCACAGTCCATACCGCACTCCGCGTATCGCGCCATTATTTGCGCTTGCCATTCCGTACAACACGCACGTGTAACACGCACATGTAACAGGATAACCAACAAAAAGTTTGTGTACTGTGTGCAATGTTCAAATTCTTAGTGCGTCAATTAAATTTAATGATACAATGTATAATAAAGTTATTATCCCACTCACGCTCGTTGAACACAGAAGATGTAGTGCGATCTGCGTTCCACACACCACTCGGCCTTTGGCCTCGAGGCATGTGGGACACAGACGCACTATATTCCGTGTTCGCTGGATAACTAATAATGCATATTTCAAGCTGCACTAACAATTTCTGCAAAGGTTGATTTAGTGATTGTTTTTGAAGTTTTACCTTTTGTAAAAGAGATATGTGATGATCTCACTGGCAAAATTCTGCAAACGCTCTGGGAAGCAGACATAAAATAGGAATGCTATGATCTGTAAAAAAAGACACAAAAGTAAAAAGTATTGTACAGTACCGGTATGATATAAAACAGTTTGTCAAATGCAATATTTCCACTTCAACTTTTCAAATGAGACCAATGTTCAGGAGTCAGGTTGGCGTTGCGGTACTTTCCTCGCCTTCCACCACTGTGACCCGGGTTCAAATCCCGCCTGGGCCAATATGTGGATTGGGTTTTCAGTCCCTACCTGATTCCATGGGTTTTCCCCAGAATACTCTTCTGGGGTTTTCCTCCCACCTCTAAAAATGTAATTTCTTCTCATTGTTTTTTCTCTACAAGGTTTCTTCAGGCTTGCGAGCTTACAGTGCCTAGGACACTCTTGAGGATTGAGGATTCCTTGGTTTCATTACCAGAAATATAATAATAAAAATAACAAATGGAGAGAAAAATGTCAAGTTGTATTTTTCATTAAAATTTGCACTCTTAATCAATCGACGGCCACCCACTTCTTCGGAGAATTGCCCAGCGTCCTTCCCTTCCCCCCATCCCAGTAAATTGCACCCTGGAACATGATCCAACATAGTCTTGGGTCCAAGACCTTCCTGTTGTTTATTCCTCGAGCACATCACTCTCACAGACGATCGCTGATAGAGGGCGCCATCTCGAGACGAACCGCTATCCTGTGATAGCGGTTCGTGGATGATAGCGGTTCGTCTCGAGATAGCGCCCTCTATCAGCGATCGTTTCGGTTCGTCTCGAGAAAGCGCCCTCTATCAGCGATCGTTTGTGAGAGTGATGTGCTCGAGGAATAAACAACAGGAAGGTCTTGGACCCAAGACTATATCCAACAATGTCAAGAGGGAAAACTAGATACCCTCAGCTTGAAGGCAAAAAAGACCAACACTGCATCTTGAAAAACTTCTGCAAGTTTTACAAGTGAAAGTCTTTGTTAGATTGGGCCTACTTGTTGTAGGTGTATAGCACACTATGTCCAGAAAGGTCAGCAAAATAAATTTTAAACAAATAAATATTAGTCTATCTGTTATAATTATTATTTGTTGCGCAACTCAGCAAAAAGAACAGTTTTACACAACGCCTGAATTAATCTCCATCATCTAATTGGTGGGTCGTTATAATCATATGTCATTGAATTATCGGTCCCAATGCACGGCTCCAAGGTCAAATAGAAGTTCCATTGCACGGTCATACTTTTTGGTGGCTCCGACCAATCAGATGACAAGGATTTATTCGGGTGTTGTATAAAACAACATTCGAGCTGTGGAAAGAATAATTTCATGGGCTGAAAAATTGAATGTTCCATTCCACTTGGATTCGCCTCATGGAATATATGGAACATTGCATCTGTAATCTCCAGACTAGGACCTGGAGTGCTCAAAATGATGCAAAAGAAGATCAGGCCAACTTTACTCACTCTTCAGCCAGCAAATTTCTTCCAAACTGCTACTGGGTAAGAGAAAAGTTCCTCAGTATTTCACTAACCAAGGTTGAAGACTCAATTCAATTTTTTAAGGAGACCTTTCTTCAATATTTGGCAGTGGCTTGCACATGAGAGGGAAGTCAAATTATTTCAAAATGAGGCTAGACTAGACTAGACTTCTACATGTCCATCCATGGTCCAACTGTTTGACAAGACTGACTTCTTCATTCATTGTCATTAGCCTGGTGCCTGACCAAGGAGTAATGTGTAGAAATAATAACCTAGTACCCTTCATCCAAGATATTTCTTTTGGCACAGTCAGCTGACAGTTGATAGATGCAGTACTAAAGAGTTGTTTGACATGGTTGTTTCATGTGCCAGTCTAATACCTTAAGTTTCGGGACTCTCATACACAGTATTGATCGAGAGTCCCAAATTTTCGGACTACTGTAATCTCATGAAGTTTAAACATTGCACACACAAACATTCAATATTTGTATAATATTAATTGTGGCAATTAGGCTAATAGGAGTAAGTTCATCGGTCCTCATGTCATTCTTAAAAATATTACCTGCACCACAATAGATTTACCTGTACAACTCCACTGCGTATCTTCCCGACAATACCATGACGGTGAAATTCACTGTCCCCACACAGAATGATGTAGCTTGCCAACAAGAAGAACACCATGTACGCAGCTACCAATGTCAGGAAATCTGCCATTTGGTCCAAAACGCCCGATAACCGTCAATGATACTCCATTATCTGTATAAGCATTTAGATCAACAAAAATTGTCAAATTATAACAAGGAGAGGGGAAACTGATTTAGATGCATGGACAAATATTCAGGGGGTGCATACATATACCTATGTTCCCCAATACCGATGTTCCCCGAAATCCTTACCTTAACCCTAACCCTAAGGATTTCTGGGAACATCAGTATTGGGGCACATAAGAATTGGGGAACATCAGGTAGACCCCATTTTCAGGACTCTGCATGGTGTTGATTTCACTCAGGAATGTTGTACTACCAGAGCTGCTCTCAATGATCAGTAGGCTGTTTCACAGAAACCACCATCTTTGGTCATCATACGCCACAACTATGCAATATGGTCCCAACTGAGTTGGGGGAGACCTATCCTGGTTCCAGGTCCAGCATCCACTGCGTATTTCAAATGATCCAATTATATTGGGGGCTGGGATTAGTCTGGGAGACCATCGCAAGTTAAATTGAACGTATTCGTGCGCCGATGGATCCTGACGCTCACGCGCGAAGACTATATGGCTCCCCTAGCTTTGTGCACATTCTGGATAAATAGGTTGCACGGATTAGTACAGTACGCACACACGGTGTCCCGTCCAAGAGGCTCTCAAAAGTGGTAAAAATGTGACCTCTTTTGTTGGCGCACAGAGCCCATATAGCCTAGTTGGGACAGTCCCAACAATTGGTTGGGGAATTCCTAACTATAGTTGGGACAACCCTTTAGCTGGTTTCCTCCAAACTACAGTTGGGAAGACCATAGTTGGGGCACAGAATGGTAATCTCAGGGGGCATTTCATTAAAAATACATCCCATCATGCTCAGGATACAATATGGCATGATATGGGACATACATGTATTTCAAAAATAATTGCCCCGAGAATTGCCAAGTGATACCAAAGATGAGCAGTATCTACATGTATGAAACGATCCATGGTCACTATGGGATTTCAGTTGGTGTACACAATCAGAATTAAGATTTATGAAACACTTAGTCTAGACTGACGAATCCTTTATGTACATGTACACGTTGAAGAAAAGATCTCATTTGAGATTTGATGTTCTTGATGCAAACATTGACACCAGCTCTAATGTTCATTATAGGCCTGGTTGAACTTCCAAAGTATTACAGTTGGGGTTGATCCCAAGCCTCTAGATCAAGACTCAGCCAGTCTACTGTATGGACTTTGGACTGCATGTATAAAGCCCAAAAGGCTGGAGCCAACGTTAGGGTTTCTCAATCTTGAGCTGCCGTTGTTTAGGTCAGGTGTCAACTAGCTTGGGAAACCCAAAACCCTAATGCTACTCGAATTGGCAAGTCTAGTTTAAGAAGCATCAATAGAGCTTGGGTTTCAGTTTCCCATGTTAGTGTTTCCAAGCCTCAGTCTATGGCTAATCGCTGGACTAAACTGGGTCTTCGCCATACCTACTGTGTTCCCATGCTCAGCAATAACTTGGATTTTTGGCAGAATAAACATGGAAGCTTTTCTCATGCATGCCATGTTGGAAATCAACAAATAATATGAATGTGCAGGTGGTGCTTCTAATTGTACTAAGAAGATATGCCATTTCGTGCTCCTGTTCTCAAGATTTCGTTTCAGCCTCTGCCTGTACTGTTTGTCTCGATCTTTCATCGATGTTGGTGTCCTTGATGTTTTGGGTGTGTTTTCCAGGTTGGTGGTTAAGTTTCGTTCTTACCAGTCAATTCATACAGTGTGATATCATTAGCTGGATGTGGCATTGAAGGGTATCCAGTGATCATCTGCTGGATGATGATGTTTCTGTTCTCCTGGCATGGTATGGTATGGTGGACTCGTCTTGCGGGTCCCATGTGTGGTGAAGATCTCCTTCAGTTTCTCTATTGTTGGTTTGATGCCATCCAATGGGTAGGCTAAACTTCTGGGTATCTCATGCATTTGTCTACAGCCACTAGATTGTTCTGGATACCGTCCTCTGAAGTACATCCCATGGTATGGGTGTAATTTTTTGATTGGCTGTTGCTTGTGCTCTTTTGCAGTAACCCGGCATTCGTAACACTGCCCTATATGATCTGCTCCATCATACTATTCATCATCAGGAACTATACACATGTAGTATTTCTCCCGAAGCATCAACTTGGTCTTCATCATCCTGAGGAGTTATGTACTGCCTTGATGATGACTCTGCAATGCAGGTAGTTGGGTGTGCCGGTGTGCCCAAGTTGGAATATCAGGTCTTCTGCTTCGTACAGCTCATGTACATGTACGCTGTAGAAGGGTGTGATGTCTGGGTCCTTCTGTGGTTTTGCCCGTCTTCACAGATTCTCTGGTGTAGTTTCTGGAGCTGTGTTTGTGTTGAGTTGCCTCTTTGATATGGTTGATGACACCTGGTCTGCTTCTAGGACTTTCTTGATCATCTACTCTGTGCTATCTGTTCCAATCTCCGGCTGGCAGGGGGGTGTCTGGACCGGAAGTCTTGGAGGTCTGCTAGCGGGTCTGGTACATGTAGCTGTCTTGCAGCCGCTCTCTGCAAGACAGCTTGTCGTGTACGTCGTTCGCTTGTTGAGGCACTTTGGGATGTCCCCAAAGAGTTTGCAGATTGCCCCATCATAAAGATCTTTGGGATGACTTTGCACCGAAGATTAATCTTCTTGAATACAGGTTGCCACGTGGTGTGCTAAGGTTAATTGCTACTGCTCTTGATTCTGGGTCAATTTAGGAGCTGGTGATCGCCCTCTTTCATGTCAAGCTTAGAAAAGATTGTAGAGACTTTTGCAGAGTTGAACTTGTACTTGAAATCTTCAACCACCAGCCATTGAATGACCCTATTCGTCTCCATGAATTTACTTGGAACTCGCAGATTGACATTGGCCCAAAATATCATGGGTGGTTTTGGCTCATTTCTGCACAATGACTGGAGAGCACCATGTCACTGGCTAATTGCCTCAAGATACTTGCTTGAAGATGGTTTGTCTAACCATTCTCTTAATGGTTTCTGGGGTAGTTTGCTGCTGGTCTCGGCTTTGGGCTACAGGTGCTGCTTGTGGCTTCATGCAAAAGTTAATTGGCAAAGATCTTGACATCTCGAATCAGGCTGAATGGTGATCAATGCCCTCGAAGACCTTAATTTTCTGTATCTGCTTGCTGGACTGCAGACTGTCGTGACATTGTAGGCATTTTCTGGAATTCAAAGGTGGTTTCGTTCTGCAAGGAAGCCATCTGGATGAATCGCATCATCCCCAGCTCGATGAGGGTGTTCTAACTGCTGATAAGTTGAGGCGAGTTGATTATGCCTTTGTTAACAAATTTTTCTCACTGTTCCAAACTTGTTGTTTCTGGAACTCCCCTTTTATGGGTAAATCTATAGGTCACTCTACAAGGTGTGTATATGCGGCTGGACTGCAGTGTTTTGGGATATTGTTCGATCTGTGCTGCAGTGCCTTTGTGTTGACTTCATCATGATGTTCACCTCTGCTAAAACTGTCTGGCTAGCTCAATTTGCACATCTGTCGGTGTCAATAACAGCCAACTGTCAGTACTGTCATTATGGATGAAATTCTCTGCACTTGCTTGACGTGTTGATCACTGCCTGGTCAAAGTTGAGATCACGTCGTCAGACGATTGTCATTTTCCTACATGGCATGCTAACTCTAGATGCAGTTTCGGCCATGCTTGGGTTTGGCATGAATCTGACAGGCCGGGGCTCTGCTAATTGGTTTTCGACACCCGGCACAGTACACCAACCATGATTGGAGTCGACTTTAAAAATTGTGACTTTGCTGCGCAAAGGTCTATTCCATGGCCAAGGTACAGAGTTAAGTCCATCCACAGTGACAGTGACTGCATGGTCAGTCATGGCTAGGATTTCCCAAATAGCCCATCAGGTTGATGGACGACCTTCATTGTATTATACGACTGTGAATAGTCCACCTCGGCTAGGTGATGCCAAGGAAGGGATCGTTCCTGCTATTTTTGGTCATGTGATAAATTGCGTCCATGTACATGTACCACCAGTGTAGCTTGAGTAATTCCAGCTGACGGCATGCATGTTCATCAGCAATTCCATGTAAATAACTGTAAAGTGATGTCATCAGCATGCAGCTGGGGTTTGGTTCGTGCACAAGTAACCCATCAACGGCCAGAAATTAAGGAGGGTTGGGGCTGACCAAGACTGGTTTCTGATCCATCCACTGCGTATTTCGAATGTATTCAAAGTTATGGGGGGGGGGCGGGTTAGTCTCGGAGATGCATCGGAAGTTTGATTTGAATTTCAAATCAAACTTCCGATGCATCTCCGAGACTAACCCGGCCCCAATGAATGTATTCGCGCGCCGATGACGCCTGACGCTCACGTGAAAATGCGGTGGCTTATAACTTTTGCACATTCAGGAAGTCGTGCGTAGTACTTCACACGCAAACCAGTATATGCGCGCACGCTGTGTGTCCCCGGCCTCAGCTCCACGGAGCTCTCAAAAGAGGTAAAACGCGCGCCCTCTTTAGTTTGCTGGCGCACGGAGCGGCAGGCCTATAGCCTCCCGCCCGGGCCGGGAGCAGGGCTACACCACAATTTCATAAATTTGCAAAGCTTTCATGACATTACTCATTAGGCCCATTTCAAAAAATAATATTCTCAATTTCAAATGGCACCCACCAAAAAAATGTAGTCACATAATAATGAAATGCACGTTTCCTTATTGAGCAGGTTTAACGCCACGCACGCTGTGCTTCTGAATCACGTGCAGATCCCAGCACACCCATGGATGAAAAATGAAAATGGCGCGCACGACGCACGAAAATTGCGCGTCAGAAAGTATGTATGTGCGCCCTCTTTCGACTGACTGAAATACACCCACGCACACGGACACTGACGGACGGTACCCGGTATACGGAAGTAAACACTAACAGGCCCCACTACCGCGAAATCGAAACTGGGAGGTAAGTTAAGTTTCAGTCCGGAAGCCTATCGTAATTAAGTTTATACAACTACACAGAGAGCAAGGAATAAGTACCATATTACAAATCTCAGCCAAACAAATACTCCAATTTTCCAAAACAAAATAAGTAGTACGGCCTACCCACAGAGCTATATTAAATTACTAGAGCGCCAACTCGTCATTCTGCGCGCGGAGACGCTTTGAAGCCGTCCTGGGCGCAGACATTTTGAATTCATCATGCGTGTTTGTACTTTTTTTGTAGAAGTATAGAACATAATGAAATTAGATGGTTTGAATTTTGAAAGTGTACTATAAATGCAACGCGGAAGTAGAACATACGCAAACAATTTAAGTGCGTCATTGACGGTTCAAAAAAACGTGACGGCAAAAAGCATCTGCAGCGAATACACGCATGCGTTGCGCTGTTTGCGTTGAGCAAAATGAAACGCTCATTTGCTGATCGTGCGTTTCGGTTTTGGGCGTATAATTGGCTTCAGTAATGCACCGGTATGGAATACAAACGCAGATATGCAAATAGCCGTACAAAAGCCGTACAAAATGTCTAGGTCGCCATAGCCTCAGGTTTGTGCACAAACATGGATGCGCCCAGCAACGGGCATTACTTTGTACAAGAAGTTTAATAGCGCTCTAGTAATTTAATATAGATCTATGGGCCTACCATGGTAGAAAAAAAATACTGGGAAAGGTTTCCATACAGTGGCCATCATCATCACTTGTCACTCAGACTGTGCACAGGCTACTGGGAGTAGGCCCCCTACTACCTGTCTGAAAATTTCTAAGTGTTAATTTTCTTAATAAATACTTCAATATTTTCCCTGCTAATTTTGACTTTTTTGGCATGTTAGGACTTAGGACATAGCTCTACTACTAAGTGGAGCGTTGAACTTCGGTACCCTCCGTACTAACGTTAGCACTGTACGGAGGGTACCGTAGTTCGACAACGCTCCACTCAGTTTAGCCAGAAAATTCGAAGAGCGCCACGTTAGGGGCCACACCACGTTAAAGTACATCAAATATCTGCCTAGATCTCCCTACCCCCACCCCTTCCTCCCTCCCCCCCCCTCCCACCATTTTGATAGTGAAATGATTTTCCTACACATAAACATTTCACAGAGAATGTTCAGGCACTGTTTCCACACCATCACACTCGCAGGTTGCTACACGCATTGTTCTGTGACAACTGATTTATACCAACAAGAAAATGCTGGCCACGGGCATGGCATCTCGTTACAAGGCAGCCATGGTGCTGAGTGGGGTGGGTGATGCCATTGGCTACCGGAACGGCAGGTGGGAATTCTGTTACAACGGCGAAGACATACACAAGGATCTCAAAAAGTTTGGTGGACTTGCTAAACTGAAAATCTCTTGTGAGTATAAAACGGTTACGTGTCGATAAGTCCAAAGTACCATTGGTCCGAAGTCCCATTGGTCCGAAGTCCCATTGGTCCCAATGAGACTTCAGGCCAATGGGACTTCGGACCAATGGGACTTCGGACAAATGGGACTTCAGACCAATGGTACCGGTACTTTGGACCAGTGGGACGTCGAACCAATGGGACGCTTATACCATTGGAACGTATAGAGCAATGAGCTGTCGGACCAATGGGACTTCGGACCAATGGGATGTCGAGCCAATGGTATTTCTGACCAATGGGACTTCGGACCAATGGGATTTTAAGCCAATGGGACTTCGGACCAATGGTACTTTGGACTATAGAGACGTCCCCATATAAAACTGCCCCCAGGTTGGTCTAGCGATGACACTGGATCAGTGACTGACTTTTGTGCCTGATAAGCTACAACTGTCGGGCAGAGCTGTAACAAGCCACTGATTTTTGTGACTCGAGTCGACATGGTCGAGTCGAGTCATTTTAAGGAAATGACTCGAGGTGAGTCAAGTCAATTTAAAGAAATGACTTGAGTCGACTAGAATCATTAGGTCAAGAAGGTCGAGTCGAGTCATATGTTTAACTTGAGTCAGTTCGAGTCTTGAATAATTGAACATTAAAAAGGAGGGCATACATTTAGCCTGCATTCGAATCCAAGAGCTTTATTAGAAATTGCCCAAAGCCAATCATAAGACAACAAATTGGAAAATGTGTTTAAATGTATATAGCCATTATTTGTAATTTGTGCATTTTGTTCGTTTGAAGCAACAAACGTGCTTAAAATCTAAAGAAGGGTGCTGAACAACTAACTTGATGCAGTTTCAGCTCAGCTTCAGCTGTAAATTTCGAGAAAGACAGCATTCTATGATCTTGATTTCAAATCAAAAGTTGCTGAATCATGTTTTGAATTGGGCCTGAATTCAGCGTCCGAGACACGTTCACACTGAGCTGATTGCAGCTACATGTACGTGATGTCGCGCACTGGTCCGACAAATTATAGCAACCGCGTGTGTGCGTGCCAACGCTTGCGCGAATAAAAAAAAAGAACTACACGTACCAACGGAAATAGACGCACTGAGTGATTTTTTCCAACTTTCATTCAGGAGGCAACACACTGAGTATACAGTGTTTAAATGTTGGTGAAGGGCAAAACCTAATTTGATTTATTGTAGCTAAATGTACCCCCAAAAAAGAAATTTACCCATAGTCACTCAACTATCCTAATCTGCCCTGGTTTGACTCAACAGTGGATAAACACAATGTAATACAATGTGTTACCTGTGCTAATGGTTCTATCGGTCTTATTTCTCTCTCTGCTTTCCTTCACAGTACCAGGATGGCCAGTCAGTGATGATACGGTCTTGCACATTGCCACAGCCGAAGGTGAATATATTACTCGTTCACCCCCCTCATACGCCAGCCTTTAAAAGTGGAGTTGTCCATTTGTCATTTGTGATGTGATCAAGCTAAATGAGTCGTTTGTCGACCGTGGTCAAAAACATTTTTATTACAGATTTGAAAAGAGCACAATCTCAGCATTACTCATGTGAAAACCGCATGCTGGTACCATCTTTAGTTCAAAAATTATGGAAGTCGGAACACCGAGAGATGTGATGAAGTGATGTGATGAAGTGGCCCTATTTTGGCCTGTATCTCCAAATGAAACTTCCCGACAAACGACTCATGTAGCTTGATCGCATCACATTTGTGCATTTGTTTCGTTTGAAGGAACCAAAGTCCCCAAAATCTAAAGACGGGAGCTTAACAACTAACCTTAACAGGATTGGATTGGATTTCAACACCCAGCCACCCCCTTTTGGAAAATCCGGGATCTGCCATTGAGAGGGGAATGCATGTTACTTTTACCGTCTTGATTTCTGCAGCTCTTGCTACAAATAAACCCATCGGAGAGGAGTTGTTTATGGAGCTTGCTACGTGCTACATCAGGGGAAGCGATGATATGGGTGGCAGAGCTCCAGGTACACATTTTAAAATTGTCTTGTTATAAGTAAAACGTGCCAGATATGTTTTAAATTAATGAATCATTCTGTGTATTATTATTATTAATCATTTCTGGTAATGAAACCAAGGATTCCTCAAAAGCGCCCTAGGCACTGTAGCTCGCAAGCCTGAAGAAACCTGTGGAGAGAAGACAATGAGAAGAAGTTACAGTTTTAGAGGTGGGAGGAAAAGCCCAGAAGAATATTCTGGGGAAAACTCACGGAATCAGGCAGGGACTGAAAACCCAATCCACATATTGGCCCAGGCGGGATTCAAACCCGGGTCACAGCGGTGGAAAGGCGAGCAAAGTACCGCTACGCCAACCTGACTCCCCGTATGTGCTTGTTTAGGGCATGCTACAAGATTAAACTAAAAATTTTGTATCGGCTTAACCCTAACTCCCTAGCATCATTTAGGAACCATACCCATCCTAGGCCTGGCAAATTCCTACACCATGGGAAACTGCACACACATATTTCTGACTTTGATTCTGGAGGTGTGTCAGCCCAATGTAAAAGACTGTCAGTTTAGGGGTACTGTACTCATCCTGACTGATTCCTACAAAACATGCTGTTGGAGTTTGATGGGTTGAGTTCTGTTAGGGTTAAGTGTTTTTGGAGGGGACCTACATGTATAATTCTCTTCGGTATACTGTACCCAGCAATTTGAAATCATGCTACATGTAAGTAAAATTGGAAGTCTGATTAGCTCTCCTATGCAAACATACATTCTGTGCCAAGTTGTACGTACTTTCAGTCAAAATCAAGCGACTATTTTCAACAGTTAAAAATTCCCAGCCTACATAAAGCAGGATTGACTGGCTGTGAACGTTTATGTAACTTGAAACAGCTTTTCTTTGTCTGTGAGTGATTGATAAGCTAGCTTTGCTCACAACTTGCGTGCTTTGTCTGTTGACTGTTTTTGATTTGTCACAGTGCTTGCTTGACATATGATCTGCCGTGATAACGCTGGTGACTAGCCTGTGTTAAAGGGAAGTGGGTGGAAATCTTGATTGTCTGTGACTGTTTAAAGGGACACTAGATCCTGGAACAGCCCAATTGGGCTACAAAACGCGCTTTGAACGAGATGATGATAATCGGAAATAACATTTAAAAGTAGGATATGAACATCCACAAAACTATCCCTTAAAAACTGGGCGTTTTTGTTTTTTAATTCCTGTATTATGCATGCGAGAACGAATTTCGGGGTCCACTTTTGCGACCCCAGAAATTCGAGCTGTTAGGATGCTAGTTGTGATTTCATTCGTACGCGTAAAGTGTTCGCCTTTTGCGGACGTTGAAGGAACCACTTTTTTTTACATTGGGGATTGGTCAATGCGCGCTGTTCCCGAGACACACAACGTGTATAGCGTACACTGAGAACGACACGAAAAACGTATTCGTACTCTGTCATGTCCGATGTAAACAAGCAGGGATTTTTCGTCTTTTCTCGGGAACGGTTAGACATTAGGTTGGTTTCCTTTCAACCAGATTTTTGAAATAGGCTAAGTAAACAATCCAAAACATAATATTTTCGGTGATTTCAGGACCTAGTGCCCCTTTAATAGTAGGAGGGTAAATTCTGAATTCATAGTACAAAATAACGTTTTTGATTTACTCTCCATATATGTGATTTTATCGTTAGGTCCTACAACACAATTTGCAATACATCGCTTCAAAACACAGCAGACAGCGGGCTATGTGAGTCCATTCAACAACAAGTAAGACTCCATTTAAATATCAAAGTTCCGTTGTTGTTAATCACCTCAGTGATGTAGTTGAGTACATTTCCATGAATACGTGTGCGAGAACTTTGTCATGAGTGTGACGAAACATTCCCATAGACTTGTGGTATATTTATGTTTTGGACAACAAGCAGTCGATCTAGCCTATTTGCAACACTACAATTCTGTCACTGATATGAATAGGAGTTTTGACATTAGTGAGACATTGAAATGTCCACCATTATTAAGACCACCAGTATTGACCTATCACCGTTTGCGAGTTAGCTATGCGTCACAAACAACCCTTTGGAATTTTTGTACACTAAGTTTTGTTTGTCTCAGATTTTGTGCTCTCCGCGTCCATTTGTATGTCATATAATTAGACAATATTTTACAAGCTGCGTTGACGTGATTCTAACGTGATTCTACTGTGAGAGGTAGATAGGTGCTGAAGGCGCTTCATCATTGTTACCCTGCTCATTGGGCCAATGAAACATTCCAAATACCATCTCAGCTGCCTGGAGAGTATACAGCTTGATGCTGGCATTTCGGCACAAAGCAGCTACAATCAATCACAATAACCATCTCCCTCACATTTCACCCATTTACTGGGGAGACAAAGTGCCTCGCCCAAGGGCACACACCCCACTATACCTTTCAATGAGTATGAGTACAAGCATCAGTAAGATCTAGAGTACATCTAGATTTGTTCTTGTACAGTACTAGTACATTTTGATGAGTACAAGTATGGGTAAATTGAGTATGAGTTTTTAGTAAGAAAAAATTGTAATTTGTCCTGATCTGCTTGCATGTATTCAGAGGCGGAGGCTGTGGTGCTGCAATGCGATCCATGTGTATTGGCCTGCGGTTTCCCCGGCCCGAGCAGCTGGGCGACCTGGTGGCTGTTGCTGTGGAAAGCGGCCGCATGACTCACAACCATCCTACAGGGCACCTGGGAAGCTTGGCCGGTGCCCTGTTCACCTCGTACGCCGTGCAGGGGAAACCAGGTGAGTTATCGCGATGGACACACACTTCGGGCTTTCTGCTTTGATGTTTCCAGTCTCAACTTCATACATAGAAAGGAACCATTTGGCAAATGTCAGGATCAATTTTCCAAAACTAGACCCCCTTTCCAGCTTTGGTATCATCTCTAGCTCCACAATAAATCTGCAGTAGTTAAGATTTATTTATTTAATTCTTATATATCATTTATTTCTGGTAGTGAAACCAAGGATTCCTCAAAAGTGCCCTAGGCACTGTAGCTCGCAAGCCTGAAAAAACCTGTAGAGAGAAGACAATGGAAATAAATTACAGTTTTAGAGGTCAAAGGAAAACCCCAGAAGAGTATTCTGGGGAAAACCCATGGAATCAGGCAGGGACTGGAAACCCAATCCACATGTTGGCTCAGGCGGGATTTGTACCTGGGTCACAGCGGTGGAAGGCGAGGAAAAAAACGCTACGCCGACCTGATGACTCCCCTCAAACCAAATGCATGAAACTGAAGACTGAAGCTGATAGTATAAGCCAAGATGTGGGAATCCTTCAGATTTGCAAAAACTTGAGTTAGCAGTGGCTTGATGCTGCGTTGTGCTTTTTATTCAAGTATTGTTTACACTTGAAAATGTTAGTGTTATAAAAATGAACTTAAGGTAAATTCTAAAAACAAAGGTTGTGTACATACCTTGTATAAAGCATAACAATCCTTAGTTATGAAAAACAGGCAATCCACACAAGCCATATTTCTGGTTAAACCCTGAAATAAGCATACTGCTAGCCCAGAACTTTTCTGGTTAAGTTGTTAGGCGGATGAGCCATAAAGCATAAGGAATTTTGGGCGAGGACCATTTGTTAGTCGACTGGTGGTTGATATGTGACGTAACTGACACCTGCGCACTATTAAATAGCAACATGTGAACGCCTCTAGTCAAATGCTTGTCAAACTGTAATCGCAAAACTGCTTAACTGGTTCTCGCTCCTGGTTGTGCTTTGTGATTCCTGCGGCTGTTGGGAACCAGCAATGGACCTGGCCCCATGGTCCAGTTCCAAATAGTGGACTAGAGTGGTCCAGCCATTCATTCGCACGAAGTTAGTCAAACTATGATTAACTGTAGTTTGCGCCCGAATTTGCTTGACACTGTTGAGTCAAGATTGACCAGCGAGTGTTTTTTAAATGAATGTTTTTTCTTCCAACAGTGCGGGAGTGGGGAGCAGGCTTGATGGATACACTCCCGAAAGCAATGGAGTATATTAAGTCAGTGGGCAGAGACGTGGAGGAAAACAAGTTGAAATGGTAAGACTCCAACTCATTGTAATAGAGCCAGTTAAGCCACAGTCCAACATGTACAGTTTGGAGATACGAATATCCACGGTTTACCGAGAGTCAATCGATCACGATGAACCCGTCAAGATTCGTGGAGATATCGACTTTTCTAGAATGCACTAAGGTTTCAGGACGGATAGCCACAACTGTCCTACGGTTTCTCTACGAGTACACCACGGTTTGTCAAGAATATGGGCATATTGGTGAAGAATATCGACGGTATTACTAAGAATACGGACGTTAACGCCACGGTTGTCTGTGGTTGGTGATGGATGGCCAAGGTTCTCCTACAAATACTCAAGAGTAGAACCTTAGCAGGACCCTTGCACATCTGGGCATATCCGTAGGACATTCGTAGCGAATTTGTAGAGATTTCTACCACGAATGAGCTATGAATCTCCAAGAAATGTACGAATGGCCACGAATAACACTACAAATCAGTACGGATGTCCCGTGTTTGCACTACGGATTAATTTTCATGGCGGAGGTTATGAACAGTTTCAAACTTCCGTAGCCCCTCCACGAATACCCGAGGATATGATGGATAACCACGGATGTACTAAGGATGAATACGGTACTGCCATGGTTTATCACAAATTTCAAATCGTGTTTACACTCCCTTTCTCACTGGGTGGGATGAACCGGCCTGAGGCCATGTGTCCATTTTCGATGTGCGTATTGCGCTGTGCGTGTGTACCAGTTGCGTATGTGTGAAGCGTACTCGAAAAATCCATGTGTGGATTCTGCACACTTCATGGATATAACTCAAATAGAGAGCACACAGCAGTTTTTGGACTAGAAACTTTAAGTCTCCATCAAATTTGGATTAGCTTAGGTGTACCGTATGCGTACCGGTATCGTTTGTGTCATCCATTTCAATGTCTACCTGAAGCATATAAATTTTCAATGGAAAACGTAGTATGGATAACACAATGTGCAATACGGATACATGGATCTATAGGCGCGGTGTTTTCCGAACAACTTGTTTTTACGCATCGTGCACTGCGCACTATGCTTAACGCATGACAGACACATGGATTATATGAATTTTCTGTTGGTTTTTTTAAGCTCTGGCAGGAAATTCTACGTGTCTCTTGGTGGCCGGTCTGTCCCCGGAAAATTGACCAAAAACGAGACCCCTAAGTTTTCCATAAAATATAACTACCAAATTTTTATTTTCAAAAAAACAAAAACAAAATAAATTAAATACTTTAAACAAAAATGGTTTGTAACAATTTGTAAAGTTGTTTATAAAAAGTTTGTAAATGGAGGCAAAATATATGCAGTAATATTATAGTCACGTGTATACTGCGCTATATAGCACGCTATATCTTATGGGAAACTTAGGTGGTTTATTTTGGTCAATTTTTCGGGGCAGACTAGCGCAACGTAATTTTCACGTGGGACAGCGGCCCAGGCTTGTCCGCACCATCTCCGGCCAACATTACGCAAGACTTTCATGCAAGATGGCCGTAGCTTATTGTGCATCGCACTTGTTTTTTTTAATCATACATATTTGCAGGAATTACTTTGAAGCACAGTGGAAGAACTACCTGAAGCTGCGTGGTCTGACTGACGGAAAGAGTGACCCCAAGTTCCCCGAGGAATACGGCATCGAAGAGAGAGATGAATTCTACAAGTCAGTCAGCTTTGCTGGCTGGGGAGGAGCTAGCGGCCACGACGCACCCATGATTGCGTAAGTGAGCCTCTTTTTTCCTGAGAGTCATCATACCCTTCCTTCACAGAGTGAAAAGTAATGACTATTACTAACCCCCAAGTTCAAATTTGTAAGTTTTCAGCTTAGCTGATTCTGTGTAGATATTGCCTTTAAACACGATGCCTGGCCACATGGCACATATGAGTTTGATTCTGACTAGTTCCTCCATGTTTCTTTTTTGTACGTCTGCGACTATTTGAAAAAAGGTTTTGTTTTAGGCACAAAAATCCCATTTGTAAGCAGACTGGCACCCGGTCTATACGTGATCGATGTTGATTCTAGGGTGGGAACCAGCCTTCCCCAGAGAGCACAGTATTGTTTTCCAGCAGCCAATAATTTGAAATTGTAAAAGAAATATAAAACAAGGTTTTGTTTTAGGCACACAAATCCTATTTGTGAGCAGACTGACTCCCAGTCCATACCTGATCGATGTTGATTGTGGGGTGGGAACCAGCCTACCCCGAGAGAACAGTATTATTGTCTGGCAGCCTATAATTTGAAATTGTAAAAGAAATATAATTCAATATCTTGAATCGGTCAATTGTTTTCGGTCAGTGTCTCATTCAAAAGTGAAAAAAACTTTTGTATTGATAGAAAGAAAACAATTTAGAAATTTGATCTTTTTTTGGGATGAAACTCGAAAATAGCACGGAAAACACGGAAAACAGTTACGCATCAATCCAATTTCCATCTCCACTAGAACCACATTCTCAGCCGATGTGGGAAGAGAGTGGCTGCAAATGAAATCTATTTTGTTGCATGGATTTCTAGATACGATGCTGTACTTGGAGCAGGAGATTCATGGGAGGAGCTGTGCCTCCGTGGGGTGCTACACGGCGGGGATAATGACTCCACAGGTGCCATCGCATGCTGCTGGTGGGGCGCTATGTATGGTATGGAGGGGGTCCCTGAAAACCACTACAAGGTGAGAGCGGGTACAGTTTATAGGCTATTTAACACCATTGGCACTTGTATTACATGCACATTGTACTACAGGGCCGCAAGTTTCGATTACGGTTTTTATTAATTCGGGCGATTCACAATGCAGTGCGCCATCAAGTGTTTGCCATGGAGAGTCCATTTTTCAGGTTTACGGTCAACAAAACACGGTCCATTTGAATGAGTGTCAGAAGACAACTTGAGCTAATATGTTATAGATTGGAGCATAGCGTCCTGCCGCCTTACAAAAAACGCCATATTGATAAAAAGAAAACAAAAGGGCAAACAGATCCTCGAATCATACGCTTACGAAACTACTGACCGGAAAAAACTAACAATTTCAAATGTCCCGTGCTGCGAATTTGTCGACCATCTCCCACAATGCACTGGGGAAAATGAACTCTCCGTGGCAAACTCTTGGTGGCGCACTGTATTGTGAATTGCCCGAATTGAATGGCCAATTTTTTTTTCGGAAAATGAGGGTTTTGAGAAAAAGAGCGACGATTTCAAAACGATATCGCCTATATCTCAATTTTTTTTAACTGAAGCGATTCCGATATATTTTTGTAGACAAACATCATATTCCTGGCAATATATTATCGACATAGATTTTTGGTTTTAAGGCGTTTTTGGCCATTCTCTTACACCTTCTGAAAGGAAGCCTTTATTTTCACAAAGTGGTTTTCGATTAATTGAATAGACAAAATGTAACCGAATAATCAACACTTTGAACAATTAATCGAGTATTAAAGGTATAGTCCATCATTTGTAATGTGTGAATTTTGTTTGTTTGAAGCAACAAAAGTGCTCCAGATCTAAAGAAGTGTGCTGAACAACTAACCTGATGAAGTTTCAGCTCAGCTTTAGCTGTATATTTCGAGAAAAACAATATTCTACGATCTCGATTTTAAATCAAAAGTTGCCGAATCATGTTTTGAATTGGGCCTGAATTCAGCGTCCGAGACACGTTCTTACTAAGCCAATTGCAACTACGCGATGTCGCGCACTGATCCGACGAATAATAGCAACCACGCGCGCGTGTGTGTCGTGCCAATGCTTGCGCGCTTCGCCGAATAACAAAAAGAACCACTAATTTGAATTTCCTACGGTGCTTCTTAAGAAGCACCGTTGGAAAGGCCTTCTTTTGTTGATTTCTTCAAAATGACAGCTTGCCAGAAAGAATAATTTCACAGGGAGTTTAGTCCCCTTGCTATCCTTCAAACAAGTATGTTTTTCAACAATAATTACGCCAGTTACTTTTTTGATAGCTGCAAATGATGGACTCTGGCTTTAAACTGAATAATACTTGCAGCCCTGCTATTGTACTATGCTGTTATTAGTCCCTGATTAATCCATAGAAACTACAGAATACTCGGGTAGTTTTTGGTGGTATAAGGAGTAACAGGTAGGTTGCTTTGTGGGCAGTGTAGGGACAGATCTGGGTTAATTTGTTAGCAGAGGCTGATTTTGGACACAAAACTCCTCACAGTTCAAAAGCTCACCGCTCACAGTTCAAAATTTGACTGAGCACAACTGTTTTTAGAAATATCAAATCATTCAAATAAATCTTATTCTGGAACTTATGTTTTGCAACTTATGTCTTGCGTCTGAAACCGGCAGACTTCGTCAGGCAACTATAATGACCCGTACGTTTCTTAATAAGATGCATTTGATATTTCATCTCATGCTACTGGATGACTGAGAACATACATCCTTACAAGTGTTTTTTTGGTTGGGGGGGACAAACTTTGCAAATAGTCAGATAAAAAGGCAGTTTCTGCAAAAATTCATCCTTGGAGTGGGTACATTTTTTAATGGCATTTATTTTTTATATTTTTTGATTTGTTTTCTCACTTTCTTGAACTTAAATTTCTCATTGAATGTTTTGTTTTGCTGCCAAGGAATTGGAGTACCGTTCCAGACTAGAAGAGCTTGGGGAGAAACTCTACAACCTCAGCCACCCACAGTGACCAAAATGATCCCTACTTAAATAGTTTGAGGGGTATTTTATATACATGTATGCATACAATTGTATTTTTCAGTTTTACAGGCCTTTAAATTCATATTAGTGTTAAGTTGCTTGTAAAGCCAAATTTTGACAATTTTCTTATTTTCATTTGAATACAGTCTGAAATTTTGGGCTGAGACCATGTGTATTGGTAGTCTACTTAATGCGCCTATCAAATGCCCCCCCCCCCCCCTTCCCCCGGCGCTACCCCAGGTCTGGTGTCGGGATTTAGTCACGTTTTTCATGCCCCAGGGTGGGGATTTTGGTCACTCAAATTACAGTGTTAACATTGGCGTACTAATGGAAAGGCAATCACTAGTGCGCCCCACGTATGTAAGTCGGGGCATGGTCGGGGATTGTCACTTAAATTTTGCCCGAGGGGTGGGGATTTTGTCACTTAAAAAGTGACAATCCCACACTTCTTGGGTGGGGCAGCCCGGGAGGGGAGGGGTGGGGGAAACAATTGATAGGCGTATAATAGACCCTTGCAAATTATATGTGAGCTGATTCGGTGATGTTGCTAACAAACTGCGTCTTGACCTCGACATTCTGACCATTCAGCGGGCGCTTTCTATATCGGGTCTCGTCATGGATATCTACAAATACAACCTAGACGCGACATCTATTATTCTCTTTTACGCTGTGAATTGAGCAAAAAAGTCTGCCATCACGCGCTCTGTACCGATGTTACGCGATACGTCAAGCAATAATAGAGCCAGCCAATCACGGTCGTGTCTAGATTTTGTAGTTTTATGCGCGCCCGGCCGTTGTTGCATTTCAAAAACACTACATGTGAATTGACCAATTACAATCTTAGTCCAGATTTGGGAATGAAAATGACGTCCCGATTAAGTAAAGTCGACTCCGATTGGCCCGGGCTCGGGGTCGCAAAAATTTGCATTCTTAGATATATCAGACGTTGGACCAGAGATAGTGCTCCGTGGACAACAGGTGATACTCAGACGAGTGTATTGAGGTGTCTTGCCCTTTTTGTGTTTTAGTGAAATATCTACGTACCTAGTACTGAGTACTACATTTAACAAATTAGTGAGAGTAGTGTTGCAATATAATTATGTATGTTTTCAATAAATGATTGAATTATGTGCAATTTATTAATTGAAATGTATTATGTGTGAACTCATAAAAATAGAGACAGTTTTTAAATACACAATGATTAAAAATATTCTAGCATTTATTTTGTGTAGAAACGCTGTACAAAGTGTAAAATTGGAATTATGATCAAAACGATTGCATACAGTTTGTACAGGTAAAAATGTGAATTATTGTATAATTATGTACACGTAATTAAGGGTTTTTATACTTTGCTATAAAGACAGTATGTTTAGAAATAAGTTTGAAATCACCTACAGTGATGACATTAAGCCACACTATTATGTGATAGTGTGTCTTGTATGTTATGTCTACAAATAATAAGTACATGTAATTTTATAGATTTGGTAAACGGGTGAAATAAAACATAATTAAGGCACTTGACTATTTTTAAGCATGTTTGAATATTGGATACCCCCAAAGAATAGGTAATATGGACCCAAAAACAAGTGGTCGCAATTTATTTTGAGGAAAGACTGATTATGTACATATTGAGAGAAATTGTAGGTTTCCTTATTAGACTAGCCAGAATTTGAAGGTAACTAATATACAACATTTGATTTTGCAGTATTTTTTAGAAATGGATGGATTTAGGGGCATTATTGTTACACTGGCCTGTTTAAAGTTTTATGTTCATAGATGCTGGAAAGACCAAGAAAAAGACGCTGTTCTTGTAGTCTGGTTCCCTGACCCTACTTCAGACGAAACAGAGCAATTTTTAGACGTCAGGGGAATTGTCAGGTCAGGGAACCAGACTAGCTGGTTTGCACCCATTCACGGATGTGTAACTGATTGCAAACAAAATGTGGACTAAATAAATTTGGTAAATTGGGGGCAGTACTGTATTTGAAAAAAAAAAAGTTGGTTTTTTTTCACAATGATGGTTGGCCGACCACCATTTGAAATTGATACAAAAATTCAATTTTTCTTGAAAATCATGAAATGGACAGCACACCAGGGTACCATGATTTCACAAGATGCTTGAGACTATTATTCACTTACAGTCAAGGGTATTTCATAATAATTTGGTAGTTTCATAATAATTTGGTAGTTTCGTTTGTTGATGTTCGCAATTGTTCGCAATTGTATTACTTCAAAACCATTTGACCTAGCTTGAGCTTTATAAATCCATCTTTTCTTGAAAAAAATATAAGCCCGGTGTATTCCTTTGAAGCAAGTCAGTTGAAGCTGACATTGTTAGAGAATGATCATGAGAAATCAGTCCGAAGCCCTGGACTGCGAATTACAATTAATGAGCCATATATGGAAGTTCAGTTTTGCACGTCTGGTATGCAGACTTTAAAACGACACTGCAGCATTGGAATTTGAATTCCAAGAATAAATGCAATGCTACTGTGACTCAGTACATGCCTTATACCTAAGCTCATGTGTCTTTGTGCCTTTTGTAAACATATCTAATACTTGCCAAACTTTTGTAAGGGCTTGCCCCAAAGTACATATATGTGACCTGTTCTGTCAAAATCAGACTTTTCTGGGCATAAGGTCGAAAATGATATTTTTACATATTAACATATGTTTTTTTTCCTTTTAATAGGTGGTTTAATCTTTGAAACCGGTCATTCCTGGGCAGAGTTATGCTATTTTGAAGTTCATTGTGTCGAAAAGTAGAAAACGGAAAAAATGGCCACGAACGTCACAAAACAGTTATTTCTTTAACTGATAAACCTTATCAAAATCATCAAAAATAGTATACGTAGAGTTCAAATTAGGGTTTCAAACGATTCAGCAAAAACGAGTATACGTATTGAACTTCACTCATATAGGGCATCCTAGGGTTGCTTAAGTTACTCTTTCTTGGTACTCTGCAGCATGGCATCCCACTGCTTCTTCATGCGTTGCCTCAGCACATTGTCCTCGTTCCATTTACCTGGTTAGATCACAAAGAAAATTGATATTAAAAAGTCAAAATTATGAGTATGTAGTTGCCCTTATACGTGATTCATAAATGGCGAAATATATTTTGTGGAATCAATTAAGTCTGGTGAGCTAGTTAACGTCTCAATTTTTAAAGACAAATGCGGAAAACTAAGGTCTATCGTGTATAGTACAGTGGAACGTCGCTATACCAAACACTTATACCAAACATTCAGCTAAACCGAACATCGTCCTTGGCTCCTGATTTTGTGTACAAAACCAACCGAACATTGTTGTTGAAAACCGTCAACAGAAAAGCGTCAAGTGGCTATTATTTCCCATCGATGTAGGTAGTATAGCTCATAACTGAGTAATTACATAATTCAATAGTCGGCACGTGTTCGAAGTCGTCTTTCAGCAACTACCAGGGCGTACAGGGTGACATTATGAAGGGCGCTATTTATTGAAAAGTGAGTACCGGAGCACCGGCAGCTTAAAATCGCATACCGAACGATCACTATTACGAACATTTCTGTGGATCCTGCGATGTTTGTTATAGCGGCGTTCCACTGTATGTGGATATATTTCTTTGCTGCATCATCCCCTTTGAAAACTGTACAAACGCGAGCCCAATTCTTTGGAAAATGGACGCATACTTTTGGGTTGTACTTCGCTATACAGGCAAATGGGTTTGAAGGTACCATCAATTTCAAAGAAGTGCTCCATTGCTATGAAAAACTTGGGTAGCCTTGAAGAGACCCATACGATTTTTTGTTTACTAAAACTATGTTGTGACACTTATATTAAAGCTAGAGTCCATCATTTGCAGCCATCCGAAAAGTAACTGTCACAATTATTGTTGAAAAACAAACTTGGTTGAAAGATAGTAAGGGAACTAAACTCCCTGTGAAATTATTCTTTCTGGGAAGCTGTCATTTTGAAGTAATCAACCAAAGAAGGCATTTCCAACGGTGATTCTTAAGAAGCACCGTAGGAAAATTTAAATTAGTAGTTCGTTTTGTTATTCAGCGCAGCGCGCACAAGTATTGGAACGACGCACACGCGCGCGCGGTTGTTATAATTCGTCGGATCAGTGCGCGACATCGCGTATAGCTGCAATTCAAAACAATTCAAAACATGATTCAGTAACTTTTGATTTGAAATTGAGATCTTAGAATGCTGTTTTTCTCGGAATGTACAGCTGAAGCTTAGCTGAAACTTCATCAGGTTAGTTGCTCAGTATCCTTCATTAGATTTTGAATTCTTTTGTTGCTTCAAACGAACAAAATGCACAAATTACAAATGATGGACTGTAGCTTTAAAGAAAGCAAGTGCAGACGTGTCGCACTTCCTTGACACACTACTCACTGTCTTGATTTCTCTGCACCCCAAATTTCGGTGGATAAGTCTCTGTGGACTTGGCAGGGATATCCTCAGTGTAGGAACTCGTATTCAAGCTCTTGATGTGGCTGTGCGACACGCCGTTGAAAATGTCCTGTCTCAGCGCATTGCCCAATGCATCGTACAGCGGCTCCGATTTGAGTTCAATATGGACCGGGGAGCTCGGGCCAGCGGTGCGGCGGCGCTGCGGCAACTTTGCCTCCATCGATTTCTGGAAATCCTCTTTGTTCTCGAGGAGTTGATCGCACAAGCTGTCCCCGTAAATGTGCCTTATGTTAGGGGGTATGTAGTATATACCGCCAGGTCCTTTACTGGGGGATTCCACAGGAGGGAGGCCGGCACCAGACCTGGTTTTTGGTATTCCATTAACTGTCGCATAACTCTTTCCTTTGTACGAAAACGAGCCGCCTTTGCCCAGCACAGTGCCGGCTTGCTGGAAGTTGGAGTTTGTGGCCGGACGACGATATCTGTCGTAGTTGTAATCCATCTTCTGATCCAAGCCCAGCCTGTTGAACTGCTCCCCGAGGGCTATGTCGCGAGGGTTGTGCTTGATGTCATTCTGGTAAGGGCTGTACTCTCTCTTAGGGGTGAATGTGAGAACGCCTTCGGGAATCTGGCCTTTGATGGTGGTCTCGTCGGGACTGAAGTGGACAGCGTTCAGCTGGGTTTCCTCGAGGTTCCCTTTTGCGTGCCTGGCTTTGTGGATCTGCCTGCGTAACTCCTCTTCTTCGGCTTTTATGATGCTCTGGGCATTGGGATCCCTGTAAGGGGCCAGTTTGTCTGGCTTGGCAGCTTTGGGAACCGGTTTGGCCCTCTCCGCCTCAGCCAGAGCTTTCTTGTCTTTGATCTCCACGACTGTGCCAAACAGGCTGCGAGGGGCAACTGCCTCGGTGCGCTTTGCTCTCAGATCAACCACTGCTGCAGCCATGTTGTTCAACGTTGTTCTTTCTTTCTTCTAAAATAGATAAAAACAGAAAATAATTAAACTTGTGAACTGACGTTGGGTAACACGGGAATATAAATAGTGCTTCAAAATTTCTTCTATTTTACTTTTTTTAGAGTGTACCAATGGCTGCGTTCCCTGAAACAAACATAGACCCTTAAATCTATTCAACCATGCCAAATAAATACCACCAATGCTACACTGGATAAACACAGAAATGAATATTATGTCCTACATCTACTTCTAGAATTAGAATTTAGAACTCACCTTTCTGTAACAGAAAGGTGCCTTCTAAATCTAATTCTAGAAGTAATTGTGTCATAAGTCACATTTTTTACCCTACATATAATCTTGCTTGGTGATGGTCACTCATGCTAGTCATAAAATCACTTGTATTAAGACAAAAGAAAACAAACAAAAAATGGGATTGGAAACTTTCTGATGTTTTAATTTTATCACACATAATCGATTGCAAATATGAATAAGAAATTATTAATTTTTTTTTAGTGAAACAACTTAAATTATCAAAATGACCCAAAAAGCAAACCCAAAGTACGCCAAATAAATGGTAGGATGGAACGCCGTATTATCGCGGTACTTATCACGTTTCTCGTTCGGAATAGAGACTGCCCACTAACCTTCCAGAATTGTCCTGTCTTATGTGTAGTATAACTCCTTATTAAATTAATATAAAAAAATCTGACGGGTGGCCTTTTTATTCCGTGTACGATGCCTGTGAAAATAGACATGCGCGGCGTGTGCGAACGGAGGTGGACTCCCTATTATCGCGGTATGCTGGAAGTGGTTTTTATAATGATCCCAACTTTTTTGTTCATAGTTTATGTTTGACCAAAACACCCCCTGAATAAAATCTGATATTTTCCCTGTAACGTTCAAGTTGATTAAAGACAAAATGTCTGCAGGATGATTTCTTAAGACCCTGCCCTTCCCCCGAAAGGAGAACACAAATCCCTGAGGCAAGTCTACTGATCGGCGATTGAGGGCGCCATTCACTTTACACGGTGTGCCGTTTTATTTTCGCTAACGCGCAGTGCTTATTTTGATCCCGTAAAAGTTGTTACGATTTCGCGCTGCAAATATCGTCGTTCGACTTCATTTTACATTTGCAGCTGAAGAATGGGAACCAGACAATGGAACTTTCATGGACAGAGCGCAATTAAAGATTTATGTTAAAATATAAACGGTACCTTTTAGCAGACACGGTGAGGGAAAATTTTGCAAGTTTTGGAAAACGTTAATATTTATTAAAATCGTTAAAAGTCCCGAAAGACACAACATTTTTTAATCGTCCTTTTTATACAACTCGGTAGAAAATCCTAGATGACTGGTGAACTGGATAAAAATCGCCACTTGAAGGAGTTTTGACACTGTAAAAAGAGAAATTTCCCATGCCGCGATTAATAGGGATGCCGCGATAATAGGGAGTCCGACTATACTGAAATTCCCCACCAGTGTCCAGTCATGCCAGTCAATATTTTCACCTAACGTTGTTATAAAATATTAAAACTTAATTTAGGTAGAAAGAAGCATGGGGATGCTGGTCAATCGGACTTTTAAATGCTGGGTGCGACTGAAAAAGCAGCTGAGCTGGTAAAACTAAAATTAAAAAGTAAAGTAAACGATACAAACAAGTTAGCACTGCCACTAAGTGCCAGTGCCACTGATCGGCTGTCATTAGCGGTCATACTAAACAGCGTCAACACAGCGTCAACACACTCCAAAGCGTCAACACAGCGTCAACACAGCGTCAACACATCCAAAATGCATTAAAATTGACAAAAGCAGTATGTAACCCATACAGTATGGACAGAAACAAGATTTGTGCTTAAAATCAATAGGTTAAACGTCTGAAAATCGCGATTTTTAGTTCAAGAAAATTGGCTCTCCGTGCCGCTCCGAAATCGGCTGCCGAACACCAGCCATGTTGCCTCAGTGGCAGCGCGGACCATACCATTATTCTAAAGGGTGATAGCGTTGTACAATAAACCAACAGAGAGGGACGCGGCCGGGGTCGCCAGTGTTAAAAATATCTGCAAAGACCAAAACATAAACACAACTCACAAAATAATGATCTACCACTCCTCCGATCCTTAGTCCTCACACAGATCTGGTATCCCTCTGTCTAGTCTGCAGCAAGGCGCCCTCTGTTGTTTATGACAAGATAATGTCATTACCTACACACCCCTACTTGAAATGGTGTAGTCCAAGCTTTGTGCGAAGTCAAGATGGCGGACAAAGGCCGTGCAAGTTAAGGTCATTTTTTTCGCGTGAAAATACGATATTTTTAACAACGAAATGGAAACTCAATCCAATGGAAATTCTCTTTTATTGTATGTTTCACAATTATATGCCCTTTTTGTCAATTCAGAATGTGTTTTGGATGTGTTGACGGTGTGTTGACGCTTCTGTCATGTGTTGACGCTGTTTAGTGCGACCCGTCATTAGTCTTGTGAGTGGAAAATGGCAGCAAATGCTTTCATAAATTGAAACAATTTATAGGCCTATATGTTCATTATCATGGAAAGGTGCAACGTCTGATACTTACCTAAGTAAGAATGTTATGTACAAGCATCATATTTTAGATTCATTTTCAACCAAAATAACTTTTCATCCCGTCATTTGCCTCGTCCAAGGGCAGTATTTTACACGACGGGATTTCCGCGGCTGCTGTTGCTAAGGGGTTGCTAAGGGAATCCCCATCCTCTGTCAATTACCAAGTGTTTGTTTGGATTCATGTGATCGTTATAGTTTCAACAAAAATACGAATTTCAATTCTGTTATTTGAATTAAATGTTTACAAAAATATAGGGTTGATTAAATAATTAATTTATGATCGTAATTATTGTTGCATCTTATAATTGATGTTATATAAAAATGTAAATACCGAAGTATAGTATCCTGTATCCTCCATCATATCTCAACGCACAAATTTATCACACGTGCTGACTGGCTGACTTATTATTATACTGGCTAGGCTGTGCTCGCTCTGCTTCCGTGATTTCTTCTCCTGCCGTGACAGACAGGTAATACGACGTGGAAGTGTATCGATAATATTCACCTGTAAACATCAAGGAACAACCGAATAGGTAACTGTTATTCTAGTATTTAAATCTGGAGCAACTATAGAATGCAGGGCCACGCCGAAGCAAGGTTTTTTATTTTGCCTGGAGGCGTGGATGGAATAGGAGTAATAGATATGCAAACCTGCAAAAAAGTGCTAAGTACAGCGAAGGAATGCACTGCACTTGTCTTCAAAGCTTCTCATGAAGGATCGGAAGGGAGGACGTGCTTGTAAATGTGTTGGGGGCACTGTCTGGAGCGGCGGAGGCGCGGAGTCTTGGAGTCGCAGAATCGCGGAGACGCGGGGCACTGGAGTGGCCGCAGTGGCGGAGGCGCGGAGTCGCGGAGTCGCAGAGACGCGCACCGATAGAGGGCGCAATTCTCGGCGGAATCTTTTTGAGAACGAAGCATCCATATCCATTTTAAATGGGCGGGCCAATTAGGAAGGGAGGAGGGCGACAGGGCACTGTCTGGAGTCGCGGAGGCGCGGAGTCGGGGAGTCGCAGAGTCACTTTAATTGAGCGGGCCAATTAGGAAGGGGGGGAGGGCGACGGGGCACTGTCTGGAGTCGCGGAGGCGCGGAGTCGGGGAGTCGCAGAGTCACTTTAATTGGGCGGGCCAATTAGGAAGGGGGGGGAGGGCGACGGGGCACTGTCTGGAGTCGCGGAGGCGCGGAGTCGGGGAGTCGCAGAGTCACTTTAATTGGGCGGGCCAATTAGGAAGGGGGGGGAGGGCGACGGGGCACTGTCTGGAGTCGCGGAGGCGCGGAGTCGCGGAGTCGCAGAGACGCGCACCGATAGAGGGCGCAATTCTCTGCGGCTCCACGACTCCACGATCGATTTTCAGAGGTAGGTACGGTCGACTGCGGTTCCACGCCTCCACGCAGCCGTACGGAGGCGCGGATGTAGAGTAAAGTGGCCCTGCATTCTATAGTTGTACCTTAAATCTTTGTTTTATCTTCATTGGCAGATTTGTCCAAAAGTTGGTTTGAACTTTGATTCCTTTCTCTGTTGCTCAGCCCATGCTCAGCCTCAGGTTTGATGTTTCCTGATTCAGAAATAATGGTCATCAGGTCATAAGGATCAGCGCCCTCTATTGACGATAAAATAAATTTCCCTGCTGTCAAGTGTCATAATTGTTCTAAATTTCTAGTCTTACGAATATGATTTATTTTCCAGGATTTAGGGTAGACCCAGTGTCAGTGACTGGGGTGCTAGAACTCCTATTTACGTCTTAGACTTAGACGTCACAACGAAAGACAACATTCGAAGAAGAAAAGAGTTTTACTGGGCCTACTGCCCCCATGCTGGGTCTAGGGTTGAATTTTGTTTATAAATTATTTTTTTCATTTCATGTTGTCACCAACTTGACATTTGTTGACAAAGCAGGCTATTAATTATAGAATATTAGTATTATTCCAAATCCAGTTTTAGGCGAAGTAAAAAAAAAAACATGTTTAGCGTCCCCGCCCGCTTCCTTTTTAGAGGCCGCCTCCTTTTTTTTTTTTTTTTTCTTTTTTTTTAAAAAAGACAAAAATTGATAAGTTTTAACGATCTCTGACGAAAGAAATCGTATTTTTAGACTTTTATACTGTGTATAAAGCTGTGGAAGTAGTCAATGAGTCCAAGTGGCGGCCATTTTGAAAAAAGCTGGTAACCATCTTGAAAAATAGCCCGGCCGCGTTGTCTTGAAAAATTTGTCGGGCGGCCATTTTGAAAAGAAAAAAAAAAAAAAGGGCCTCCTCCTTCCTTTTTGTCAAAGAGGCAGGACGCTAAACATGTTTTTTTTTTTATTTTGCCTTACTTGTTGAAGACTAAGTAATGTATCTGAAATACGGGCGATTAATTTACAGGCCCCTCTTTGGTTTTGATCACTTTAGAGTCAAGAGTGTTGTTATAACTCCAACATGACTAAAGCAACCTCAAACAGACTTCTCTTAAATTTGGTCTTTTGGTAGAAAACGTGTTTTTCTTACGCATTTTACATAAATTACAGTTGATGATCGATGCAAATGCCATGCAAATATGGCAGATCAATGTGGTTTTGAACATTCATGTACGTGCATGACGGTGATCGCCATCTTTATTTTCATGTTGTGTTTTGTCATATTCATCATTGTTTTATCCCAAAATTTCACTATTAAATCAAAACAAATCAAAACCCTGCCCTCCATTCACGATGCTCCTGTTAGTTTTAAATATTTGTTATACATGTAGTTTGGTAAGTCCGAAAACCTAAAAGTTGATTATTGTTTAGGAACGGGGCCCGTAACTACACAGTCGCTGAAATATTGAACGCATATTAACTGAGATCATAAGTACTTGTTTATTACTAGTTCAAACAGCCACAGATTCTGAAGTTGAATACAATTTACTAGGTCAGGGTGGTCAGGGAACCAGACGATTGACTTCCTTACACTGCATTTGGTTTTCGTCGTCTGCTACGATCCGAAAATTCATATGAAAGTGCAATCTTATTCTAATTCTTATTCTAAATAACAGTAACTTTCATCATATTTTCCAAGATTCAACTTTTGTTTTTCTCGCTTTACTGCACAGAGCACAGTTACGAAAAAGAGATGGCCTTTCGGTTGCGAGTTCTAATGAGGCCTCTGGTGTCGGCAAGCCAAAGTCAGATGAGAGCAAGTATACATGTACCAGTATCAGCTAGAGTCGTGCACAAAGCAGTCTCAATACAAAGCAGGTAAGAATATAAAGTAGAAGTATCAGTAAAACAGTTTCTCATCCCTGCCTGCTTCCTTTTCATCCCCTCCCCTGCATTTTCAAAAAAAAAATTATTATCCATTTTCAATATATGTGATGCGATCAAGCTTAATGATGTTAATGAGTCGTTTGTCAGCAATTACAATTTTAAGATACAACCCAAAATAGGTCAGTAGGGGTGGAAATGTCAAAAGTAACTTTTTTTGTTGTAAAATCGGAAGGCTACATATGTCCTCTTTTTTGTCAACTAGTTTTTTCCCGAGAAAAAATCACGATAAAGTTAAAATGTGAGATTTTTGCGAAGGCCAAAAAAAAAAAGTCTCCGGTTTCTGGTATGCGCGCGCGTCGCCGTAGCCATGCGCGTCGGCAAAATGAAAAAGTTTTTTTTTTCAATACAAGATGATGTCTCAAAACCGCCAAACTCACTGGTTTGACTGGAATCCTGCCCCTGCACAATTTTAACGTGTTTTTAGATGGGGTTATGATCGAGAATAAGCTTTATGTGGCCTCTCTGGACTCCCATATATTTGCACTAAGTTTAGTCGGGCACCATTTGCAGTCATCAGCCGACATTTGAAGCCAAAAAAAAAAAAAAAACCAGGTAAAAAAAAACAAAAAAGCCGCGTCGCCGCACCACTTTTGGGGCAAGCTCCATACCAGAAACCGGAGACTTTTTTTTTTGGCCTAAGGAGTTAATATTCAATAACCTGAAATAAAGCATGTTTACGGTTGCTTAATAAACACTTCAATTTTGAATCGTGGATTTCTCTGTTTGATTTCTCTGTAGTTATGTTTTCTTCTTTCTGATCTGCTTGTTTCCTAAGTCCCATAACTTCTGAACGGAAGGTCATATACACAAGGGGTTTTCACCAGATATAAACTGAAATAGCTCTTTTTTCAAAAATGTTTTTAAAAAAAAATTGATAAGGGCTGACAAACACTCATTTAGATTAATCGCATCACATATTTTGTCTTTCTGTTTGTTTCCACAACAATTTTAATATGTATACAAGTTCAAAATCTTGTAGAAAGGTGCACACACAAGTATCACAAAAGAATCAGGAAAATGGAAGAAGCCATTTCACCATCTTTGAAAATGCGCCGTCTTTGGGAGAAAAAAGGGCCTCCTACTCTATTTTGCTTCTCAAAAAGCTTGAACAAGATACTATTTATAAATACTTTGCTTAGTTCAATTTCCATTTTTTTTTTTCTCGCTCTCTCTACTGCCCGGCTGGTTACTCATGTACCGCCCCAAACTGCCCCATGTGACTTTCTTTATTGAATGGTTGGTGTTTTGTTTTCAGGCACTTGTCGTCGGCGGATTCACCTCCCTATGAAGAGTTCAACGTACAGAGTACAGAGGACTTCAATGAGAGAGTCATCAACAGCAAAATCCCAACAGTAGTAGACTTCCATGCATCGTGAGTCTTACATGCTTTGGGTTTTCAAATCCATTAGTGTTCCAGTGTAAAAGTTCTAACAGAAGATGGTGTTGTGTAAGATAAGGCAAAAGCCCAGAAATTTTTAGAAATTATGTACTCGGGTGTACGTTCATTTTGTGATATTAAAAATCAGCATAGATGACACTTTCTTGGCCTTTTGATCCAACATAAATCACTGATGCCCCCTTTTGTTGCACATTCATTTAGTCACAAAAAAACCCTTTCAGGTGGCACACCCCCAAAACATGGATACATAGTATCTAGCCAGCGAATTCCTCCGAACATTCCATTTTGGCAAAGTTAAGAAAAGGTCCTCAGTATTTCACAACCAAGTTTGCAGCCTCAATTCAATTTTTAAAGGAGACATTTCTTCACTATTTTGCACATGAGAGTAAAGTCAAGTGATTTCAAAATGAGGCTAAAGACTAGACTAGTACATGTCCAACCATTTGAAAAGACTGACCTCTTCATTCAGAGTCCTTAGTCTGGTGGCTGACTAAGGAGAAATGTGTAGTAAATAGAGAGTACTTCCTGGTTCATGCCACATGTTTCTTTTGGCACAGTTGATTGATGCAGTGCTGAAGCAGTGTTGGACTGGTTGTTTCAGGTGCCAGTCTATTTCCTTGTATTGCATGTTTTCAATACCTTAAGTTTTGGGACTCTCATACACAATATTGAGAGTCCCAAATGTTCGAACTAGTGTGAGGTATGCTATTACAAAGGACGGACAGAAGGTGGGTTTTTTTTATGTTGAACAAACCCTACCATGCCCTGGCCCTGAGACATTCAGACAATTTATGACAAAATTATCTAAAATTTACTATTTCAATGTTACTATTTTCTTGACCAGGTGGTGCAAACCTTGCCACGCCCTGGCCCCCAGGCTCCACGAGGTCCTGTCCGAGCGGCCAGGCCTGGTCCAGCTCGCCAAGGTGGACGTGGACAAGCACACGGACCTGGCCATGGACTACGACGTCAGCTCCATCCCCAAGGTGGTCATGGTCAAGGAGGGAAAGGTCGCCGGTCAGTTCGTGGGTCTGATGGACAAGGACAAAATTGAAAGCTTTATTGATAGGCTGACCACATAATGACACCGATCCTTTTTGGGGGAGAAAAAACAGGGCTGCATGTTTCCTTTGCACTGTACAAAAAATCCTATTCGTGCTGATGGAGATGGACAAGATTGAGAGCTCTGTCCATGAGGCTGATGATGTCATAAGAACACTGAGCCTTTTGAGTGAGAATCCCAATTCATGTCCCTGCCACATGGGAATAGGGGACATTGTATACAGCAACTGCCAGCAGAATTTGCACCAAACTTAGGCAAAAACTGTAATTTGTCGGAGAATTGCAAAAGCACAAACCTGATAGGAATCTCTGCAAACTGTCCTCACTGTACATGCCTTAGTTTATAAATTTGTACTTTTTCTCCGAGGGGCCAGTGTTTGTGGTCCAGTTTTTGGAGCCAAGATAATATATAACATGTGTGCACTTTGTAGCTTTTCACGACTGTAGGTTTTATACAGGATCCTTTATTCCTATACTGCCCTGCCTTTTTTTGTTTTATTTGTAATTCACAATTTTAACATTAAGAACTGCCATTGAAAACTTGAAAATGCTAGAGCTTCGATTCTCTACATGTTAGTGCTCATTTGGCCAAACAGCAGCTGTTCTAGTTAAGTTTTTTTTTTCTTTCAATAATTTGAATAGGGTCAAAATATGGTTTAAAGGTAATATCAAACATTTGCTTTTGCTGTAATTTTCAGAAATGGATGGATTTGGGGGTTAGTATTTTATAGCAAATATTGTTACACTGACCTGTTTGAAGTTTTGTGTTCATGTTTGCTGAAAAACACAAGAAAAAAATGTTGTTCTTGTAGTCTGGTTCCCTGGCCAGACGAAACTCCGGAGCAATTTATAGATGTCAGGGAATGTCAGGTCAGGGAACCAGACTAGCTGGCTTGCACCTGATTGTAACTGATTGCAAACAAAATGAGGAATAACTAGATTCTGTAAACTGGGGGCAGTATTTGAAAAAATCAGGGGTTTTTTTCAACGATGGTCAGCTGACCATCTTTGGAAATTAATACAAAAATTCCACTTTTCTCAAAAATGACAGCACACCGGGTACCATGATTTGACAGATTGCTTAAGGCTATTATTCATTTGCAGTCAAGTGAGGTAGTTCATAATAGTTTGGTAGTTTTGTTTGCAATTGTTGTATATTACGTTTAAGGAGGCAGATCAAAGTAACTGAAGATGACAACACAGTTCCAGTGAGATTTTGCTCTTTCAGTTGATTGCGGAGGGGGAAATAGTCATTATCACTCGGCTATGAATAAAATCAAATGATATTTTAAGTAATTGTAGTTTTTCAATTCCAATTCAGTAAACGATAAATGACTGCAAATTGAGTATAATTTGGTATGATGATACTTGTGTTTTTCTGTTATTCACAAGATGTCAATCATTTTAAAAAAATTCTATAAACTCACTATGCACTGATGTAAATACGTGATTCTTTCTAAACAAAAAATTGTTGGAAACTGCCCAGCCAGAATTTGAGTAATAACAGGAAAATTTGTACACCACGGAGGACATAGGAATTTGTTCTATTCTTCGATATTACAAGCTGATTAACCTGAATGATAATTCAAAACAGAAAACCAAATAATGCTCTTCTAATGCATAAAAAGCTGAATGTACGTATATTTATAAAAATAAAAAAAAGAATTATGAATTAAAAACTCTGAACTCATATCAGTGTCGGTCACAATTTTGTGTTAACAAAGTGAAACAATGGTGGAATCATGTTTCATGTATAATTATAATGTAATTAAAGTACAGTTACCATCCTTACCAACAAAAAAAAAATCTGTAAGTTTGATTTTAAAACTTTATATATTACTAGGTTATTTGGTGAGAATAAAACAATTTTTTCAATATTTAAAAGTGCATTTACAAAACATATAGTCTGTTTTGGGTGTGCTCATTATCAGTGGAATTGATTTGTTGTTTTCATAACTTGAGCATAATAGAAAGCATTGATTTAAAAAAAAAAATCGTTTTGGCCCAAAAAAAAAGGCTCCGGTTTCTGGTATGGAGCTTGCCCAAAAAGTGGTGTGGCGACGCGGCTTTTTTTTTTTTTTTTCTTATTTTTTTGCTTTAAATGTCGGCTGATGACTGCAAATGGTGCCCGACTAAACTTAGTGCAAATATATGGGAGTCCAGAGAGGCCACATAAAGCTTATTCTCGACCGTTAAAATTGTGCAGCAGCAGGACTCCAGTCAAACCATTGAGTTTGGCGGTTTTGAGACATCATCTTTCATTGAAAAAAAAACTTTTTCATTTTGCCGACGCGCATGGCTACGGCGACGCGCGCGCATACCAGAACCCGGAGATTTTTTTTTTGGGGGGGGGGGCCTTTTAGATTGAATCCTTATCCAATGTGCACGTTGTAAAAAACATGAAAAATATGCAATCCTCCGATCCACTCACTCTTTTGTTTTGGTGGTACGTACCCCTCTAGGCCTTGCTTAAATGCCCCGCCCCATTTATCTACATGTAGTTCGAAATAAAAAAAATGAATGGAATGTTATTTATTTGTCCAACATTTAAAAAGTACATTAGTTTTAAAAACTGTTCTTTGTTTGGATCATAGAGCTATATTAAATTACTTGGATTGACTGTAACAATTAAACTTCCACAACAGAAAAGTGTCTTTGCAGGGTGCAAATTCTTCCACACTTGAAGAGTTCTGAGAATCGAGCCATGGAATTGGGGAATTGAAGACGGGCACTGTACTTCCTCTGGCCTGGACTTGGGGCTTTCAATTCTGAGCATTTTGGATGCAATTGGGTCCGAGAGTGGCGCTTTAGACCTTTATCGTGCTTCCACCATTTTTGTCATGTTCCCTGTATCCAATAACAGTACTGAATGATAATGTTTTTGTGCAAAAAGGAACCAAACTACTTGGATTTGAATGGGGAAAAAAATCAAATGGCTGCAACTTGATAATGGTCTATTGAGCCGTGTTGTGGCGGGATCTTTTTCAAAATGCCTACTTTTCCAGTTTAGGGGTACTCTTCTTTGGGTGAGAATTTGGCAAAAAGTCATCAGTCAACCCACCAACAATGGAAAAGAAAATGAAAGATCAAAAGATGACATGTTGATCACCATTTTTCTGTGAAGCCTGAACACATGTGAGAGTTCTGAGTATTTTAAAAAGAATTTGAAGTATGGGCATTTAAAACTGGTGTCTATGGGGATTTATTTGCTTGGGTGCACCCTGCAGACGACAAAAACTAAAAATCAACAAGTTTTCATCGATTGGTGGCGCTATTTATCACGTGCGGTGGTGTTGACCACGTGACGAGTGACGACGTGTAAAATATTTTTTACCCAGAATTCCTTCTTCTTTTTCATCACGTAAGTAGAGGGACTATACAATTTTAGTGGAAATTAGATCGACTATATTTCTTTGCAATCCTGCCAAGACTTACCGTAATTTTTACGTTATCAACGCAATAATTTATTTGTGATTAGTTTGGTACCATTTTTGCTTTAGATTTTGCTTGAATTAGTGAATTATTTTTGCTTTGAAAATTCGGTCTGAAATAAAAAATGAACAAAGGGTGGGGCCAGGTTAATCTTTCGCTGGTTCCCGGCTGATATATTGCTACCACGTGTTTACGGCATTGATCTCCATATACACAGACTGGATAGGACATCGCGCCGTGTTTGTGCACGAATGCGCGGCCGAACAATGGCGGCGCGTTTACTGTCAGACGGGTAAACGCGCATTGTGCTTTCACTTTGTTTTACTTTGGAAAATGGATTGTTTAGTGAAATTTTTCTTACAGGAGGGAGTTCAAGCGCTCCTCCAAAACAAATCTTTAAAAAAAAACCTAACTGAACGATGAAGAGTTACCCTCAATCCCTCCAGACAGCTTTTCCACACTTTATTAATATACACTCTTATTATGCATTTTCGAAATTCAAGAACCCCCCATTATCTTTTCCTTTTCTTTGTTTTTAAATCCCTCCTCCTCCCAAAAATGATTGTAAGTAAATTGCCTATTTATTTTTGGTACATTGGTCATTAGAGCACACTGAATTACTCCATTAATGAAATGATTATTGTATTAATAATATGCTAAAATGACATCATATTTTCAACTGAACACGCACACGAGAAATTGTATGGAAATTCATTCAAATGATTGATATATTTATTAAAAACCCGAACATAAACCAATTAGAATCTAAAAGGTAAGAAAAAACCTTAATTTTACAAAGTAATCAGTAAAAACTTCTTCCCATCCCTAGATTGATCAGGGAATGACATCGTTCACCTTTTGTGATATTGTATGAAAGGAGATGAATCACAAACCAAAATTCTATTTTTGTCAAAGAATAATTCAAGCTACGCACGGCCTTGTTTTATAATTAAATGTTAAGCTATACTTCTGAAAATAAATATAATTACTTGTAAGTGTAATGGGAATCGTTTTTGTGAGCGAATATGACGGTGTATTAATGGCTTTAGCTAATAATCTTATATAAAGGCGCACACAATATAATTTCAAACTGTAAAAGTACTTAATTATTGCTTTCTTCACCATACAAACTGTCAATAATGTGTCAGTCATCTTGGGAGCTCATAAAAATACTTGCGTTGAACTCAACAGCTTCTTTTCAAAAAGAAAATCAATCAATGTTAACAGTTCCACATCGTAAAAATTGATTAAGTCAAACGCTCAGATGCCTATCACATCGCATGTTCCATTCAGTGGATGATACAGTTGATTCTATCCCTCCGTGAAGTTCTCCATTTTCGTCCGTCTCGGATATCGTCCTGCAGCTGGTGGTTTTTGCTATGGCTTTGCTGAAGTTCTTTGTTTGATATGAAGGTCAGTCTGCCGGTTGTGTAGTAATTTAGCATAAACCATCTCCTCGGTTTCTCTTTATAAAGAAAAAGAATAGAAACATTTCGGTAGGCGTTTAAGGCAGACATAATTAAATCAGATTTTGCATATAAAAGTTATAAAAGTTATTCGAATAAACTATTTTAAACAGTCAACTTTTGTTCATTACCATTGCCGGGTCAGTCATGCACGTTTAGGCCTATGTCTTTTAAAGAAAAATGATGCCGACCAGCATGACAGGCCTAGATCGCATGGAATTTGAACAGAATATCTCGCTAGCTACCACACAGGCCTCCATCCCCTCAAACTCAGAGCGACAACATTAACGATATTATAATTCGCTTTGTCATTCCATGTTCATATTCCTCCATGCCATGTTGTATAGGCCTTGTTAAAAAAACAACTTACTTGCGAATAATTGTCCTACAGTATTCTTCGACGCTCCTTACTTCCCAACTCCAGAAATCTGATGCTACGCACACCTTGACTATACTCCTCATCGATTTGATCAATTTAGATCTCTGTTTCTTTTATTCTTTCAAAAATGACAAAGAAACCGAAGAAAAACCAACTTCATTTTTTAATCCTCCGTTCGAAAGTGTACACAACTCGAATGCGAAATTGTGTTCTTTACCCTTTTCAAAAAACGCGCGCGCGGACGCACGTTCGTACGCGATGTCCTATCCAGTCTGTGTATATGGAGATCAATGGTTTACGGATATAGAGGGGACAGCGAACATTCTGATCTGAGACTGAGTGGGTGGATTTGGAGAACAATTTTGTGAATTTTTGTTTTATTGCGCACGTACATGTAGGGTCTAGACGTAAAACATTGCATATGAATTTGATCAGACATGTCAGACTGTTTAAAAAAGTTATTAATATTGATTATTGTTAAGAGGAATCTTCAATCAGTAGCACTCCAACTTGATTAAGCAACATGATGAGTGACCAACGTTACGATCAGCAATTAAAATGTGAAACCACAACATCATGAACATGCAGAACAACATTTTCAGTTGAGGCTTTTGTCATGGTTGTCATGTTTATAGTTGTAGGCCTACAACTTCTGAACCAAGCAAGCGGGACCCTCTGGACCTTATTTAATTCGTCGGTCGCACCTTGAAGTGACATATTCATCATGTTCCTTATGTTCAAGACCGCAGTGGTAGATGATACGTCACTTCGTGGTGCACCTGACGGAAAGATTTCCATATACGAAGTTCACTCAACACCCTGTGTACAAACCCTATGAGATTGGACTGAAAAATTCTAAGTGTTTTCTAAGAAAATGCTTGTATTTTCTCATTGCTCAAATTGACTTAGATGACATGAAATTGCTATCTGGGGGCTTGTTAGTCAATACAGACATGACAGAGGAAAATTAGTGAACTTCGTATATGGAAATCTTTCCCACCTGACAATTGTAGTTTGTACAGACATAAAACTGTTCCTCAGATCTGTAATTTCCTCGTTTTTTACTTTTTTACGAATGCCATTACAAATTGAAAAACACTGTACAAAGTCTTGTGCGGGGGGCGCTTTTTTTCCCCGTTCGTTATTTCTTTTCATATTTCAGTTTTCACAAATCCATTGCTTGTGGGAAAAGGGTAGCCTATGACAGTATGAGTACCCCTAGAACTATAGATGAATCACCAACGGCTTTGTTGACTACTACGAAATAACAACTAGGCTAATAAGTACAAAAATGTACATCAAAATGTAAGAATGAGGAGTTGGCGCTCCAGTTATTTTATAGGCAGTGTATATTTTGCCGGAGACGGCAAACCTTTAGTAAACGTTAGTTTGCCGGATATGCACTGAACATGCGCAGTTACTGTTTTTTTGTACTTAAAACATTTTCCATGACAAGTTTTAGTCTGGCTCCATGCCAAAATTATCGTTGTTACCTCTATTCACAAGATGGGATTCAGACCATAGTAATTTCGGACTTTATTTCCCTTTTAAAAAAATCCTCCAGAGCCACAAATCTGAAAAAGAAAATGTAATACTCTGCAGAAAATGTTTGAGACATGTTAAAATAATAAAAGAAGAATATTCTTATTTATTTGGGGATGAGAAGAAAAAACTTAAAAATGTGCTGCAGTAGGAATCGAACCCGAGTCATCCCGCTTACTAGAGCCTTTGCTTAACCACTACACCAAACGTGCTACACAACTTTTGGTGGGAATTTAACACATCTTATAATTCAGCCCTATTTTAAAGAGTACAGCGCCCTCTGTTGATATGGATTGCCGCCGGCAAACCTTTAGTAATCGTTAGTTTGCCGTCATTACCTCCGGCAAAATATCCACTATCTATTTTATATACATGTAGCTCTATTTACTTAAGCTCTATGCTATAAGTACACTTTCCTAGTTTAATTGTTGAATTTTTTGGGGGGGGGGGGTGGGTAAACGTGCCCCCCCCCCCCCCCCCTTTGCTCGGGAGCATGTTGAAACCATGTTGACAATTCCGCTTTTTTTTCCTTTTGACCCTGCAGCAATGGCGGACCCAGCACCAGCCGGTGATCGCGGTGGCTTTCGTGGCGGTTTCGGGTCAGGAGGGCGTGGCAGGGGCCGCGGCCGTGGACGCGGTCGTGGGCGAGGTAGGGGCCGTGGCAAGCCCGAGGACAAGGACTGGGTGCCAGTGACAAAACTGGGCCGTCTTGTCAAGGACCTCAAGATCAAGTCGCTTGAGGAGATCTACCTGTTCTCCCTGCCGATAAAGGTAGGATTGAGCAAGATATCTTCATTGTGATTTATTTTATCTGTAGGCTCAAAGCATTTCATTTCTGAAAAGGTACTAGTCCCCCCCCCCCCCCCCAAAAAAAAAAGATTTAAAAAACAAGGTATTTTCATCATTTTCATCCAAACAGGAAGCTGAAATTATAGATTTCTTCCTTGGCACTGCCTTAAAAGATGAGGTATTGAAGATTATGCCCGTCCAGAAACAAACCCGAGCCGGCCAGCGAACCCGATTTAAGGTGAGTTGTCAAGAGCCTGAAGAAAAACACTGTTTTGCTTGCAAATTTTCATTGTAGCAGCTGATTTCCTCTTTTTTCACTGCGCACTTGTGTCATCAACATTTGAAAAACATAGTTCATGTACAAAGTCTTGTAGAGCTTGGAATATCTTCTTTTGTTTTGGTTACTGCCCAGTTGCATGCCAGGTTTTGAGATTCAGTTGATTGATTGGATTGATCTACTTTTTTTAATATCAGTTTTTCTGCATGAAAGCTGCTGTGACTTTCTTAATCAGTGGTTTCCAATCATTGGAATAGTAAAGGGCAAAATCTTGCTTAATGCATATTTAGAGCTGGTTGTCAAATTAGTAAAGATTTTTTTTTGTTTTTATTCACAGGCCTTCGTTGCAATCGGAGACCACAATGGTCATGTAGGTCTTGGCGTAAAGTGTTCTAAAGAGGTGGCTACGGCCATCCGAGGGGCCATCATATTGGCCAAACTGTCGGTCATCCCAGTCAGACGTGGCTACTGGGGCAACAAGATCGGCAAGCCCCACACCGTGCCCTGCAAAGTGAGTGACCACTTCATGCAAAGTGCTCCAATGTCAGTGTTGGAATAATAAATTAAAAATAAGTCTTCTGGCAGTTGGTCATTAGTGCACCCGACCGTGAGGTGTATTTTCAGATGTGTAGCTGTACCACGTTTTAAGATTCAATGAAAAATCTGCAAATAACTTTTGCAACTGCACATGAAACCAAAAGAGTTACTTTGCTTTTTCTGCATCAGGTGACAGGAAAGTGTGGGAGCGTTCTGGTGCGGCTCATCCCCGCACCGCGCGGGACCGGTATCGTCAGTGCACCGGTGCCCAAGAAACTGCTGCAGATGGCAGGAATAGAGGATTGCTACACAAGCGCATGTGGCTCAACGAGTACCCTGGGCAACTTTGGTAAAGAAAACAATTGGAAATGGTCCACCCCTTAATCCTAACCTCAATCAGGTATTCTTCAGGTGCCCTGCTAAATGCAACAGTATCCAACTCAACTTGTATGAGAACCCTGTTAAATGCAGCAAACTGCAACAGTGGATTCTGTTGCATTGTGCACTGAATCCAGTGCACACTAACCTTGACACCAAGCAGTTACCCTGCTAAATTCAGCAAACTGCAACAGTGGATACTCTTGTGTTGCTTTGGCACTTATGCAGTTATGAGCACGAGCACAGTAATTTGAGTCGTCTGCTAAATGCAACAGTATGCAACAACATTTTACCTTTGTAGCTATCGGTTTCATTTAGCAGGGTAATGGTTAACCCCAAACAATCAAAACAGATATTAGCCGCATAGAGACAAAGTACTTTTGAAATTAAACAGCCTGTTTCATCCAATTATTTATCCCTCACTTTCTCTCTTTACAGCCAAGGCGACTTTCCAGGCGGTAGCTAAGACGTACAGCTACCTGACTCCAGACATGTGGAAGGAGACGGTTTTCACCAAGTCGCCGTACCAGGAGTTTACTGACCATCTGGCCAAGACCTACAAGACTGCGCAGCCCGCAGCGGCTCCGCAGCCAGCATTCTAAAAACCCAGGAGATTAAGTTTCCTGGTCTAGCGCCCAGAGCGGCCTAGTGATTCGGGACTCTAAAGTGCAGTCCCAGCCTAAAACCCAGGTTACCCTGGTCTAGTGCCCAAAAGCGGCCTAGTGATTCGGGACTCAAAGTGCAGTCCCAGGCCACTATGGGGGCGGTTAGACCAAGGATACCCGTGTGATGTTTTTATTTTACTTGAATTATAACTTGTAGTTCCAAATACGTCAACACATTTCCAAAATATGCAAACTGTAACAGCACTTCTCGGTGGCTGCCAAAGAATTCTTAGTTATGTCCAGGGGAGATGGCAAAGAGTGTTGAATGTGGCCAACCAGAGTTGGTGTGGGCGCGGTACAGCTGCTATATGCGCAATGCAGGTTGGGGCGGCACAACATAGGGGTCGTCGCAAGCACAACACACAGGTTGGAGCGCAACGCAACAGGTTGGGGCACGCTTACCACAGAGGATGGGGCTGCACAACACAGAGTTGTAGGGACGCGCGCAACAAGAGGTTGGGGCTTGTGCAACGAGATGGTTGTGGCTAGCGCAACGCAGAGGCTGTGGCACAGACCACGAGAGGTTGGGGCACGCTTACCACAGAGGATGGGGCTGCACAACACAAGGTTGGCACGTGCACAGCAGACGTTGTGGCTAGCGCAACAGAGGTTGAGGCAGCACAACACAGATTGTTGCATGTGCAGTTGTATCGGAGCTCCACAACTTTCGTTGGCCATATTCAACACTGTTAGTTTCATCTCTCAATCAATTTGATCATGGGTCGCCCAACAAAACTTTCAACACCAGTAGGTAAATGCAAAAAAAAATCCTAAGTTTTTGAATAAAGTCACAATAAATTTCAGTTCAAATTGTATCACATTATGTCTAGCATTACATAAGCTCCTCTAAACCCTAATCCCCACATCACGTGTCTTGAATTATTTCAGAACGTTGCTTCTAGATCATCAAAACCTTCACAAAAGTTATCAATTCTGTCATCATCTTCGTCGTAAAAGTAACACTTGCATTTAGGAATACAACTTTGAACTGAACTTTGTCACGGAAGAGAAGGAACTCTAGTTGTAATTTTAACTTGGTTCTGCTAAAAAAATGTGTAAGTTAATAAGAGTGAAATCCAAACAGCATATGGGGTCTGACGTTTAATTGCTTCCAAAGAGATAGTGGTTGCCTCATGAAGGCGTGCATTGAAAAAGTAAACAAAAAGAAAATGAAATTCTCTGTGTATGGTTGTCATTCTTTCAGCGTGTGCATGTATTGTCTTTCTGTTAAATTAACAAAGTTTAAGCTTGATTCCAAAAAAAAAATAAACAAACAGTTTGGGGGGGGGGGGTGGACTAGATATTATTGCAATAACGCCAATTAAAAGTACAATGTACATTTACATGTACATGTTTCAAATAAAGCTGTCTTCTACATGTGTGTGAAAAGCAAAATGTAACCCTCCACGCAACCATTACAAAAATGGGGTTTTTTTTGTAATTTTTGCGAGAACCATGCCAGAACAAATATAGGGGGCGACACTTTAGTCCCGAAAAATGGAGCTGTTCGGCGCTACTTGTGATTGCAGCCTTACAGTGGTTTTGTGTATTTGTGCTGTGTGTACATGTAATTTGACACACGATGTTTAATCATACATTCATTGAATGAAATAAACCCTCCTACTATTTAAGAGGTCACAAACGGTTAAAATGTTTCTATCTCACGCGGCATACTGTGTACAAACCAATGGGGATCTTGACCAATATTTGACCCAAGTAAATCGGGGTGATTTCGTTTTCGATGTAAACAAAAGGTTTTTTTCTGGGTCATATCTCGGGAATGTAAAAAGACCTTAGGTCAATTTCCTTTCAACTAGACTTTTAAAATAGTATAAGTAAACAAATAACATGAAATTGTCGTGGATTTTAGGCCGTAATGCCCCTTTAATCCCCTCCCCGCACTTCACATTTCAAAAAGAACGAACCCCGCAAAACTTTTTGCGGACCGCGCGGATCAATAATCATTCGACGACTGATGACTGAGCCGGGCAAATAACTTAAATAAACACACACCAAACAGCCGTCCATATTACGTCAAAATAGTCTGATAAACGCACCATAGAAATATGTTGTAAATGTCGGCAATCACCAGACTTCGATGAATTATATGACGTCAAATTAGATTCGTCGAGCAAAAAGCATAAGGAGAGCTGCTGTTGATTTTGTGAGGACGTGTAACTGAACTCGTGGGTAAAAAACGTCATTTTACCGTTGTTTAACTGGCGATTGGTGAAATTGATGTCGTAACCGATATCGCAGAATGGGTGGAACAGATTCAAAGCTGAATTTCAGGAAGGCCGTGGTACAGCTGACCACAAAAACACAGGTAAATTTGTGTGTCATGATTCGAATGATTTTTTTGGATTACTGTCATGACTGTACTGTGTACAATGCTGTAGGCTACTTTCAAAATCAAATGCTATATACACGCACTAGAGTAGAAGAAATGTTTCCAATTTTGTTCAGAAATACCTAAAAATATACTCTCCATAGACTTTGTACACATCTGCTTTTTCTTCGTAAATCATCTCAATGAAGGTCATTCATTGCAAAAAATAATGATGATAAGACTAAGAATAACTTACTAGACACATGCTAGAAAAGTAGAAGAGAGTAAGACATGAATCTGGGACTTAATTTTAGTGAGAACATGGAGAAACAATTCCAATTTTGTTAGAAAATACTTTATCACTTACTTACTTTATTCCACCTCTACATGAAGATGTATGTAGGCCTAATGCAAAAATATAAATATAGGGCCTAATTCTTCAAAATAAATTAGGTACATGTTAAAACAAATAAGATAAGAAATAATGTAGCCTATTAGAAAACAAGACTGAGATGCAGAGGACCACAAAAAGCAAGCGTGTCGAGTGCAAGTCCCCTGACATGTGCCTGAACAACAAAAACAATAACACAATTAACAAGGTACATAATAACAACAAATAAGACTCCGTGTAAACAAAGACAATACAAGAATGTAAATGACAGGGACAGTGAGTGTGAATTAATGGAAAGAAGCATTAAAAAAATTAATTTAATTTAATTTAATATGGAATAAGTCTTGTCTCTCCATAGACTCTGAAGTACAATGTAGCATCAGATTGCAACATTCTTTCCAAAGCCTTGTCCATAAAAAAATATCTGGTGGAAAGATTTCCATATACGAAGTTCACTCAACACCCTGTGTACAAACCCTATGAGATTGGACTGCAAAATTCTAAGTGTTTTCTAAGAAAATGCTTGTATTTTCTCACTGCTCAAATTGACTTTGATGACATGAAATTGCTATCTGGGGGCTTGTTAGTCAATACACAGGGTGTTGAGTGAACTTCTTAAGTTATATGGAAATCTTTCCTTATCTGGTTCCCAATCTACAGCTGCAAAATCAAAACAAAGACAGCGCGTCAAAAAAAACAAAATGTCACACTGTATAAAGTAAATGGTGCCCCCAATCATCAATCAGTAGACACAGTGTACTTCTCCAACTTTGAAAATTAAAGGTCAGTGCGCCATCAAGAAGGGGAGGGGAGGGGGGCGCTATAATTATGTTTGGGGCGCTATTTGCAGTTTGCAGATGAACATGTAATTTATGTACGGATTTTAGCTTTTAGGCCACTTCTAAGTTTCTAACACAGTAATACTAACAATTAAGTACAATACTGGCTCAGCATCATCTTTTTTATCACATCAGTGACCAGGGACTCTGAGGCAGTTTGGCCTTGAGACTTTTGACCTGATTGATTGCTACAATGGGCCTGCTTGTCAGTTTGACAAGTGTTGCATGTTACTGCTTTTGGCAGAGTTTCTGGCCAAAATATACCCTGGAGGGTAAGGGTAGTCCCACTTGTTTGTCTTTTTTATTATTTTCCCTTTTTTTTTAAAGCATGGTGGACAACTTTTTAAGCTTGGTGGCAGCTTTTGAAACCTGGCGGGTGCCTCAGAAAGCTTGGCGGGGCACCAAGTTATTTTTACAGGTTGGAGAACACTGGTAGACATGCTTCAGTGAATTTTGGTTCCCTTTCCGATTTTGTTTCCCTTTCAGGGGGCCAGAGTGTTTAAGAAATCACCCTGCTGGCCTATAGTCTTAATCAACTTGAACTTAACAGGGAAAAAATTAGCTTGAGAAGTTCTAGCTCCAATGCTCATCAGGAATTCGACATGTAGAGCTGGATGTCAATGTACGTTGTAGCCAGCGGTCTAAAAATGGCGGAGCCCGTATTTTTTTTCTCAACACAGCCGCAGAAAACATATATATGTTATGCGCCTATCAAATGTTTCCCCCACCCCTCCCACCCTGTGCTGCCCCAGGTCCGATGTCGGGATGTGGTCACGTTTTTCATGCCCCAGGGTGGGGATTTTGGTCTCTCAAATTACAGTTAACATTGGCGTACTAATGGAAAGGCAATCACTAGTGCGCCCCACGTATGTAAGTCGGGGCATGGTCGGGGATTGTCACTTAAATTTTGCCCGAGGGGTAGGGATTTTGTCACTTCAAAAGTGACAATCCCCACGTCTTGGGTGGGGCAGCCCGGGAGGGGAGGGGAGGGGAGGGGTGGGGGAAACAATTGATAGGCGCATTAGTCACTTTTGTTCTAATTTAAGTCAATCCTTTGCTTCATGATGTGATGGATTTTTTTCCTCAAAAATGTTGAAATAATCATGAATATTGGAGAGGGATCATTTCTTGTAAGGAAATACTTGAAAGATATATGAATTCCTTTTGAGTGATCAAGTGGCATCATGGTCAGATGATTAGGATATGTATTGCATTCCAGCACATCAGCAATTCAGTGGTAAATTATTTGCATTCACTTTAACTTGACTACCCATTGTTTTCCCAAAAGTTGAAAACACAGATATTAGATAGACTGCTGTTCATGCATACATGTACATTGTACATGCAGTGAATACATAAATGTACTCTGGTTTCACACATACATGAAATAAGATAACTACCGCTATACTCAACGAATATCTTCAATCTGACTCACTTTCTGAGGAGCAGTAATAATATATTCTTAATATGTGACTTATGGATTTTGTTGCACATCACAGCCTGTGGAGGCCGGGGATGACGCATTCTGGGACCAGTTCTGGGCCGACACGGTGACCAGCGTCAGTGATGTATTTGCCCTCATTCCGGCCGCAGAGATCCGGGCACTCAGAGAGGAGTCGCCGTCAAATCTAGCCACCTTGTGCTACAAGGTAAAGACGCCCTTTTTAAAAACTTGCCAAATTTTATTTAAGATTTGGAAAGTATGCTGTAACCTGAAAAATTGGAGACCCAGGGCTGATTTTAAAAATGCAAACTTCGTCGAGCTACCTCTGGCTTTAGGCATACAGGGTTGAGCTGAAAGCTCAGCCGGGGTTTGAAAAACAGCTTCCATGTTTTCCCAACAAACATTGTACTTATTAGGCCAAACAAAAAATATGTCGGTCTCTGGTCAGCGTGCGCGTCGATTTTAATCATGCGCGTCGATCTTTTTTTTTTTCAAAATGTTCTGCGGTAGCTCCAACAGCGCCCTCTATTTCCGCACCTCCTCAATTTTTTTTCCAAAGATCACCAAGGAATGGGAAATTGCACCAAGGCAAATGATCGAAAGCACCGAGGCAAATTATGGAGGACACCAATGTACATGAGGACACCAAAAAAGCAAAATAGTACCTACCTTGTCTGTACAATCCGAGCTTGAAGAAAAAAGAAAAAAAAGCCGAAAAAAAAAAGCCGCGTGGCCGCGTCAATTCCGGAACTTTGGTCTGACCAGAGACCGAATATTTTTTTTTTTTTGGCCTTATAGATGAATCCGGGCATGTGATCAATGTACACACAAGAGGTCTCCTTCAATGGTAAAAGTATTCTGCAAGCTAATGTGAGAAGTAGCTGCTACCACATGACAGATTATCTGAACAATAGCTAGCACCATGCTTAAGCCATTGAAAGGGCCTTCATGATAGAATTGATGGTCGGCCTGGATTGGTGTATATGTACACACATACCGGTAAGGCCAAACAAAATTAATAATCGGTCTCTGGTCAGACTGAAGTTCCGGAATTGATGCGGCGACGCGTTTTTGTTGTTGTTTTTTGGGGTTTTTTTCAAGCTTGAATTGTACAGACAAGGTGGGTACTATTTTGCTTTTTTGTGCCCTCATTATACATTGGTGTTCTCCATAATTTGCCTTGGTGCCCTTTATCATTTGCCTTGGTGCAATTTCCCCATTCCTTGGTGCTCCTTGGTACAAAAATTTGAGTAGGTGCGGCAATAGAGGGCGCTGTTGTAGCTTCCGTGTTAATTTGAAGAAAAAAAAGAAGGTTGACGCGCATGGTTAAAATCGACGCGCGCGCTGACCAGAGACCGGAGTATTTTTTTTTTGGCCTAACATGCTCATATAATTTTGGGCATGGGGGACATTTACAAAAAATGTATGGCTCTAGTTCGACCATCCACTAGAGCTCGTTCAAACAGGTTGGAAACTCTGGTTCATGAACTTATGCACCGAAGAAGACACTTGTTATTTTTTATCTGAATGACCTGAAAAACCAGAGTGTCTTTGCCTAGATGAGTCGGGCACATGGTTACAATGTTCAGAGTTAAAAGGACATTACGGCCTGGAATGCACCCAATGGGAGACTTTTGAGACGTTGGTGGCAGCAAACATACCGGTCCTTTTTCCATCGTTTGCGGCATATTGAGCATGCGCGCTTTGGCTTCAACATGACGCAAACAATTGAAAAAGTGCAGGTATGTTTGCTGCCACCAACATCTCAAAAGTCTTCCATTGGGGTATAAAATGCATTTTGACCGAGTTACGGGTTCTTGATGAAGTCTCCATGATAACTGTCACATTGATTTTTCAGCATACTCTATGCTTTGTGCATAAATGGCCAAAACTAGTTCATTGTTTTCATTAAAGGGAATGTACATCATTGGCTTATGCTTTAATTTTCAGAAATGAACTATTTGAGGGGTTAGTATAATAGATCAAATTATTGTTACATTGACATGTTTGAAGTTTTGTTGTCGAAAATGCTGGAAAAACCAAGAAAAACAAAAATGTTCAAGTAGTCTGGTTCCCTGACTCCACTGAAGATGAAATGGATCAATTTACAGATGCCGGAAAATTGTACGCTAAGGGAACCAGTCTAGCTGACCTGCACCCATTCATGAACATAAAACCAATTAGCAAACAAAATTGGACTAAAAAATGGTAAATTTGGAGCAGTAGTGAAAAATAGTTAGGTTTTTCCTACGGTGGTCGGCCGACCACCGTTGGAAATGTAAACAAAAGTACAATTTTCTTGAAAAATGACTTCACACCAGGTGCCATAATTTTACAGGATGCTTTAGACTGTCATTTACCAACATCCTGTAAGGTATTTCGTAAAAACTTGGTCATTTTATTTTTCGATGTTTGCAAATGTTGTATTTTCCCTTTAAGCTAATTGTTAAAAAAAATGACATTTTTCCTCAGGCGGTTGAGAAGCTAGTATCAGCATCAGAGAGTGGCTGTGCAGCTGCCAAAGACCAGCAGATGGTGCTGAACTCCGTCCGTCTCCTGACCCGTATCCTACCTTACATCTTTGAGGACCCTGACTGGCGCGGATTCTTTTGGTCCACGCTTCCTGGACAGTCCGTAAGTTGGAAAAAAATCAATCTTCTCCAAAATATTCTAGAATTACGCATACATGTCTTTGTCTTTCTTGGATACTTTATCCAAACATGCACAACCTTTCTGCGCTTATGTTGGGCTGAGCAATTCCAGATTATTCAATTTCCAAATTTTGATGGAATTTATTCAAGTGTTACAGCAACTGGAAGCACTATTTGGGATATGAACAAATCTTAAAGCAGTGATACTGGAGGGCAATTGCAGCCTTATGAAAGGAAGTGTTACATCCTATGTATGTCCACGACAGAGCCAATTACAGGGGTGTAAATCTGGGGTGGCGAGGGGGTTTATCCTCCCATTTTTAGAACAAGGGGGGTGGGCTATTGAATCCCCCCCCCCACTTTTTTGTGATGAGAAAAACAAAATGCGGGTTTTGAGGTATTTTTTTTTAACATCCCAACAACCCAAATGTATTCAATACCACTAAAAAGAGGAGAAACAAAGTGCATAAGCTTTTAAAATGCGATGTTTTGATGTAAGCGCGAGTATACATGCTATCCTAAAGAACGACTCCTAGTGTAATGTGGTGTCCAGCCAACCCCCCCCCCCCCCCCAATTTCCACGGCCGGGCAATTTTTGGATTTTGGTCATCCCCCATCCCCCCACTCACCGGCTCAGATTTACGCCACTGGCCAATTAACCTTGATATCCCATCTTATTGACGATTCAGAGAAATGATCCAAAAACTCCTAGTCCGTAATCTCCTTGACCATTACTACATGTAGATGATGATGTGAAAAAAATACATCTGATTTTGTTTTTAAAACTTGCGAAAAATAAACCTGAAATATACATTTTCAAGTTTATTCACTGAGCTCTTAAAAGCTCCGTCATGGACATATTGCATAATGCTGCAACTGCCCAGCAGTTATAGTAATGCACAAAACTGCATATATGGGCCTTATGCACACAAGTTGGCCATTTTTGTCGTGTTCCCTGAATGTATTTCATAAATTGTGAACTGTTGAATGGCATGGTACCAGACTACTTATTCACTATAGCCTCACTTTCAGGTTTTTTTTAAATGTGGCTTTAAACATTAGAGCATGTTTAATCACAAATTTTAAATTATTCATCAGAGCAGACTGGTATTAATTTGTAACGTCATTGCTTTAATTTTTCTCCACAAGTTCCAAAAGATGAAGATTTTACCTCACTCTAAATCCATATGGCCAACTCGTGAATAAGGCCCATTATCCTCATGGTCTTCGCTTCACACTTTAAAGGGAAAAAAGAAACTTCAGTCCTGTTCTGATTGAAAAACAAGCTTTATCTAAAAACTTCTCCCATGTTTTCATTCTTTACGAATATTTATGAACTTTCCTGTATGTGGTGGAGGGTCAGTATAGATGCATTGCATGATGACACCAATTTGTTTCAATATTCATCATCTACATGTATGATATGACGTTTGTTTTCCGCTGCATGCTTCAATTCTAATATTTTTGGGGCTTTCTTCTTTTCTTTCTCTATTTTCCAATTTCTTTTCATCTTTGCAGTATGGTATCGAGGGAATGGATGACATTGTGAGTTTAATGTTTATTATTCATATAATACAATCTTTGTACTGCAAACCGTCAGAAGTCTTTACATGATGGAAATATGTTATTTAAATTTGTTTTACCATATTTTATGTCAATACACATGAGTACTTTTCACCACTGGTTATATTTTTGAAAATTGCAAAAAGAAAATTGAAAATAAGGTTAAATGGGACACAAAGGTGCATTTTCAAGGTTCGCATTAAAAAAAATCACATCCCCATGGGCGGGGCCCCTTAGGCCTAATAAGCACTTTCAGTCTTTCACGGCAATATGCACCATCTTGTTCACGGGGCAAAAAGAACACGCGTTGCTAGACACGGGCGCATTTTGGAACGAACGCATGATGACTTGGAAGCGCAAAAGTTTTTGATTGACAATGCGTACACAGCAACGCGTGTAAGTTTGCCCCGTTAGCAAGATGGCGCATATTACCGTTAAGGTGCTTATTATTTATTTGGAAAAGATTATACATGTAAGTCTCATGGATGTTTTGATCATTCTGATTGTGTATACACCCATTCCCCTTTTTCATGTTCAACCATTTGTTAATATTCAATCGTTCAAGTACCGGTGTGGTATCATAAGCACATAATCAAAGAAACTTCATAGATATTTTTGCAAGTTGCAACAGTATCCAGTTCTCAGCCATTGTACACGTCAGCTAATTATTCAACATCCCAGATCATTTCAAATCTAACAGAAGGTTTTGTAGGATTTTGTAGGATTAAGGAATTGTGCAATCAAACCACTGTGATTCTACAATGGGCAGTAAGCCTACAACTTGAAAGTTTGAGAACAAAGAATATCATTGGGTACAGAGAGATGGATTTTCAAGGATTTGGAAATTTGAGCCAATTAGGGCCGTGCATTTTTGAACAATTAAATATTCGATAATAACTTGGACTTGATAAAATAACAAAGAACAAGTTGCAGAAAGACTAATATTTGAATAAAGAAATTGGAGCTAATATCCCTCACCGAAGCTCACAACTCATGTACGATAATGGCTTGCAACAGAAGAGTGGCATTTAACAAACAAAACCTCACAACCTTAACCCTAAGCTCCATAGAGCAGAATGCCTTGGGACTTAATTAAGGTTTAAATGTCGTATTTTTGTATTTCAAAAAGTTGTATAAAGAATGATTGAGAATAAGTTTTTGGTTTTTGTTTTTCATTTCACATGGGATATAAAATGTACACGTACATGTTTAAAAAAATATATACACAGAAATGCAATATTCTTACAAAATGTAGATCCCATGTATACAGTTTTTATTTTTAAGGCCAAAAAAGAAATTCTGTTTCCGATAACATGGCATTCCAAAATAGGGTACAATGTAGGTACATGTAGGTAGGGAATTTTTTGGGTTGTTTGGCCAATTTTATTGCGTACGATCATGTATACGTACATGTATGGAGGCGTCTGCGTGTATTCAAGGGTAAAAGGTAGAAATTGATGGTTTTGGGTGTTTTTTTTCTTCTCACTTTTCCCATAAAAAAATTAGGGTAGGGGCTGTCAGAATAGGGTAGGTAGGGAAACGGGAAGCAGAACTATTTTTTTTTGGCTTAAGTAATAATAACATACTGGGTTTTTTTTTTACAATGATCATCACACCATGAAACAAGAAAAATACGTGTACATGTACTGACCACATGCACTACATGTATACATGTACATGTATAAATTCATTCAAATGACATTTGGAGTGCAGTCCCATGCATATTTAAGTATCATATTTTGGTTCATTTTGTTTTTAAACACAGGCAGTGCCAGGGGCATGTCCATCTGTGCAGACATGATTAATTCATTTAAGTGCAAGCCCCATGTTAGCCTCAGGAATTGTTTTTCTTGTACCAGTACCACTGCCTTCTGTGTCACAATTTACAAAATGCAAATGTTACTTAAGGTACATGTATCTGTACGGTTATGGTGCCAAAACAGTACTTACGGTACATGTTCTTTTAATAAGTGTGGTAGTTTTACCTCCAAAAAATATTAAAAATACAGTCTCCTGGTAAAGTGATATGTAAGATGTTTCAAATGGCAATATGAAACGGAACTGGGCACAGGCCGAAGTGGAGAGAAATGAAAAAAAAAAAAATGAACGAGTGTGATTTTTTTGATTTTCAAATCTATTGATAATTTGTAACCTTTATATGCACTGCACATATTTTTTAAGAAATAGTACAACAATTATGCAGTGAAAGTGTTTTTAAGGTAAAACTATTGGCATCTTTCATTTGATTTTCACAAATAAACAAAATTTGAAACTTGAATGGTATTTTTCTCAGGATTCGACTTGTTTGACATTTTGATGAATGCAAACTTTAAAAGCCATAACTTGTCAACAGAATGTTCAATACATGTAGATGTGCTACAAACAGTATTGTAAGGAGAATTTTATTAGTTTTCCTAATACCCGCAAATCCTCATTTTGACCTTTGCCCAGTTCTGTCGCATTTTGCAAGAACGCCTCACATATTTTACGTTTGTTGAAGAAACATAATAATTCAAAATAGAAAAATAAAAAGGGAAAAAATGACTGAATGTATGTATGTATTAAAAAAAATGCTGATAGCTTTTGTAGTAATTTTTTTCAAATCATAACATCATTTAGCACATCTACATTTTTTGCATACTGATTACATTTACATTGTTAAATTCTGCGTGCCATTTATTCATGGCCCAACGATTCCATATGGTGTGTAGTTCATTACGTCCCATATACTGTGCCATAACAAAGTAATAGCATGTATTGTGTACTACGTGTAATATACACAATACGTACACGAAGGTTTATGACCTGATTGGTCATAAACATAATTATTAACCCTAACTCCCTCTAGAGGCCTCTTTGCTAGGATGTAGCCTCAATCCTGCAAAATCCTCCAATTGGCCTCATGGAAAAATAGCATAAAGCTTCAATCCTGCAAATTCCTCCGTTATATCTTGAATATGGTTCGTGGAGGGATGACCACTGCCTGAATCCTGCAAAATCCTCCGGCTATGTCTGTCAATATGCTGAGGCAGAGGCAGTGACATTCTGGAGCAGTGCGGAGGATGTCAAGTATAATCAAGGACTAAATTTATGCACGGCTGAGCATAAACAACACAAGGTCCGGCCCAAGACCTTGACACAGTGCGTACTCCGAAATCAGCAACGCACTTTTGCCATGTAACCTCAATCCTGCAAATTCCTCCAATTTGCAAAAAGGATTTTGGAGGATTCAGGGCGGTTAGGGTTAATAGAAAAGATATATTTGTGAAGGAAAGATATCATTATCAGACAGTGTATTAATACCGTTTTATGTTGTTATAATGCAACCATGCATGATCGTTGTTTTGTTTTCCACTGGCTTTTGTTTCAACGATAGCTAATTCCTATTGAGGATCTGCCCCGTCTCCATGGTTACGAGGTTGCATGCTTGATTTTTAAAATTTTGTTGATGTGGTTTGCCATTGTTGAAAAAATGGTCTAACAAATGTTTGTGTGTAATACATTGTATGATAACCATAAATTTCAATTTTCACATTGTCAGTCTTTTGTTGATGTGAATAATGTTGCTTTGATGTTCTGTGTTTCTTGTGATAGATAAATGCTTGGCAACTGCCCCTTCCTTCTCTTAGAAAGTAGACCGGATTACATGAATTTGTCTCCTTATTATGATTTCCCTGAAAAAAAAAAAAAATTCCAAAAGATATGAAATGTACCGGGTATGCCTAAAGCTGGCCTCAGGTCGACCCACGATTTGCTTGAGCCACACGGAACTGACGGCATCAAGCACAATAATTATGCTCGGGTCACAAAACAGAGAAATCGTGTTATGGTCACGGAACACGTCGCAGAAGTTGAAATTTTTCTACTCAGATTGCGACTGCTGATTTTTTTTTTTTTGCGCCAACTGATGCCGATCGTTTGAATATCGTCGCAGTTACACTCAGGTCGCACAAAATCAGCGACTGAGTTGTTCCCGATGGTCGTAGCTCAGACACAGCTTGATCCTGAAAAGTCAGTCGCCAACTGATCTGTGTCGTCGCAAGGTCGACCTGAGGCTGGCTTTTCACTCTAGCACGAATAAATTGAAACGCTGCAAAGAAACAGCATCCTTAGGCCAAACAGTACAAAAATATAGAATGTTTTTTATGAATTCATGTATTACAATGCACCAGTTTGAAATATTTTTTCCCAAGATTATTAAAATAAGTAAAAAGTCAGGACAGCTTCTGCATATAAAATCCAGTGTATGCATTCAAACTGTCATGCCCTAGAATCCACTGTATTTTCTGTCTGATGACATGGATGAACATGTATTCTTATGTGAACTGCGCATATGCATGAGTATTCTATTTTTTAAAATTACATGCATGTAAATAGTGTCAGCTGTTTTGCCCATATTTCTCCCAATTGACGGCTGGTTCTATTTAGTTTGTTCCCAGCTAGTCCTGAACTATATTTGCATTTGTTGGCCATATGTGTTTGTTTATTAATGGAATAACTGTGCTGTGGGTGTACTTCACTGCACATTTTCCTGTTGAAATGGACTTTGCTGTGCTTCACAAATCGATGTTTCTAAAATCAAAATTGCACATGACGTAAACAGTGCAGAAGTGATTTGTTGATATTGTTTAACCCTAACCCCTTGAGCACTTTTACTAGAAAGTATCCTGAATCCGCCAAACTAACCAATTTTGTCTTGCAAAAAAATGTTGGTGTCAGTTGAGTCCATCAGAATCCACCAGTGTAGTACATATACCTTGTACATGTACATGTACATACCAAGCATTTAGCCAAGGAGTTAAACTGTTGAGATCCTGAATCCATCCAAGTCCCCCAACTGCTCAATATGGAGGCATCCTGAATCCATCCAAATCCTGCAGTACCGCTAGGCTTACTGTCCCAAATTTATCGAAAGCCCCCAACTTTTTCAACATGGCGTGGAGGTTTCCTGAATCAGCCAAAATCCTCCAAACAGGGGTGTGGATTTTGATGGATTCAGGTATGTAAGGGTTAATAACTTTGTCTATGTCCAAAATATATGTACATGTACTTGTACTTATCATTCACACTATACCACTTGCAAATATTTTATTAATTTTATTGTAGGTTTTGGTTTTAGTTTTAGTGTTAGATTTGGGCTTACATTTCTTATAAGTACTGTGAAATTTTAATAAAAAACTTCCCATCTTGTTCTTACCACATCTCATTCCATCAACAATGATATTGTTTTCCAGTTAAAAAAATTCACTTTGTTAACTAACAAATGTAACCATTACTAAAGTCACTAACCATCAACAGCAAATCTTTGAAGTACTTGTTTCATTTACACGGTGCTCCTATATTTTTTTTCAGAACACATTTTAATTTTGGACTGTGTTTTTCTCTTTGTAGAGTGATGAGGAATCACTACCTTTGGCCCAGTCTCTTCTCAATGCCGTCGCCGACCTTTTATTCTGTCCAGACTTCACTGTGGCTCCAAACTCAAAAAAATCTGGACCAGTAAGATATCCTCTCTTTTTCCTCCTTTTTCCACAGAATCCATATTCTTAATTGATGCCCGCTAATTGATTCAGGTGCTTCATATTATGTGTATACCGGTGGGTGGTCCAAAATACTGGGGCCAAGAAAAACAAAGTTACATTTGCTTTCGATTACATGCTGTTTCAAAATAGGGTTGGTATTGGGTAGGTCAGGATTGTCTTTCTTTTTTTTTAATTACTTTTTCTTTATGCTGACCCAGTGGGTAAGACAGAATTGATAAAATGAAAGTTTTTTACAACAACTTTTTTTTCACAACCTTGCCGATAAATTTGCAGGGGTGGGCCATAAAAATAGGGTCGGTCAAGTAACCGTATGCTAGACTGTTTCCTGGCCCCCCTAAAAATATGGAGACCGGTAACTAGCTCCCATAAAGCCATTGATTGGATCACCTCTGCGTGCGCGCAGCATGATTGTTTATTTTGAATCAATAGCCAGCTTTGTGCATGGACCACACTTGAACACATGGTTATCAAGAAGTTCACTCTTTTACCACAAAAAGTAGGCAAAATCGCCAGTGTTTAGTTAATCCGTATTTTGTTTGCAATCGATTACACACCTACATGTACGTGTATGAATGGGTACAAGCCAGCAGACTGGCGCCCTGACCTTACAATTCCCTGACGTCTATAAATTGCTCTGTTTCATCATAAGTGGGTTCAGGAAACCAGACCACAGGAACAAGATTGTTTTCTAGGTTGTTCCAGCATCTACAAACACAAAACTTCAAACAAGTCAGTGTAACAATATTTGCTATAAAATACCAGCCCCCTAAATCCATCCATTTCTGAAAATTCCAGCAAAGCAAATGTTGTATATTCCCTTTTAAACAAGTCTCAATCAAAATTGACGGTCAATCACGGATCCTACACACAAGGATCAACGACTCGGCCAAACTCCTGGTTAGACGCGTGATAACGGCCCGTACTGGTGGCAAATACCATGAATACTTGTCAACAAAGACCACTGCGCGCGGCGGCTTTCAGATTTGCAGGGCTCTGCGCCCGATCTGGTGTCGAAGTCTGTCAAGCCAGCTAATTATATTTTTAAATATTCATGAGTCTACGTTTTTGGTCTTAATTATTGAATTCTGATAACCATGTTAATACCGAGCACAATATCTTAAGCTTTAAAATGAACAGTGAAATGTTGCTTTTGTTTCATCGGTTCGGGATCACATCTGTCTAAAACTTCTTAATGGAAGCCTATTAAATTGAAAACGAAATTTGGGTAAACGGTGTTTTCCATGAAAGTTGACGTTTATTTTCCGGGTAAATATTTCATCTACAACGACAAAAGTGCACAATACCATCTGTTATATCCTGAAGTATTTATTTTTCAACAATTTTGGAAGAATAATGTCCTACATAAGGAGTAGATTTGCATACAGTTTTATGAATATTTCCGTTTAAGATTTCATGCCAAAAAAAACGACACAATGGCACACCTGGAAAATTCGCGATTGCAAGCCAACGGGTATTAATGCCCGTTATCACACGTCTAACCAATTAAGGCAAGTCCGCTCAGTGCATTTTGTACTGGAGCTCAGAACAGTCGTTTATACTTGTGTGTAGGATCCGTGAGTCAATCAAGGAGTCAGTTCAGTAAGATCGGTGCAAAGTGGACGCTGAGCTGGCCCTTGGGATCAGCAGTGATTGTTCACTATAAGCTGAATCGTGCAGAGTCTCAAATCTTCCTCTCAAACTTTGTTTGCATCTTAACAGGACAACCATGAGGACCTCCAATCCATCGATAGCTGTGAGTACATCTGGGAGGCCGGGGTGGGCTTTGCTAACTCCCCGCCCCAGTCAGCCCTCCTGGACCAGAATCGGACCGAGCTGCTCAAGCTGCTTCTGACCTGCTTCTCAGAGACCATGTATCTGCCTCCAGTCAGTAAGTCCTGAAGAAAATCAATTTATACCAGTGTTATAGTACTCGTACTTAGTACTCGTACTCGAGTACTACTCAAGTACTCGAATGTCAAAGTACTTGTACTCCAAATGGCGATACTCGTACTCGAGCAGCAAAGTACTCGTACTCTACATGTTGAAATTGTACTCGATCATCAAAGTACTCGTACTCGAATAGCAGTACTTGAAAAACAAAATGGTAAAAAGCCTCACTTACCACGGCCTTATTTTATCGCTACTTTCAGTTTGAAATGGTTGATTGGCTTGTGGAGAAATCAAAGTTTCCTGATTTTCCACTGTGCATGTCCGGACAAACACATTTAACAGCTAGCCGTGAGTGGGTCTGTATATCGGTCTGACTGGGCCTGGGCCAATTAAGCACAATGAACCATTTGCCGTATGGCCGTATTGGGAAATAGAAGTAGTCGCACTCGGGAGTACAAGTACTCGTACTCAGAAACCTGTACCGGTACTTGTACTTGGAAGTACTTGGAAGTACAAGTTTGGAAGTACAAGTACTCATACTCCGCAACCTCAGTACTCGGCAGTACTCGGTATTCCGAAAAAAGTACTTGACCAACTCATGTTAGCACCCCCTGCTCAGCCGTTGCATCCTTCACACGCTTCACTGCTTCCAGTCACACTACATACCCTCCCTTCACCGTTGAAACCCCTTCAGTCTCCTGACGACAGGGCAGAGCATACTGTCCGAAGCGTTGAATTTCCCCCCGGTTCTTTTCAGAAACTCACAAACTCAAAAAAGAGATTTAAGATACTGTAAATCTTTATCTTTTTTTTGTTTTCTATCTTTTTTTTCTGTCTGCAGGCGATGCCCACTCCCAGCCAAACCAATGGATCAGCTACTTTTGCTCATCAGAGAACAGGTATTGTGTCAAGAGCATTTGGTAGACGTAGAAAGTCTTAATGAACATCAGAATAGTTGATGATGTGAAGAGATGATTTGAAATGCCGTGGCCTCATGGTCTAGAGCATTGAACTCGTGGTCTTCAAGTAATTTTGCAGGTTGTGGGTTCAAGTTCAGCCTGAGGTTACGGTGCTTGTGCCCTTGGGCAAGACACTTTGTCACTCATTGCTTATCCCCACCCCTCCCCCCCCCCCAACCTAGGAGTAAATGGCAACCTGTGCGGGCAGAGATGGTTATTGTGGTAAATTTGCGCCAAATGGCAGCATCAAGCTGTATACTCCCCAGAAAGCTGAGATTGTCTTTGGAATATTTCATTGCTCCATTGAGCTGGGGTAATAATGTTGTAGCGCCTTCAGCACCAACAATGGTAGATACATGCGCTTTATAAGTACACATCATTAACCCTGACAGAACTCAACCCCATCAAACCCCAACGGCATGTTTTGTTGGAATCTCTCAGGATGGGTACACCACCCCTCAACTGAAAGTCTTTTACATTGGGTTGGCACACCTCCAGAAACAAAGTCAGAAATGTGTGTGTGCAGTTTCGCATATGGTGTTGGAATATGCCAGAATGGGTATAGTCCTAGTAAATCATGCTAGGGAGTTAGGGTTAAATAATTAAATGTTGTTCCCTTAAAGCTATAGTCCATCATTTGCAGCCATCCGAAAAGTAACTGGCGTAATTATTGTTGAAAAACATACTGAGTTGAAAGATAGTAAGGGAACTAAACTCCCTGTGAAATTATTCTTTCTGGGAAGCTGTCATTTTGAAGTAATCAACGAAAGAAGGCATTTCCAACGGTGATTCTTAAGAAGCACCGTAGGAAAATTTAAATTGGTAGTTCGTTTTGTTATTCAGCGCAGCGCGCGCAAGTATTGGAACGACGCACACGCGCACCCGGTTGTTATAATTCGTCGGATCAGTGCGCGACGTCACGTATAGCTGCAATTCAAAATATGATTCAGTAACTTTTGATTTGAAATTGAGATCTTAGAATGCTGGTTTTTCTCGGAATGTACAGCTGAAGCTTAGCTGAAACTTTATCAGGTTAGTTGCTTAGTATCCTTTATTAGATTTTAAACTCTTTTGTTGCTTCAAACGAACAAAATGCACAAATTACAAATGATGGACTATAGCTTTAAGTGGACATTGTTCTCTGAAGTTGAATGGGATATTAGAAAAAATACGTTACGGAATTTGGACGGAGTATTAAATATAAGCAAGATTTCCCCTGTACCCTCCAGGCATGCTCTGCCACTCTTCACTTCCCTCCTGAACTTGGTCTGTGCCTACGATCCCGTGGGCTACGGTGTTCCCTACAACCACCTCCTCTTTGCTGACCATCGGGAGCCGGTCGTGGAAGTGGCATCTCAGATTCTGGTGGTGACGCTGGATCACGACAATGCGCACAGTCAGGTGCCTCCCACTGTGGATGCAGCTGACGAGGGGAATGAGGTGAGGAAATAGACTGAATGTTGATCCTGTTGTGGCATTGGTTGAAAAGTCCTTATGTGATGTATTGTCTGCTGTAATTCTTCGTGACATTACGTCAAAGAAATCTCAACTCAAGAAGGACTTGAATCCCAAAATGTCTAGATGTTCAAATGCTACACGAATATGGAGTTGCATTATCTCTCGGGGAAAAAAACAACCTATTTCTCAAAAAACAAGACATGGTCAGTTTTATATTCCCTTTGAATCATCTCAAAGTCAGAATATCTTGATTTACTTGCACAGCCTGTGTCATATTTGAGTAAATCATGACAATGTTTCAGATATCAGAGAAAAAAACATCCACTGTTAATTCCACTGGTACATTTATTCAGATGGAAATACAACATCAGAACGATAGTGTAAAAAGGCCTTATTCACGAGTCGGCCATATTGAATTAAAAGTGAGGTCAAATCTTCATTTTTGGAACTTGCGAAGAGAAATGAAAGCAAGTAAATTACTAATTCAAGTCTGCTTCAATGAATAATTTAAAATTTGTAATTAAACGTTCCCTAATGTTTTAAGCCAGATTAAAAAAAAAAATGACAATAAAATAAGACTGCATTAATAGTCTGGCGCCATCCCATTCAAAAGTTAACAATTTATGAAATACATTCAGGGAACTCGACAAAAATGGCCAACTCATGCATAAGGCCCATTCTGGTACACCTTCACATTGTACTAGCACGTCTGATTATGGTGTAAATCGTGGATTTTCTTTTGTTCCTCTCCCTTTTCCTTTGTTTGTACTCTAACTTTTTCGCAACAGCTCTCATTGGTTTTGTACACGTTTTCTAATCGAGGTCGTCCTCGATTTGGTTCCTGTCCTCGATTCACCGATGATGTTGCACGTGTTTGTCCTCGATTTACACCATAAACAGACCCTACGGCATATGTGTGGCACAGCATCCATGACCAATTTGTACACACTTCTCATTGAAAATTTGGTCAAGTACTTTTAAGTAAATCGTGCCAAATTTATTTTATGTAGTTATTGTTAATTTCAGGGTGGCGTAGTGGAGAACTTATTTGTGAATTACCTGTCTCGCATCCATCGCGAAGAGGACTTCCACTTCATCCTGAAGGGCCTGACCAGGCTGCTCAACAACCCTCTCATCCAGGTAACAATGTAACTGAACTACCGACCCATGTCATTATGCATATTTGTATAACCGACATGCAGATCCTTGTCATTTGATTGGTGGAACTCGCATCACGTGACATTCGTTATTGCTCCCATTCACGCCGGGGCTCAAAAAGTCCCATTCGCCCATGGGGAATGGGAATTAATATTGAACAGTTAGGATCGATGCTTGTTCCATGACGCGGTATTTGTGTGCAAATGCATGCTGGTGTGCGCGTTCAGCGTTGTGCGTAGCGCGTGTTGTTCCAAAGAGCCAGCACTACAGAGTTGGGTTCAAACATTTTTGTGAAGGGATGGTTTGGAAGAGAGAAATACATTTTCCACCAATTTTGTATTGAAAGTTCAAATATATCAAATGACAAGGATCTATATGCAACATGTCAGTTATATGAAACAAATATTGAGTGGCTGTAAATTGTGAAATGGGAGGAATATTATCGCTCGGTAAAATCGTGACTTTTCCAGTTCACTCGGCTTCGCCTCGTGAAATGGAAAAGTCCAGATTTTACCTTGCAATAATATTCCTCCCATTCCACGCTGAGCTTTAGGAAAAGTATCATTTTGGCCCTTTTTTTGGGGGGGGGGGGCAACAATGGAGAACGCCCTGTCACCAGCCTGTTTAGGTGACTTGGGGATGACATAGGACGCTCGTGCAGAAGAATGAAGGGAGTAAGGACAGTTCTGGATTGTGAGAAGAGAGGAGAGATAATCTGCTGCAGAGTGTTTCAGTAACATGCCAACTAGATGGCAGCGCTGATAAAATGATTGCCACTAGTTCACAGATTTTTATTGTGGACAGCTTTGACATGCCCACTAAATTATCTTGCAACACAGACTTATCTGCCAGGGTCGACGAAAAAAATCGCCTTCCACCAGGAGCTGTTTGTCATGTTCTGGAAGATGTGCGATCACAACAAGAAGTTCCTGTTCTACGTCCTGAAGAGCAGCGACGTCCTGGAAGTCCTGGTTCCAATCCTCTACCACTTGAACGATGCCAGAGCAGACCAATGTGAGCTTTTGGTTTGCAAATTGGTTCGAAACATTCCATAGACAATTGAACCATGGATTTTTTTTTATTGCCATAATCTTGACTGTTGTGGCTTAACCTTCAAATTAACGGTTGACTGTACGTGTACTTCACTTTACCTCGGTAAAGTTGACTTGTGATGGAACTTTTTGGCATTAGGAAAAGTATCATTTTGGCCCTTTTTAGATGCAGTGTTTAAAGAAATTATATTAATGACTTCAGGTCAACCCTTAATAATAGAATTACTTGATAAAGTTGTTAACTTATCAAAAATGAAGTGGTCGTCTATTGCCCAAATTTGCTGTTATTTTACAGAGCACTGCTTGGGTTTAGGGTGTGACTCAGTATTGCAAAATTAAAGTGTAATTCCACACTTCTGACTATCCATAACTGCCGGTACTTTTTGCCCACCTCTACTCTAACCTTGCCAAAATTTAAGAAGGATCCTTGGAAAAATCTCCAAGGAGTTAGAGTTTATGTCTTGTTTATAAACTCTCCTGTACTGCAGCTCGAGTTGGCTTGATGCACATAGGAGTCTTCATTCTCCTACTGTTGAGTGGAGAGCGTAACTTTGGCGTACGGCTCAACAAGCCGTACAGTGTGCGAGTGCCCATGGACATTCCTGTCTTCACTGGAACACATGCCGACTTCCTCATCATAGTAAGCCTCAACGTTTTTTTTCCATGTCCGACTTCCAAATTATTGGTGCCTGACAGATTCCCTTGGATATTTATAAGTGCCACAGTTTTCTGAACTTGAATTGAACTTGAATTTGTCAGTATTAAAATTGTATCATTTGTAACTTTCTTTATGTCACATGTCCTACATTTGTAACTTAACCGTTTTTAAAAAAAAATCGTCTTTGCCAATCTGAGATTTGTTTATACAAGTAAGCACTGTTCTTTCTTTCATTCCTGCCTCCATAATGTATGTCGAAGTTGTTAAACCTCATTGTTTCTCGATAAAGTTATAGCTACCGGTATTACCTCCACCAAGGAGGTTATGTTTTCATCGGCGTTGGTTTGTTGTTTGGTTTGTCTGTTAATAAGATAACTCAAAAAGTTAGGAAGGATTCTCATGAAAATTGTTTAAGGCATGTTAGGGGTGGTCCTTGGTATACAAGTACAAATCAATTAGATTTTGGAAGTGATCTGGATCTGGGTGTGCATCAATTAGATTTTCCTGTTTCCTGTTGAATACATCCTTTTGTTTGCTATGATTTCAAGGTTTTTCATAAGATCATCACCTCCGGTCATCAAAGACTTGCTCCACTGTATGACTGCCTGCTCACCATTGTCGTCAATGGTAAGATTTGTTTTCTTATTCACGTTGTAACCCTACAAAAGGGAGGGGCAGACACCACCAACCTGTTTATGAGACCCCCCCCCCCCTTTTGTTTTAACTGCGGGATAACAGCTTAACAAATCATCATGTCTCCCCGTTAGTGCGTTAGTTAGTCGGTAACAAACGTTGACGTTTTCTATTGCTCCTACATATTTGACCCATTTCAACCAAACTTTGTCAAAAGTATCAGTAGCCCAGCTCCAACATGTCACATGACCAAACTGGTGTCAAAGGTCATCGTGGGGTCACCGGGGTCAAAAAGCTGATTTTCGACTCCTTCCAGAAATTACATTGCACAATCACGTGACTTATGCATGAATGCATGAACACGAACTTGTTGGCCCGCAGCTTCCGAGATCCGATAGAGCTTGTTTTATTTTGGGGAAGAGGGGGATTGAGGAGACCTACAATGTACTTTTAAGTCGTAAGGCCGAAGAGATGCACATTTTGACCGAATCAAATTCAGATGTACTGTTCTAGCAAATTTTTGAACATAAAGGATAGGGAAGTATGCTCATTAATGTATATTAGCATTTATATTTTTCACCAACTTACATTCCTCGTCGATATCTAAGTCATCGCAGATGAACTCGTTCTCCTCAAAATCTGGCTCCTGCGATGAGTCGATGTAATACTCAACATCATCCTTGATTTTTTTGATCTGCGCGATACCAAACGATTTAAGATATTAAAAAAGCCTAGCCGGAACAGATTGTGAGCATCATGGACATTTGAATGACTTAACCCCCGGCTGTTTAAAAGGTCACAAACAGTTAAAGTTTTCTTCCACTTCCCCAGGTATACTTTTAACACACCAATGGTCACTTGACCAATTAAGACCCAAGTAACAGCATGGCTCAGAATGCATGTTTGCATAGGAGGGTTTAAAGGACCAAAGTATGAAGAACTAATGATATCAATTTCAAAATGCTTGACCTAATTTTGCTAAAATTGTGCAGTTGTACATGTACTAAGCATGGATGTCATGAAAGGCGAAGATCCGAGTTGCAAAAGTGGCCTCAAATTAGTGTTCCCTTAAAACATCAGTTGTCTCAGCGTACAGGTTGTTAACCTTCTTGAACTCTTCTATGACCTTGATTTGTGATGCCATCAAGCTAAATGAGTTGTTTGTCGACGCGACCCTGGTCTTTTTTTTTACAGATTTGAAAAGAGCACAATCCCAGCATTACTGATGTGAAAACCGCATGCTGATACCATCTTTAGTTCAAAAATTATGGAAGTCGGAACGCCAAGCGATGTGATGGAGTGATGTGATGAAGTGGCCCTATTTTGGCCTGAATCTCAAATGAAAGTTCCAGAACAATGACTCATTTAGCTTGATTGCATCACATTTGTTACTTTCCATCTTTGACATTTGGATATTCTTGTCCCACAGTGTCCCCATACTTGAAGAGCCTGTCCATGGTCTCGGCCAACAAGCTCCTGCACCTGCTGGAAGCCTTCTCCACCCCTTGGTTTCTCTTCTCTAATCCTGCCAACCATCACCTGGTGTTCTTCCTCCTTGAGGTCTTCAACAACATCATCCAGTATCAGTTTGATGGTAAGTTTGATTGTTTAAAGTTGCACTCCCCGTCCTATTTTTTTCTTCAAGTTTCCTCCCCAAAAAATAGATTCCTTTTTTAATTTGCTATTTTTCTTCCAGTACAAAATTTATTCACATTTGAATGAGACATCAACTTAAAAAAATCGACCCATTATATTGAAGTAGTGCTTCACAATTTCGAATGATTGGCTGCTTTTCTGAATTTAGTGATTTATTTCTTCCTGTTCTTTCATCTTTGCCGTAGCCCAATAATTTTGACTCACCAGCCGGGCTACTTAAGGAATAGTTTGACTAGCCCGCTGCTGTTTTGACTAGCATTTGGCTAGCGGGCTACCACTAAAGTTGAACCCTGTATATGGTAATATTGTGATATGTATCCATTTTCTTCCCCAAAAATTGGACACTTTCTACTTTTAACTGGGTGTCTGTTAGCAGGGGTTGATCTAGACATTGCAAAAAAAATTTTACAAACTATCAATTAGTGCGCATAGCCCTTAATTTAATGAAGTTTTCCAAGAATACTTCAGATTTATTTTGTCAATAAAACTGACCATCAGTGACAAGACAAGTTGCAAAAGACAACATCGTACGGGATGTCCATCATAAAATAGACACAGTCGTCAGGGATTATAATTTCCACATGGTACAACGCAATTTGAAATAGGCACCGTCAATTTTATATTTAAAAAACATACCGTAATTGTAGTTGACGATGTTTGTGAATGGAGGTCTACCTATCTCAAACTAGGAATCTTACATCACAGAAATCTCCCGCATGCTCTTCACTTGAGAAATCAACACACCGCTTGTTCTGTCTTGTCTGGCAATGTTTGGAGTACTGCAAGACCTTGTGGCAACAGCTGCTGATTGTTTTTGTCCTTAGTGCAAAATAGTGGGGCAGATACAATGTAGGGGAATTTTTAAGGGGGAATTGTGCCTTTGATGATACAAGCATGGAATTTGGCACACAGTCAGAGCATGTCATGAGAAACATAATTATTTGGCTCATAGGGCCATCGCAGATTTATCCTTTGAAAAAATATGGGTAGAATAACAAACACTTTTCAAAATTTTCAAAATGGCGGCCATTGCTTGTTATTCTACCTATTCCAAGGGCAAATCTGCGATGGCCCTATAGTGGAATCCGGCGACCAGAACTAGAAACTTTTACTGCGGTGGTGTCACGCTCACGCGCATGCTGCACGCATTCTTAAAGACGAGCATTTTGGAATTCCTAGGGTCGAAGGAGCCTAGAGTGCCTGTGTACTACCTGAGCGCGACTCGTGCGAGCCTTGCGCAACCACAGAAAATGGCTGCCGCCAGATTTGTCTGTAGCATAATAACTTTTTCAATTGCCATGCTTGTATCATTACAGACACAATCCCATCACCTATCTGCCATACTACATGTAATAGGGTCCCTTTTTAGTGCCAAACATCTCAGATTTCTATTTTCAGTAACGAGTTGTAAACGTCTACAACCAATTTGTGTTTAATTTTTGGATTGCGATTTTCCTGCATTCCTTCTCTCTCTCCCCTCCCGTACTCTTCTTGCTCTTTCTTTTGACAAAATTTACCGAGGGCACATTCACCTGCAGCCTCCCTCCCCCCCCCCCCCATCCGTGCCTGACATCATTTCCTGTAGATTCCAGTGTAATCCCATTATTAGTTAAACATTAGCCGTGCGTGATCCCGCCATACAACCAAATTATCAGTGCACATACTGTCTCACGTAGTATTTTGTTTGTCCCTTATTGCATTACTTTGGTTGTATGTTTGTCCATAGGTGAGGGCACAAAAGGGTCTGCTTAACCGTATACCTAAATGTTGTCATTTAATCTCACACTTTGTTATTAATCACTGTGTACATATCTATCATATATATTACTACTGACCTTTTTAAATTTATACATGATTGTACATAATTGTAATGAATGGCATCATTAAAATAAATGTTACTACTTACAAAATATATCATTCCGTGAAGCTTGTTACTAAAACTCAAAAACAACATCTGTACAAACTTTCATGCTCGATATGTGATGCGATCAAGCTAAATGAGTCGTTTGTCGAGAATTTTCATTTGGAGATTCATCAGGCCAAAATAGGGCCACTTCATCACATCACTTCATCACATCTCTTGGTGTTCCCACTTCCATAATTTTTGAACTAAAGATGGTATCAGCATGCAGTTTTCACAGCAGTAAAGCTGAGATTGTGCTCTTTTCAAATCTGTTAAAAAAATTGACCAGGGTTGACAAACGACTCATTGAGCTTGATCGCATCACATACATGTACATGTAGTTCCCTGCACAGAATTTAGAAAGATGCCTAACTGAGCAATCATATTGGTTACATGATATCAAAAGTCTACTTGACGCTTTTTTGAGGGCTTGCTTTTCAGTCATGCAAAGACATATATCATAAATTCTCTTCACTGTTGTTTTTCCAATCCATGTACTTCAAAAAGAAACAAAACTTGTTCAATATTGAACATCGTTCTCGATTTACAGTCTGGTTTCACAAGTTTCAGTGTTCTCATCCGTGACTGATGTCGCTGCTGTTGCGTTACTCTGGTCTGGTGCTTTTGTTGCTAGAGGACTACTGGTGGCTTTCCGTTGGGGCTGTTTTTTGCAGCAAAATGCCTCTCTGAACGCAGCACGGTACGCTGTGGTCATGGCAGCATAGATTAAGGGATTAATACTGGCATTGATGTACAGGGGAACCCTATCTATCCCTATGCCATGTCTTCCCAGCAAAGGATTCGGGATCTGAGCCCAGAAACAGATCCGATCAGCGAGTTTCACGATACAATATGGCGTCTGACACAAGAAGGACACCGTTCCATTTGTGATCAGCATCTTGGCCACTTGGTTTCGGATTTTCAATGCGTTAGGATCCTTGTTGCCTATGCTGCCACTACCGCTGCGTGCGTTGAGGGTTTTAAAGATCCGCACGTACATGTACATGTTGGCTACCACTGAAAAAAGCCAGGGGACGATGCCCAGTGGTGGAGTGTAGTTTACCCACGGTGCTATTATATCACAGCTGCCCACCTTTGATGGATAGTCTCGATACACTTCGTCATCGGGCCAATTCAGACATAGCTCTTTATGTTTAGATGTCAACGCCGTGGCTGCAATAGCAAACAGTAAGCCTACCAGCCAGCAGATTGCAATCAATCTGTAGGTTCGTCTTCGTCCACGGATTTTGAGATGTTTGATGGGATGGCACAGGGCAAGGTATCTCTCCAAAGACACCGCAGTAACAAGTTCGAAGGAGGCAAAGTAGCCGGTGTCGCTGACAACATGAACACCGATGCACTGGGCAGAATTCACAAAGGGCTCAAGGAATACAACTCGAGATAAAGTGTATCTCCAAATGTTTACCGCGAATGCCAGATTCAAATAGAGAAGGTCCGCTAGCGCCAAGTGTGCAAGGTATATGTAAGTGTCTGTTCTCAGTTTGGGAACACGGAGCATGACAAACAGGAAAGTCACATTACTGATGACACCAAGACACCAGATGATCGGCATGATAATGGATATGACGACAGTGTCCGTTGGAGTATAAAGCCAGTCAGACACCTCCTCCTGGCTGACATTGACAGTATCTTGTTCACTGCACTCAGCTGACGTTACACTGGCTCCCATGCTGGATATTTCTGTCACTACTGCTTCCTTGAACATTCACCACTCTTCAAAAGCTCCTCCCAAGCCAACTGTAGGCCAGTGCATGCACTGTTCCAGAGAATCCCGGAATAGTTCAAGCCGTGCACTATTTCCAAACATCGGTTCATGTACAGAAGAAATGAAAATCCCACTGTTGAGAGAGTGTTATGATCAGCTATCTTTTGATCCCCTGCCTGACTGAAATAATTGTGGCCCGCATGCTCCACAGTTGTTAGCTAGCCTCGTGTTCTTTGACTGTGCATGGCAACGTGATTCCCTTAATTGTTAGAGCAAATATTGACTGTGACCCTTTCGCCAACTTAATCAATTTTGTCTTTCAAAAATGGGGTGACCACTCTCCCGTTAATCTAGTCACCACTTCAGACCATTGAGCAAGACGGCCTGTTCTGTTCTGTTGGTTTGTTTCATTTGTGTCTCGTGTCCTATAGTTGCTAATGTCTCTTCTGTTTCGTGGGTTTGTTTAATTTGTGTCTTGGGTATTTAATTAAATGAACCGTCACAAACTGTCAACAACAAAAAAACCACGACCTCTTCCATAGTTTTTGTACAGGCTGGTCACCAACTGCCAGAATCCCTAGATGGAATAAATCCATAGAAGCTATAGTGCTAACTCATGTACAAATTTATGCCTGCTGGGCACATCCATGTTTGTACATAAACCTATGGAAAACTAGACATTTTGTATGTAATTTGTACGTCTTTGTGCATATCTACATTTGTATTCCATACCGGTGCATCATTGAAGCAGATACGCAAAAAAAACGGAACACACGATCAGCAAATGAGCGTGTCATTTTCCTCTACACAAACAACGCAACGCGTGTGCGTATCCGCTGCAGCCTTTATTAACTGTGTTTTCTTTTTACCGTAAAACATGTAAGAAGTTTGCGTACATTCTACTTGCGCATTGCATTTAGAGCACGCTTTCAAAATTCAATCAATCTAATTTCATTATGTTCTTCAAACATGCGCATGAATTCAAAATGACCTTTTGTGCCTTCATTGTTACGGAATTAAATCAATCATTGCCAGGCACTAAGCCGTGCTTATACCAACTGTGACTGGCACGCCTAAAAAATCTCGTGCTTCTTGAATTAAGATTAGGCCTTAAGACCTGTGATTACAACGGTGCTGCACAGTTGCGAATTGCGTGATGTACATTCAATCGTTCACTCGTTTTTGTCTCCAGTGACATTAGAAATATTTTCCTATCTTTTGCATCCAGGCAACTCCAATCTGGTCTACACCATCATCCGCAAGCGCAATGTATTCCACCAGCTGGCCAACCTGCCCTGCGACCAGGCCTCCATCACCAAGGCCCTGGCCAAGCGAGGGCGTAAGACCAATCCCACACCGCCGACAGACGACGCCGTGCCCACCACCATGGAAGGAGCACTGCCCCCCGTGGATGCAGAGCCGGGCACCCTCAAGGCGTCACTTCTGGCCACACCAGGTATAAAAAATTTAAGCCCCAGCCTCGACTCAATGGGCGCGTATGCGTTCCTTAACTAACCCCTGGCTGTGAGGAATATGTAAATGACACTGACTGGCTATTCAGAGCGTGCTGCGCGCGTATTTCGAAGACTGCACGCCCTCTATGCACTCGCGTAACGTATGAACCTTCTTCTTTTTTTTTCAAAACTGCGCGATGCCTGTACGATATGGATTATGGAAGCCTTGTTTTTCGCTCCCGAAAACCTGTATCTTGTGTTGTAAAGGGGACGACATTTAATATAAACCCTTGCTAAATAACGCAATGTGGAAATCTCATGTTTAGAAGGATTGATCCCAAAATTTTTTTTAATTATTGTAATGACTGCATCGTGCGTTAGATACATCGACTGCAGTCCTAATTTAAATGTGCTGCTATTTGGCATATTTTAATTGCACAATTCCAGGGGTTAAGATCGCACAAAGCAAGATGGGAAACCACATGGCGCAGAAAGATTGTACCCATTGATACAAGGTTGGATAGCCCCTTTTGTGAATTTCAGAGTTGTGTTCCCCATGCTAATTTTCGAGTTTCATCCCAAAAGATATTTTTCTTGTCAAAATTGCTATTTGTCGAGCAATACAAAAGCTATTCATTTTTGAATGGGACATCATAACTTTATAATTTCAAATTATTGACTGCCAGACAATAATTCCCAGCCAGTCTACTCACGAAGTGGATTGTTTTGTACCCAAAACAAAAATATATTTTTCTTAGAGGGTTGCAGACGTCTAAGAATTTGTTGGAAGAGAATTGGGAACACAACTTTAGTGTCAGATTTTGCCCTAACTACCATGTCCCAGCACACCGCTTGTTGCCAGCTGGGAAAAAAATTCACCATCGCATCAGTTAAAAGTAGGATTAGATACTTGCCATTTTCCAACATTAACTGTAATTGTCCGGGTTTCCTTGTTCAAATTAAGTATTGTAGGCTTAAAGGGAATATACAACATTTGCTTTTGCTGTAATTTTCAGAAATGGATGGATTTGGGGGGCTAGTATTTTATGGCAAATATTGTTACACTGAATTGGTTAAAGTTTTGTGTTCATAGATGTTGGAAAAACCAAGAAATGGATGGATTTGGGGGGGCTAGTATTTTATGGCTAGTATTTTATGGCAAATATTGTTACACTGAATTGTTTAAAGTTTTGTGTTCATAGATGTTGGAAAAACCAAGAACTGGCTCCCTGACCCCACTTAAGATCAAACAGAGCAATTTATAGACATCAGGGAATTGTAAGGTCAGTGAACCAGTCTAGCTGGCTTGTACCCATTCATAGGTGTGTAATCAATTGCAAACAAAATGGGAACTAACTAAAATATGGTAAATTGGGGGCAGTATTTGAAAAAAATGCAGTTTTTTCCCCAATAATTCATACAAAAATACCACTTTTCTTGACAATGTCAGCACACCAGGTGCCATGATTTTACAGGATGCTTTAGACTGTCATTCACTTACAGTCCAGTAAGGTATTTCATAATAATTGGATAGTTTTGTTTTTTGATGTTTGCAAATGTTGTACCGTCCGTGTACCTGTTTTCGAGGCATCATGTTTTCGAGGTTTGACCTTGTAGTGACGCACACCCGCAGATTCGTACCACACAACCAGTTGATTTGTTGTGTTGCGGTACCTGTTCCACCGGCAGCCCAAAAAATTTGGAAACCAAAGGCTATGTCGGTGTGTTTCTCCTGCTTGAAATAAATACTTACACCCTCAAAAACCGGTACATGGAGGATTTATTCCTTTAGGTGCATTTCAGGTTTGGTCAAGGAATTTGGCGCTCTGCATGTACAAGCTCAAATTTGTTTATGTTGCTTGAGTCAGTTTTGCGTCTAAGTTTCACCCTCCACCTTCCGTCAATTCATTGCCTTTTTCAGGTCTGGGTACCATGACAGAGACGTCCAAAGTCACTCCTTCTGGTGAGGTCTTGAGCACCGCGGTGACCACCCAAAACGGAGGTTCTGTCAAGGGGGACGGTGCCTCCAGTGCTGGGGTAAGTTACACAGTCACCAGTGCTATTTATCATAACCAGGAACTAACCCTCCTATGCAAAGATATATTCTGTGCCAAGTAGTCCTTTTAGTCAAAATCAAACAAGTCACTGTTTTCACCAGTTAAGAATTCCCAGCCCACATAAAGCACTGGCTAGGACTGTTTAAGTAACTTGATATATGCTTTGACTCTGGGTGAGTGATAAAACAGCTGTGACCACAACATGCCTGCATTGTCTGTTGACCCAGTTTGACTATGTCTACCAATATAAAACAGCTTACTCATATCCTACTGCTGTTGCTATGTAATTGACCAATCAGCTTGAATTTGAAACTATTTCAACTGTCAATTGGACCAGTGGGTGTAGTATATCAAACTATCCTTTTCATTTCATCTTTTATATTGTGTCCTTCAGGCAGCATCGCAAGGAGCCAGCGACACAGAAAGCATCGTGACCGATGACAAGAAGGCCGCAGGTGGCGGCGGTAGCCCCATCGGGTCTCCGACAGGACCCATCGGTTCCCAGGCCGTCCCCATCGGTTCCCAGCCCGAGGCGGTGGAGCACAGGGCCCTGGCCATGCAGAGGACTTCATCGGTATCCAGCAGCACGGCTACCGGCAGTACCAGCGGGGACTGGAGGCCCTCACCGGATTGGGTAAGTTTGCCGTGAAGACATTATTATTAATTTATTCCACCTTCAGCTATTTCAATAAGCCATTTGCGAGTGACCTATACCCTTTGAGATTTAAATTTCAAAAAAACATCAGTTACACTGACTTGCTCAGAATGCTTGGCACATTTTAACTTTGAATTCTCCTGACCAAAGACACTGTTGCTAGTCACTTGTTCGGGGCAAGCTCTTGCATAGTTAAGTATGAGACGCTCAGCACCAATACATTGTTCACAATGGGTGAGAATGGCACAAAGACACCAGACCATGCCGGAGCTGGGGGTTGCTAGCATAAGGCTTGCCCCGAATAACTTGATATAGTAACAGTCTCTTTGGTTGGGAGAATGCAAAGTTAAATGTACAAAGCATTGGATTAAGTCAGTGTTCCAGATTTTATTCAAATTTAACCCTACAAATGGCTTATTGAAGACAATTGGTTGTTAACTAGTACAGTTGAACGTCGCTATACCGAACACCGCTATACCGAACATTCGGCTATACCGAACATCGTCCTTGGCTCCCGATTTTTGTGTGTGAAACATACCAAACATTGTTGTTGAAAAATGTCAACAGAAGAGCGACAAGTGGCTATTATTCCCCAAGGAATAGAAGGGGAAAGCCACCCATCGATATAGGTAGTAAGCTCAAAACTGTGTAATTACATAATTCAATAGTGGGCACGTGTTCAAAGTCGTCTTTCAGTAACTACCAGGGCATGCAGGGTGAAGTTATGAAGGGCAATATTTGTTGAAAAGTGAGTACCAGAGCACCTGCAGTTTAAAATCACTATTACGATCGCTATTACGAACAATTTGTGTGGATCCCGTGATGTTTGTTATAGCGGCTTCCACTGTAGTTGAACGGTGACATATGTTGCACCTGCACGATAGTTTTGAAATTTGAAGACCTCTAGAGCAATATTAGATGGTCCAAGTATCCGCTCCGTTCACAAGTACCCCCTCACCAGCAAGGAAATTACAGTTGGGGGTGACCGACTCTGCCATCTTGCCTGACTCCAATTTTGCCACGACGCGCAGCCGTACTATGTACCCTGCGTGTACATATGATAATACAAATCCCCTGGTGTACGTGCATCACGCACAAGGTACACGTCAACCAGCTAAATGTGCCGCCCATGGGACGTCGTTGCTAGGTAAAAGGGCGCCCTCTTTCATTGGCGCACAGAGCCCGTAGTCCAGAAACTCCTTAGTACCGGATTCTAGCTGTGCAATTTGATCCATGAGGTTATCGATACCAACCTCAGTAGGTTAGTATCTATTAGTCTAGTAGTAGTCCAGCTCTAGTGAAATTAGTTGAACCGTGGTTAGCCATAATTCTTGCTCAACCATCTCCCTGAATGAACCAAACAACCACACTAGTAAACAACACTAATAATAAGCGATTTTTCTTGTTTGATTGTGCAAATTAGCAGGAAAAGTCATGTTAATCTAAAATTTCACAAACAAATTCTTGATTTTGTAGGTTCAATCTTGGAAGCAGAAGCTGCCGCTACAGACCATCATGCGTCTACTTCAGGTCCTGGTGCCTCAAGTGGAGAAGATCTGCATCGACAAGTAAGATCACTCATAAAAATGACAATCATGGAACTGGTAAATGTTCCCAACTGTCCATTAGATTTGGTCGAATGACTTCTAGGGTACTGCTACTCATCGGTCGTGAATGGTTAAAAAGGCCGGTTAGTGCTGGATAAGAATGTGAACTCAAATGCATGATATCCTGGCAAGTTTTACGCTGCAAATGAGCAGAGGTTGAAACATTTCTACCTAGGTAAAGTATCAAATATCACTTTGCATTTGCATTCATATTCAGCATGGAATGCCCTTAAATTTGTGTTCATAAGTTTCTAAGTGTGACTGCTTGTACCCAGACGTAGCTTGTACCATTTTATACAATTTTTCAATCTCAAGTTGATAATAAGCAGGACAAGTTCTTCTCAGAATTAAATATCTACTGAGCGAGCAGTAGTTATTACCCCATGGTGTTACCGCAAACCAAAACAGTACTGATTCGATACTCCACCATGCAAACCCTAAAATCTTAAATCTCATCTTACATATTAATTGTTCATTGTCATTAAACCATAAAAAACAACATAGTCTGTACATTTTTGCAACCTGGTCATGCAGAGTTTTACAAACAAGTATGCAATTTTGATATCAACATTCCAGGTAGGGTCACAAGTAACACAGGATGAACAAAGACAAAGGAATGCCGATGTCATAGTTAAGCTGAAAAGCTTGCGATTTGTCTTTGGATTGGATGACTTGTGATGGACTTGTGAGGACTTACGATGACTTGTGATTGACTCGAGTACAGCCGATGCGATATTGAATCCTTTCACATGTTATCATTCACAGGGGCTTGACAGATGAGACAGAGATCCTCAAGTTCCTCCAGCACGGTACCCTGGTGGGTCTGCTGCCTGTACCCCATCCCATCCTGATCCGCAAGTACCAGGCCAACAGCGGGACCACGCTCTGGTTCCGCACCTACATGTGGGGTGTCATCTACCTCAGGTATGTCTTGAAATACGTGAATTTCTATCTTTTTAGAGGTGAATTCAGATGTATTCCAAGTAAGCCACCTTTCCACAAGTGGCATGGGTGGTGCAGTACTTGGTTGGTTCTTCTCCTAAGGACTTCCACAAGGGAGTATAACTAGGAGGCCAGAAACACCGGGGCAAACCCCTTCTCTTAGCAATAGGTGTTACTGGGTTCTTTTACGTGCGTTAGGCCTTATACAACACACAGGACCACCGGCTTAACGTCCCATCCGAAGGATGAAGCAATAATGGTTAAGTGCCTTGCTTAAGGGCACAAGTGTCCGGACCCGGGTTTGAACCCACTGCACTGTTGCCTCTGAAACACCAGCACATGAGTCCGGTGCTCTTAACCGCTACTCCATGACACTCTACGTAAAGCGCTCGACGTGAAGTACGTAAAGCGCTCGACTCTCACCGCTGTGGCCCGGGTTTGATTCCCGTCTCCGTCACATGTGAGTAGAGTTGTTAGTTTGTTCTCGTCTGTGCCACGATGGTTTTTCTGCAGGTTCTCTGGTTTTCCTCCCTCCGCAACGCTTTCGATCTGGCTGTGCTCCGTGGTAAGACATGGGTCGTATGGCGGTTGCTTAAGGCGCCGTTACATGCCTTTTTGGCTCGACCACGTTGCAGCTGGTGCATTTTCAGTCTGTTGAGCAAGTTAGCTATAAAAGGACTTTTGTTTTTCCGCCGATTGTTGACTCATTTTTTCCCATCCTAGATCAGGTGAGGATAGTTAACCACGCCGAAGCAGTTTGTCAGCTTTCGTTGATTAGTTTTTCAGTGTTTACTTTTGTTTCAATTTTCAGGAATGTTGACCCACCGATTTGGTATGATACAGGCGTCAAGCTCTTCGAGGTTCAACGGATCAAGGACAGCTAGGGGAGATAGACTAGCTAGTCATATGCATTCCATAATGTGTACATTGTAAACAGGGGCAGCTGAGAACCTGAAATTGTTAACCACGGAAAACTTTAGCTGGCGATGTGCACGGAAAACCAAAGCACATGACCCCTGCACACTCAGAAGCATAGCAGAAGTGGCAGATGCGTTGTGCTGGCTGTTGTTCGCAATAGCCATCACAAGGCAGTATCTGAATCTGAATCTGAAATGTATAGTTGGCAAGGCATCCATCAGGAAATGTCGCACTTGTTGGTTAATTTTGGGCGTGAAGCTTGTCATATTTTACACAACAGAAAAAAAAAAATCTATTTGAAACCACTTAACAATTTGAAAAGTTCTACTTTTTGAGTGTGATGTTTTCCCAGTTTCAGGGACTCTGTTCTGATCCTTGATTGTTATGAGGAAGGAACTGTTGTTGAAGGTTCTGGTTCTGGCATACAGTTGAAAGCCGACAATGCTTCAGCTATTTCCAGGATACTTCTGAGTGTACACAGTACAGTGATCGCATGCCCAGATTAGTTCATAGCTAATTATCTCAGTTTTTCAGGGGTAGCGAGTTATTTTCTAAGGCACTTCTTTTTGCTTACAGCAATATGAAATTGCTCGGATCTGCCATAAACCACATTATAACCCTAACCCTCCAGGGTATTTTGGCTAGAAACCCTGCCAAACGCAGCAACATGTAACACTTGTCTAAGTGACAAGCCTGCCCAATGTAGCAAGATCCATCAGGCCAGAAGTCTCAAGGCCAAACTGCCTCAGAGTCTGTGGTCCCCGAATGCATTAGGATACATTTGTGGCATTGTTCAGTGGGACTAGCTCTCGTCTCAGAAGCGTCCGTTTATGCACTGGTGTTGGCAGCTGGATTCATCAAAGTGCACCAGACTTTTCCACCTGATGCACTGTGTTGTGTCTGGCGGGGTTTAGGGTTAAGAGTTCTTTGAAATTTGTTTAAATTATAAGTTAATGGAAGCAATTTTGAGAGCTCAAATCATAAACAAACCAGTTCCTTGTCATTAAAGTGTCCTTATGTTGTGCAATTGTCTTCCACCTGTCATGAATATTAATTGCATGTAAATTTAATTGCTTTAGGGAAGAGGCAGAATCTATAAATTGAGTATGACTAGAAGACAATCACATTAAGTCAGATAAAGATATATTGAATACCATTATAGTTAATAGTATAAGAAAATTAAAGTTAGTGTTGATATTGCTAATATAATTGTGACGTAATCAAGCCAAATGAGTCGTTTGTCGACCCTGGTCACAATTTTTTTTATTACAGATTTGAAAAGAACACAATCTCAGCATTCACAATCTGACCAGCAGCCGATTTCACGAAAACTTACGCAATGGCGCAACTCCGCTTGTGCCACAATTTGTTGCAAAAGTTGCGCAACATTTCACTTATGACACATTTCATGAAAGTCTCATAGTGCGTAAGTCCGCGGCTTGCGCAACAAATTGTGGCGTAACTTGCGCAATCTTTATAGTTGGTGTGAGTTGAACATTTTAAAAGTAAATCGTGATCGTCAGGGAGCCTGTCATTGCACAACTTATCAAGGTTGATACAAAACACTCACAGCTTTGTGTTTTCGGTACATTTATTGCTTTTTTACTCGTGACAGATTTTTTAGAGTTGCTGTATGATTCCGAATAAAGTCGGACAAAATTATTTTCAAAATGGCGGGCTGATCTGATTAAACGACTGATTCATGAACGAACAAATTCATACACAAACAGCCATCGTAAATGCTGTTATTATCCTCGTCCAAGATGTTTAGATTATTTAAAACGTTGCGCAGCTATGCTAAGTTTCGTGAAATTGCGCAACAAATTTGTTGCTTAAGTCCTAAGCATGGCGCAAGCTACGCACTGTTTCGTGAAATCGGCTGCCGTGTTGCCAGTTCATACCGTGTAAAAGCTTTTCTCAACATGTTGGTCAGTTATGTTCATTGGGATCAACAAGTTGCTGGTATTTCTAAAGCATCATGAGCTCTATTTCCATTCAACCATTGTTTTACTTCCATTGGCTAACTCTCCCATACTACTTCTCATCACACTCCAATGCTATCGCTCAAAGGAACCTGGACCCGCCCATCTGGTACGACACCGACGTTCACCTCTTTGAGATCCAACGTGTCTGAACACAAAAAAAACAGTGTTAAGTAGATTATTCTCGCTTCTCAGTGAAGATTTGCCGCCACTTTGTATCGCAGTTGCATGTCAGGTTGTCAAGATTTCATGACTTTGAGTCGTGGACTTACTCATGGAATTTTCATAACCAGCTTTTCGTACTTGTATTGCATGAGCAACCCAATCCCTTACATGTACTGGTACCACTTCAACTGAAGGCCCCCCCCCCAAAAAAAAAACCCAGAACACATTGAAACTCACTGTCTCCCATGCCTCATTGATTTCTATATACACAAGGCAGGATGAGATTTTTCAAGATTTTTTCTGATGTCAGGATTTTTTTGTAAGATTTTTTTTTCTGATTTCAGGATTAAAACAAAAGTCCCATTTGAAATCTTGAATTCTTAAAGTTCTACTGTTAAAGGTGTTTTTACCCATGAAAGTTTATATCGAAGAAACGAAGTGGGTAATTTAAGGGTCATCTTTACGCAGAAACAAACATACACTGCTCTGGGACCCTCGATGACCAGCAAACCCTCTGCTGATTATCTCGGGGGTTTTTAAATTTCATTTTCACCCAATCTCACCCTGACAAGGTTATCAATTCGGTCATGTTTTCTCAATTTTGGACAAGAAAAATCATTGCTATCTTTTGGGTCAAATAGTTTGGCTTCTGAACAGGAATGTTTTGTCCAACTTTGTGGATAAATTGTTTTCTCATCCATCACCATGACCATTGTCAGTACTTGTGTAGTAGTACACAATGCCATTTTTACTTTTTTGGCTGTGAGGTAGTCAGATAATTGAAGACCTCCGTGGTGTATTTATGTGTTGCAGTTTTTCTGATATTGAGATTATTTTTGTGCTACATGTGTCTAGAATTGTAATGTGCAATGCCCAGCTTTTACCTGCTTATATTGTCTTGGTTCAAGACGCGCTTTGATAACAAAACTTCCTATAACACTCTGGCCATTAGCAAAGCCACTGAAGGAAACTAGCTTCAAAAGGCACGTCTTGAACCAAGGTTACACCTTGCCATTGTCCCCTTAACTCTTCTGCACAATGTATGGTCCCCAGTTGACCTTATGGTGTACCCAGCTCATGTTTGACCAATCATGCTACATTAAATCATGTCTTTTGCTGTCCAAGTCAAAATTGGTAACACCAACCCCATGGGCCAAGTTCGCGCAAGGACTATAGTTGACCAATGGTTAACTAACGTTTGCCCGCACTCTGTCTAGTCGACAGTGGTTGACTACGCTAGTCGACTATTTGGAACCAGCCTACTGGGGTTGGTTGTTTCGCTGGTAACCAATAGCCGCGCGCATTCATAACGCTAGCAGAGAGCCAGGATCCAGAAGTTTTGCTATGACATTTTGACCAGTGTTTGACTAGAGACGTTCGCACATTGCTATCAGTGCGCAGGCGTAAGGTACGTCACAAATCAACCACTAGTCGACTAATGGTCCTTGCCTGAACTTGGCCATGTCTGTTTGCTGTCCAAGTCAAATTGGTAACACCAACCTCCATAGATTGAGCATTTTGATTGGCAAGTCAAATTAGTGACACCAGCGCCATAGTAGGAGCATTTTGATTGGCCAGTCAACTTGGTAACACCACCCCTACAGTGCAAGCATTATGATTGGATAGTCGAGTTGGTAACCCCACCTCCATAGTACAAGCATTTTGATTGGCCAGTCAAATTTTTTTAACACCAACCCCCATTGTTTGAACATTTTGGTTGGCTTGTCAAATTGGAAACAGTCCACCCCCATAATAGGATCATTTACATTGGCGTTTCAAATTGGAAACACCACCCCATAGTCTGAGCATTTTGATTGGCTAGTCAAGTTGGCAACCACCTCACCACCTCACACATGATCATTCCAATATAATGCTTGGGGATCATTTTAATGAGTCGCGTGTCAAGACAATCTCTTTTGGTAAGTTGATGCAAAGAACATAATTTTTAGAAGAAATTCTGTTTCATTGGCAAGTTGTACATTTCTTGAAATCCCTAAGAAATGTCCATATTTTCAAAGCAAAATCCCCATTTATGTAATTGTTGAGTTCTGTATGGGAATGTATTTCACTGGCAGTGTGTTTTATGTTGGAAAAAGATGTTTTTTGAGAGCTGTTGCAAAAATTAGATACTGTTATTCTTGGAAAATTAAACAAGTGTACATTCTGTGTTGTTGCCATGTTGCTTTAGTAGCTTTCTGTGAACATATAGACAAATCCGGCGGCAGCCATTTTTTTTATGCGGTGGCATCAGGCTTGCATGAGTCACACTCAGGTAGTACACATCATTGATAGACGTCTTACTAATGGAGCTCAATGGTACACATGCACTCTGGGCTCCTTCGACCAATTAAGGGCGGATCCAGAACACGATTTTTTTGGGGGGGGGTTCAAAAAAATTTGGTCCACAAAGATTTTTGGATTCTAGATGCTCTGTGGTTTGATCTGAGGCAATTTCTGACCAAATTTAACCGATGTTTTTTGAGGAAAAGATGGTGATGTACTCATTGCCTGCCTTTATTGCGAAGTCACTTAAATAAAAAAAAATTGGATTCGTTTTTTTTTGGGGGGGGGGGAGGGGAGGGGGGGTCATGGCCCCCTTTGGCCCCCTTGGATCCGCCCTTGTGACCTATAGGAATACCAAAATTGCACGTGCCCCTGGTCTTTAATAAGAACGCGAGCAGCATGTGCGTGACACCACTGCAGTACTAAAAGCTTCTAATTCTGGTCGCCGCATTCCACTATCTGTTTGTAGTTACCACAAACTAGCCTTTGTCTGCTAGCCTGCAATACTAGTCCAAGTAACTTGGACCCAACTTATCGCCTTTTAACATTCGGACATGGTCTGGCGATAGTACGGTCCAAGCTAAACCACTTCCATCGCTCGACACAATTCTGTTCTTGTCCCAAAAACCCGACAAAAACATAAGAT